CATAAACTTCATTGTTCATGTCTAGGTACGCTTCAACTTGAAGCGTCCATCCCTGAGCAAGGTGGGTGTCGCCGTTGAAGGGTGAAGGGGTCTTTCCAATTTCTTTTGGCATTTCTGCGGAGATGGATCGTTTGTAGGTTTGGGTGTGGAAATTCCAAACTTTGTTCTTAGGGGTGATGCTAGCATAGTAGGCTGCCCACTGGTCAATTGAGTATCTGGTGCCCTTGGCGTCTATCTGAAAGAACTCTTGTTCTTCTTCATCCCAGGTAAAACCGGGAGGGGTCGGGGCGATCAGTGGTATGGTGTCTGGTTCTGGGCACGAGTTCTAGGGAACCGCACAATAGAGAAGTAACTTGACCTTTTGTTATGCTCGGCGTTCAGGAGAATGACTAAATGGTCACAAAGAGTCTAAAGCGTACACCTATGTACGAGTCGTGCGAGTTAAGCAGTATATTGCAGGCCCTGGTCTGCGTAGGTCAAGTTAAAGAATACAAGCGTAAGAGATAAGGTATATATAAAGGAATTAAAGCGGAGCTTTAATAAATGAATCGGAGATTGAAAGTAAATAGCGAATCAGAAAAAGATAAAGAGAATCATACAATAGAATGTCATAGAATGTCTAAGAATGATTAGTAATCGTGAATAAGTGAAGAAGTGAAAGGAAAAGAAATGGAACTGTAACACAGATGGTGTTGATGAAGCTCACCAAAATGATCAAGACACAGTCCTGATCCCTTGCATGACCCTGGATGCCACTTCTGAGGACAACCCTATTCCTCTCAAGCGTCGACAATTCCCCGTTCATCTTGCATTTGCCATGACAATCAACAAGGTGCAAGGTCAAAGTGTCAAGTGGGTTGGACTCAATTTGTGGACTCCTGTCTTCAGTCATGGACAGCTATATGTGGCTTTGTCTCGGTGCACTCACCCAGAGAGAGTGTATGCTATCTTTCCAGAGCATGAAGAAGGCTCAAAAACAACAAATATAGTGTATAAAGAAGTGCTTAGAGGCCTTACAGATCCTATCAATGATTGATGTACATAGAATTGTACTTTTATATAGAGAACTGACTGATGTGATGTATTATGTACTTTTATGTGGTGTAGTAGATTGTACTTTTAGCTGCTCAAAAATGTAGTTTTCAAGTTTTCAAAATTCCACTATGATCATTAGTAATGAGTAAGTCAAGGTGCTGCAGGCACCTCTCAAAGGAGTGCAAAGCACTCCTTTGCCTTCCTGTGCCAAAGGCACAGTGAGTATTAGGATGAAGCCAAGGCCAGGAAGCTAAAAAGGAGCGCTTCGCGCTCCTTTTGCTTCCTGTGCCAAAGGCACAATGGGTGGTGGACTAGTAGAGAAGAAAACAATGATGGAAGAGAAGAAGAAGACAAGGATGAAGAACCAATAGAAGAATCAGAATCAGAATCAGAAGACGAAGAAGCAGAGACAGAAGAAGATAGAAGATCAGAGAATGGAAGATAGAAGGCAGTGTCGAGGGCGGCACCAATTGTTTTTAGGGGGGTGCATGGACTAGGGGTCCCAAAGCATGAACTAGAGACCTAGCTCTGCGGAGATCTCCAGAGCTTAGTCAGACATGTAGACAACCAAGTCAGTTCTTGTAGTAGCACATCATCATCACGCTTATCAGAGTCCTTGGTTCATCACTTCGGCACTACTACACCGGTCACCGAATCTGACTATCTCTCCTGCATGAGTGCATGAATATCGCTGGTTTTCGTGTCAAGCAGCTACTCCAACACATCACCATGTCACTCTTTCGAACGCATGCATATACCCTACTGCAATTTGTCCCGTCGACTTCTGCATGTTCCACATGCAGCCGAATTTATCTATCTTCGCGTCTTAAACCGCTACTAACTCTGCGGTGGAGGCATTCCTACTTCCAATGCGCGTTCCATCCAACACTTGTACTCTTTTCCGAAGGTGTTCGCATTGCGCAGCCTCGCTTTCAGTGTTCTGCTCATCTCATCCTTAACTTCCGGCCCAATTGGTTTAGAATTTCTCATTCGCCAATACCCTATCAAATCCGTCCTTCATCGAAATCATGCGACACAAGTACCAGTGAACATGGTCGTTAACCCCCGCTATGGAATGGCATTTCGCACCGTAGAGCAGGAACTCGTTAAAAACCGCGTTTTCGTCAGAATTGTTGGTGCTGCTCATGCTACCAATCTCATTCAAATGCACTATGAATGTGTGGGTGAGCGCTCTCCTGGAACAGGCGAGCACCATCAGACTTTGACGGAAAGGGAGGAGCTTTTATGCATGTGCGTGTAACGTTACTGAGACTTCTGCTTTACTATCAACTATACTAGTTCTGTCCCCGCCCAAAAAAACACAGCTTCAAATTATTGAAACCACTCCGAATTCAATCATAGTATCGTGCACATATATCCAATATCGATGCGTCTTCATATGGTGCATCAACTATATCTTCTACTTCTAATGGAGGCTTGGAGTCAGCACAAGTTACTCAATCTGGTGAGGAGGCTGTACGCCTGCCCTATCCCATCCTTCATCACATCTAATTTTCCACGTGTAGAATCACCCTGTTGGTCTCCAAGTTAAAGTCTGCTTTTAAGTCAGTATATGATAATATACAAGTTTGATCGTCAAGGTACAAGTGAAAATCACTGGTAATTCTTTAGAAGATTCCATACAGCCACGGCACCTCTAGTGTCCTGATGTCCATCATATAACATATTGCCAACAGAAGTCATGTCTTTAACCTGTGCGATGATATCGCGATCCCCTTGAATTCGCCATCGCGCCGCCACGCTAGCAAAAATGCATCCAAAGGGCTGTCTATATAGGGCGAAACGCAATGCTTGCGAGTTGGAATCTGTGTCGAGCTTGGGTACGGGACTCTCTGGTTCCCACTCGTCACGAAAAAATTGAACGATATGATTCTGTGCGTCAAGACTTCAACATGTCCTGTAGTGATGAAGGGGCCATGTTTTCTGCAAGGTTGGCAATCTCGACGACTATGTGGACGACCGCGTCACGACGCCCTTTGGAATGGTTATTTAAGGCAAATGAAGTCAAATCTGAAACTGGATCGAAGACAGGACAACTTCATCACATTGAAAAAAATCAAATCACCACAGAATAGGGAAAGTTATCGAGCAACAGCCTGAGAGAACATTTGGTAAGTAACCTCATGATTGATGCGAAGTAGGACGACCACAACTAAAAAACAATCCGCAACACCTAACTTCAATATAAGAAATTTCTCCCGTCCCACCACTCGAACCTTGCGTTCCTGTTGGTTGCCCTTGAGGTACATGTGTCCCCGGCACAACCTGAGGTTGACCTGGTTGCGTTGGACTACCAGCCTCGTTGCCATTTGTACGTTGCATAGCTGCAGCCGCTTCGGCGTCAGTCTCAGGGGTAATTCCATATCTCTGTAAATGTGTTAAAGAGAATCAAAATTTGAATATTGGCAGTATCGAACACTCACATCTTCATCGCGACAGGGAGCTACCTCAACGGTGCGTCTAGAGATTCCTACAGGAAATGACCTGAAATTCCAACGCTGGGGCTGGAGCGGTATTGATTGTGGCGTGTTTGGAGGTCGAGCACTGAAACGGAGCGAACGGAGCAAATTGTGCCAACGAAGGGCAGACGATAGGCTCACAGGAGGAGCTGCGGTACAAGACGTGGAGTTGGTATCAGCGTCCCAGAAGTCATTGCCCTATACAAATGTTAGACTTGCAAGAGACAAGAAAAGAGAGATTGTACTGACATATCTCGCCATGCCTCCGAGTCTGTTGTTGGGCTGCTGATAGGAGACCTGACTAGCATGCAAAGTCTAACGAGAGGAATAAGCAAATGATTAGGGTATTTCAAGTTATAACTGATTGGCATACAGCATCTCTTGATCGAACTGGATGTCCCTGGTAAAGAAGTGAGATATAGCGCGAAGGGAAGCACAGACGACTTGCCTTGAACTTTGCATCGGGTTTTGCATTGCTCTCATTCGCACTCTGAATGACAACCAAACCTCACTTAGAAAAGACACTGACAATGAATAAACACACTCACACAATCATCACCTGTATGTTTAAGTGCTGCATCCATGTTCCATACATATATCTTTGTGTCTGATCCACCACTGATGATAAATTTACCATCAGGGGAAATGACAACAGCCAACACATCGTCGTCGTGCAAGAGTGAGTCTCCGACCGGCTGATTTTTCTCGAGGTCCCAGATGCGAACCGAGCGGTTCCTTGCCGCACTAACAAGATAGCTTTCATCAGGGGAAAGACAGAGAGAGTTGATGGTACGGTCATGACCCTGGAAAATAACGAGCTCTTTCCCATCAATCCACCACCACTTTCGGATGGTGTGATCGCCTGATGCGGAGTATATGTGCGTGCCGTCCTTGGACCAACACAACGACATTACCCCACCTTCATGGCCCTTGATCTCCATGAGCAGCTCACCGTCCTTCGACCAAACGCGGATCACCTTATCCTCTCCGCCGCTCGTGAATTTGTTCCCTTGTGGAGAGTATTTGACAGCGTAAACACTCCCATGGCCAGTCTCTATTGGTGGTGCTATTTGTTGGCCAGTATCCGGGTTCCAGCGTCGTATGGTGCCGTTTTCCGACCCACTTGCGATCTCCTGGGCATTGGAAGACCAATCAAGGCAAAGAATTGAAGAATTATGCCCCTCCCATGTGTCACCGACCACACTGCCCTTGCTGATGTTCCACAGCCGTAACCTGCCAGCTACGCTTCCGCTAACGACCATTGACTCATCTGGAGAGATTGCCATTGAGCACATTACTCTTCCGTCACTAGTCCAAGGCCTCCCCACTGGCTCCCCGTCTCTTGTCCACTGACAAATCAAACTATCGCCTGACGCGCTCAGTATATTGCAACTGGCGCCAAAGCAGGCAAGGCTGTAAATGATTTTTGAATGAGCCTCGATGACGCGCTCCGGCGCCAAGCTCCCTAGTGGACGTTCAGGCGTTGGTTTCTTCCAGGATGTGGTCCTGGTATTGTGATTGATGAAGTAGGACCGACCGAGTGGTGAGATGTGCCATTCACATCCTGGAATGAGTTGTTGGGGGTAATCTATGTTTCACCATGAGTTCCTCGGTATTAGTGGCACATTCTTCGCTCACCCAGTCTCACCCCTGGTAAAGGTTGGTTCCACGAAGCTAATGTGAGTGTGATATCTTGATATTCTGTGGTACCATCGAACAACTTATACTGCCGCCATTGAGGAGGAAGTGCTTCATTCCCGCCTGCTTCTCGTTGAATAAGTCAGTAGGTATCAAAATGCGGTTGCTCACCTTCCCAAAGTGCATCCTGGCGATATTGTGCACCATAGCGTGGGGGATCCTTCTCCTTCGTCCGAAGAGGTGCGCTAACCACTGGTGAGTTCGACGTCACTCCTCGTTCTTCGTTTCTCCGTTGTGCGGATGTGCTTGACTCGACCATGACGCTGGCGAAGAAAGTTTTAATTACCGCACTCTTCACAGATGCGTTGACAGACCTCGATAATACAGCAAGTGAAAAGAGATGGTGTCAGTGATGAAGAGACTAGCTAGATAGTTAGCTGTGCATGCCGTATTCGCAGGTGCGCTTTCTAACCGCATGTTGAAAGCAGTGCTTCGAACATCGGGGCAGTTCCATGGATTGCTGTACATCAAACCAAATTCTTCAGCGAGCGTCAAGATATGCAAATGGCAGTGTGTAAGATAAGCGACTGCATTCCCAATATTATACATGCGGCTTAAGGTTTAATTGGAGAGCAAGTACCCCTGTGATCGCCGCCTGACAAGGGGTAACGTTAGTGATGGTGCCAAACTGCGAAATAGGGTGAGGAGCTTTATTATAGTGACACTCCAGTCTAGTAGCTGACCTCATGACTGATGTGAGGTGGAACGACGACGACCAAAGAAAAATCCGCAGCAGCTCACTCCTTCATAAGAAATATCTCCCGTCCCACCACCTGCGCCTTGCGTGTCTGTCGGTCGCCCTTCAGACACTTGTGACACCAGCGCAGCCTGAGGTTGACCTGCTTGCGTCGAACTGCCAGCCTCGTTGCCATTTGTATGTTGCAGAGCTGCAGCTGCTTCTGCGCGGGCCAATTCTGCTGCGGTGGGAGGGGAAACAAAAATTCTCTGCAAATATGTATATTTCAATGATATTAAAAGGGAGGGATTGCAAGATACTCACATTTTTCTTGCGACCAGCAGGTACGTCAACGGAGCGTATAGAGCTTCCTCCTGAAAATAAGTTGAAATTCCACCGTCGGGGCTCGAGTGGTATTGATTGTGGCCCGTTTGGAGGTCGAGTGCTGAAATGCAACGAACCCAGAAAATTGCGCCGACGAAGGAAAGACAATGGGCTCGTAGGAGGAGCTGCGGGATGAGATGTGGGGTTCGCACCAGCATCCCAGAAGTCATTGCCCTATACAAATTTTAAGTGTTAGATTTGTAAGAGAGAAACGAGAGATTATACTCACATATTTCGTCAAGCCTCCAAGTCTGTTGTTTGACTGCTGACTAGCAAAGGTCTAACGAATGAATAAGCAAACGATTAAGGTGTTCACAACTGAGTGGCGCACAGCATCTCTTGATCGAACTGGACGTCCCTGGTCAAGGAGTGAGATCCAGAACAAAAGAGGAGTACTGATGACTTGCCTTGAGCTTCGCATCGGATTTTGAATTTCTATCATTTGCACTCTGAACGATAAGCAAACCCGACTTAGAAAAGACACTGACACCACATAGACACTCACATGATCATCGCTTGCATGTTTGAGCGCTGCATCCAGGCTCCATACATATATCTTTCCATCCAATCCACCACTGACGATAGACTTTCCATTAGGGGAAATGACAACAGTTTGGACTTCGTCGTCATGCAAGAGCGGGTCTCCGACCGGCTGATTGGTCCTGAGGTCCCAGATGCGAACTGAGTAGTCCCCTGCCGCGCTAACAAGATGGTTTTCATCAGGGGAAAGACAGAGGGAGAGGACACGATTGGCATGACCCTGAAAAACAACGAGCTCCTTCCCATCAATCGACCGCCATTTTCGGATGGTGTGATCGGCTGATGCGGAGAAAATGTGTGCGCCATCCTTGGACCAACACAATGACCTCACATCGCTGTCATGACCCTTGATCTTCATAAGCAGCTCGCCGTCCTTTGACCACACGCAGATCATCTCGCCCTCCCCACCGCTTGCCAATTTGTCCCCTTGTGGAGAGTATTGGACAGCCCAAACCCTCCCTTGGCCAGTCTCTATAGGTGGTGCTATTTGTCGGCCAGTATCCGGGTCCCAGAGCCGTATGGTGCCGTCTTGCGATCCACTTGCTATCTCCTGGGCATTGGGAGACCAATCAATGCGCATCACCGGACTGCTATGCCCTTCCCACGGGTCACCAACCACGCTGCCCTTCCTGATGTTCCATAGCCATAGCCTGCCATCTGCACTTCCACTAACGACCATTGATTCATCTGGAGACATTGCTATCGAGTTTACCTCTCTTCCGCCACTAGTCCAAGGCCTTCCCACTGGCTCTCCATCTATTGTCCACTGACGAATGGAACCACCGCGTGACGCGCTCAGTATATCGCATCTGGTGCCAAAACAGGCAAGGCTCCAAATGAGTTTGGAATGACCCTCAATGATGCACTCTGGTGCCAAGCTCCATAGTGGACGTTCTGGTATTGGTTTGTTCCACGATGTGATCCTGGTATTGTGGTTGATGAAGTAGGACCGACCGGCCGGGGAGATGTGCCATTCGTATCCAGGAACGAGTTGTCCAGGGTCATCTATGTTCAACCATGAGTTCCTCGGCGCTAGTGGCACATTCTTCCCTCACCTAGTCGCACCCCTGGTAAAGGTCGGTTCCTTGAAGCCATTACGAGTGTGTCATCTTGATAGAAAATTCTATCATCCAACAACTGATGCGGCCACCATTGAGGAGGAAGCACTTCATTCCCGCCTGCTTCTCGTTGAGTCAGTCAGTAGGCATCAAACACACTTACCCACCTTCCCAAAGTGCATCCTGGCGATATTGTGCACCATAGCGTGGCGGATCCTTCTCCCTCGTCCGAAGAGGTGCGCTAATCACCGGCGAGTTCAACGTCACTCTTCGCTCCCCATCTCTCCGCTGTACTGATGTGCTTGACTCGGCCATGACGCTGACGAAGAACGTTTTTAAATACCGCAGTCTTTATAGACGCGTTGACAGAGCCCAGTAGTATGGAAACTGAATTGTCGAGTGCGAGGAGAGAAGGTAGAAGTAACGAAGAGACTATCAGATAAGTAGTTAGTTGTGCACGCTGTATTTGCAGGCGCGCTGGTCCACCGCGTGTAGACAGCAGTGCTTCGAATGTCAGGGCAGTTCTATCGATTGCTGCAGTATATTATGCCAAATTCTTCAACGAGCGTCAAGATATCAAAGATCATGGCTGTGAATAGCACTCCGGTCAATTGTGAAATAACCGACTGCGTTTCTGATTATATCAGCACTAATCTCCAGACAATCCTCCTTCGCGAAGTCCCGGCGTACAAGAAAGAAATCCTTACTGACTTCAGCTTCATCCTCTATCTCGATATGGCTGCAAAGCTCGGTCAGACTGCCGAGAGCATCTGCAGTCCAAAGTGGACTGTCGCGCGAGACTCGACAGTCTACCAGACCGCTCCGGCTGCAACCACAACTGGCTCAAAGATAAATGATGATCGTGCTCCATCCACCCATGGCTTGGCCCACTCTGTTCGACAGAGATCTCACAATGGAAGAAGGTGCGCAATCTGTCCATGATTTTCATGTCATATTCATTATATGTAGCATACATTTAAAAACTCGATGCTTCAACCAGTGCCTCTCTCAAGCTCACCGTCCTCAACCCCACCAGTCGTGTCTGGGCAATGGTCGCAGGTGGAGGTGTATCCATCGTCTACAGCGACGCCATCACAGCAGCAGGTTTCACACATGAACTTGCCAATGACGGTGAATGCTCTGGTGCCCCAAGCGAGGGCCAGACATTCGAATACGCCAAGACTATCCGTACGTATCTCAATTCTTCAATTACATGTCGCTAATTTGCACACTGTCGACCTGCTTACGCGTCCACCATCCCCACCCTGATGGCAAGATCCTCATCATCGGTGGTGGTATCGCAAACTTCACCAACGTAGCTGTAACTTTCAAAGGCACCATTCACACACTTACATCCTGCAAATCTCAACTCATTGCACACAATGCCAATATCTACGTCCGTCGCGGTGGTCCCAACTGGCAAGAAGGTCTCAATGCCATGCATCTACTCGGTTCGTCCCACCAAGTAAAACACGCATACACTAACACAAACACAGGTGAATCCCTCGGCATCCCTATCCGTGTCTCCGGCCCTGGTACCCACATCACCGAAACTTCATCCTGCCCGCAATTTTTGAGGAGCTGCCTGCTGCTTTGAAAAGCACATATGAGGTGCTCGTCGCCCGGGGTGTTATCATTCCCGCTAAAGAACTCGAGCTATCTGTGATTCCCATAGATTATAGATGGGCGCTGGTTTGTTGACCATTGGAGGTTGGATCGGTGAGGCGCTTGATGAGGCTATCAGTGTGTTCAGTGGGGCTAGGGACATGGAGCTGACGCCCAGGGAGTTTGTGAATAATTCTAGGAAGGTGAATAAGCTCATTGAGTGTTTCTCTCTTTTTGTCCGGTTCTTTTGAAATGCGTTGTAAACTCGAGACTGACTGACGCGCACAACAGTCCCTGGTATTGGCCACAAGATCAAATCGGTGAACAACTCCGTGTCGAGCTCATCAAGGGATACGTGAGGAAGAACTTCCCAAGCCACTCGCTTCATGACTACGGGCTTGCCATTGAGAAAGTAATCGCACGCAAGAAACATACCATACGTCCCCCCATTCCTCACAAAACCAAAACTAACACCCCCTAGCTCATCGTCGACGTCGACGGTTGCGTCGCTGTCTGCTTTGTCAACCTCCTGCACGACAGTGGTGCCTTTACCCCCAAAGCAGCCGACGAATGCATCAAGATCGGGACTCTCAATGGTCTCTTCGTCCTTGGTTGCAGCATCGGTTTCATTAGACACCACCTCGACCAGAAGAGGCTCCGTGCGCCACTTTACAGACATCCTGCTGATGGTATCTTTATCAACATTGCTGGTGAAGATGCAGTGAGCTGTGCGCGTTGATTTGACTTGGACCTGGATTTGGCGTTGTGAAGCAAAGTGAATTCAAGTTGAGCCGCCGCGCCGTTGTGAAATGAAGACTATTAGAACAAGCATGATCCTTACTCAGTACTCAGTACTCATGGATTGGGAGATCATTTAGAATAGGTAGCAAGAACGCATTTCATAAGTACTGTTGTTTGCGTTGGATAGATTTCCTCGTGGCATTGTTGGAATTCGGGGAACTTCATCAATTAGAAGTTGTTTGTTCTAGACTCTCACATTCGGTTTTGTCGACCACACTGTCACGACAGCACTCTACGACTCTGCGAACGCTTCATTGTATCCTTGTAAAAATCTCGTGCCGCATAAAGTACATACATGCGGTTCTGCGTGAGTGAGCGAGTGGTGGTAACTCAGGACTCGATGCCTCGGCACATGCCCATCATGATGGGATGACCGAAGTATTGTTCATCATCCCTGTTGCATGTGTCACGGTACCATTGGTGTGCTGAAACAGATCACGGCCTGAAGGCAGACCGTGACATGAGCCTGCGTACTAACGGACGATTCAGGCCAACGTTGTTCTAGAAGTGCAGGCGGGGGCAGAAGCTCAAGTATCACTTGGTCTGCGAGTAAATCTCAAGGCGAGTCGCTAGTGCCCTGATCTCGCATCCCAAAAGGCTTAGGAGACCAAGGTCGGCTTGTTGTACACTGCATGCATAGATCCATCAAGTTGGCAAGATGGGACCCTCGAAATATGTAGATATCTGCATAAAAAGTACAAGTGACAGTGGGTATGGTAACTGGTGCGAAACAGTCCCGAAAGGCAAGAGCAACAATCATCCAGCAACAGAGAGTTTTAGGATGACCTTATGACTGATGCGAGGTGGGACGACGACGACCAAAGAAAAATCCGCAGCAGCTAACTTCATAAGAACCATCTGCCGACCCACCACCTGAGCCTTGCGTGTCTGTTGGTCGTCCTTCAGACAATTGTGACACCGGTGCAGCTTGAGGTTGACCTGCTTGCGTCGAACTACCGGCCTCGTTGCTATTCGTATGTTGCACAGCTGCAGCTGCTTCTGCGCGGGCCAATTCTGCTGCGGTGGGAGGGGAAACGAAAATTCTCTGCAAATATGTATATTTCAATGATATCAAAAGGGAGGGATTGCAAGCCACTCACATTTTTCTTGCGACCGGCAGGTACGTCAACGGAGCGTATAGAGCTTCCTCCTGAAAATAAGTTGAAATTCCAACGCCGGGGCTCAAGCGGTATTGATTGTGGCCCGTTTGGAGGTCGAGTGCTGAAATGCAGTGAACCCAGCAGGTCGCGCCAACGAAGGAAAGACGATGGGTGCACAGGAGGTGCTGCGGGATGAGACGTGGGGTTTATACCAGCGTCCCAGAAGTCATTGCCCTATACAAATTTTAGATGTTAGATTTACAAGAGCCGAGAAACAAGATATTATACTGACATATTTCGTCAAGCCTCCAAGTCTGTTGTTTGGCTGCTGCCTAGAGACCTGACTAGCGAAGATCTAACGAACGAATAAGCAAATGATGAAGGTGTTCACAACTAATCGGCGCACAGCATCTCTTGATCGAACTGGACGTCCCTGGTCAAGGAGTAAGATCCAGAACAAAAGAGAAATACTGATGACTTGCCTTGAGCTTCACATCGGGTTTTGAATTTCTATCATTTGCACTCTGAACGATGACCAAACCCCACTTAGAAAAGACACTGACACCACATAGACACACTCACATGATCATCGCTTGCATGTTTGAGCGCTGCATCCAGGCTCCATACATATATCTTTCCGTCCAAACCACCACTGACGATAGACTTTCCATTAGGGGAAATGACAACAGTGAAGACTTCGTCATCGTGCAAGAGCTGCTTTCCGACTGGCTGGTTGGTCTTGAGGTCCCAGATGCGAACTGAGTAGTCCCCCGCCACGCTAACAAGATGGCTTTCATCAGGGGAAAGACAGAGGGAGAGAACGCGAGTGGTATGACCCTGAAAAACAACGAGCTCCTTCCCATCAATCGACCGCCACTTTCGGATGGTGTGATCATACGACGCAGAGAAAATGTGTGCGCCATCCTTGGACCAACACAATGACCTCACCTCGACATCATGGCCCTCGATCTCTATAAGCAGCTCGCCGTCCTTTGACCACACACAGATCACCTTATCCTCCCCGCCACTCGTGAATTTGTCCCCTTGTGGAGAGTATCTGACAGCCCAAACTAACCCTTGGCCACTCTTTATGGGTTGTGCTATTTGTTGGCCAGTATCCGGGTTCCAGCGTCGTATGGTGCCGTCTTCCGATCCACTTACTATCTCCTGGGTATTGGGGGACCAATCAATGCACCTCACCGGACGACTATGCCCTTTCCACAGGTCACCGACCACGCTGCCCTTCCTGATGTTCCACAGCCATAGCCTGCCATCTGCACTTCCACTAACGACCATTGATTCATCTGGAGACATTGCCATGGAGGTCACCGCTCGTACTCCGTCACTATTCCAAGGACTCCCCACTGGTTTTCCGTCTATTGTCCACTGACGAATTGAACCATCGCCTGACGCGCTCAGTATATTGCAACTAGTCCCCAAGCAGGTAAGAGTCCAAATTATTTTGGAATGAGCCTTGATGATGCATTCGGGTGCCAAGCTCCCTGGTGGATGTTCAGGTGTTGGTTTCTTCCACGATGTGATCCTGGTATTGTGATTGACGAAGTATGACCGACCGACTGGTGAGATGTGCCATTCGCATCCGGGAGTGAGTTGTCCGGGACTATCTATGTTCAACCATGAGTTCCTCAGTGCTAGTGGCACATTCTTCGCCCACCTAGTCGCACCCCTGGTAAAGGTCGGTTCCACGAAGCCATCACGAGTGTGTTATCTTGATAGAAAATTTTATCATCCAACAACTGATACTGCCACCATTGAGGAGGAAGCACTTCATTCCCGCCTGCTTCTCGTTGAGTCAGTCAGTAGGCATCAAATACAGTTACTTACCTTCCCAAAGTGCATCCTGGCGATATTGTGCACCATAGCGTGGCAGATCCTTCTCCCTCATCCGGCGAGGTGCGCTAACCACCGGTGAGTTCAACGTCACTCCTCGCCCCCATCTCTCCGCTGTGCTGATTTGATTGACTCGGCCATGACGCTGACGAAGAAAGTTTTTAAATACCGCAGTCTTTACAGACGCGTTGACAGAGCCCAGTGGTATGGAAACTGAATCGTTGAGGGCGAGGAGAGAAGGTGGAAGTAACGAAAAGATTGCTAGATAAGTAGTTAGTTGTGCATGCTGTATTTGGAGGCGCGCTCGTCCACTGCGTGTCGATGGCAGTGCTTCGAACGCCGGGGCAGTTTTATCGATTGCTGTACATTACGCCAAATTCTTCAGCGAGCGTCAGGATATGAAGATGGTGGCTGTGGATACCTCACCGGTCAATTGTAAGATGACCGACTGCATTTCTAATTATATCAACACTAATCTCCAGACAATCCTCCTTCGCGAAGTCCCAGCGCACAGGAAAGGAGTCCTTACTGACTTCATCGTTGGACTAGACCTCCACTTTGCTTACCCCGAGATCAATTCTTTGGTTGTCCTCGATGCCAGCTCCATCCACTACCTTGATATGGCTGCAAAGCTCAACCAGATCCCCGAGAGTATCTGCTGCCCAAAGTGGGCTGTCGCACGAGACTCGACAGTTTACGAGGCCACTCCAGCTGCGTCTACCACTGGCTCAAAGGCAAATGCTGATCATAGTCCACCCATGGCTTGGCCCGCTTCATTCGGTAGAGATCTCACACAGGAAGAAGGTGTGTAATCCGTCCATGATCGTCATGTCGTACTCATTTTACATAGCGTACATTCAAACACTTCACGCTTCAACTGGCGCTTCTCTCAAGCTCACCGTCCTCGACCCCACCAGTTGTGTTTGGACAATAGTCGCAGGTGGAGGTGCATCCGTCGTCTACAGTGACGCCATCGCAGCAGCGGGTTTCGCACATGAACTGACCAATTACGGTGAACACTCTGATGCATCAAACGAGGGCCAGACATTCGAATACGCAAAGGTGATCAGCATGTATTTCAACTCTTCAATCACATGTCGCTAATTTACATATAGTCGATCTGCTCACGCGCTTATCTCCCCGTCCTGATGGCAAGATTCTCATCATCGGTGGTGGTATCGCAAACTTCACCAACATAGATGCGACTTTCAAGCGAACAAGCTCAGTGAGTGTTTCTCTTCTCGTATTTGCGTTCTTGCGGTTCTTTTGGAATCATATGTGATGTTGAGACTGACTGACACGCACAACAGTCTCTGGCATCGGCCACAAGATCAAATCAGTAAACAACCCCGATCTCCGTGTCGAGCTTGTCAAGGAATATGTGGGGAAGAACTTCCTGAGCCACTCGCTGCTTGACTACGTACTTGCCGTTGAGAAAGTGACCACGAGCAAGAAAGATACCGTACGTCCCCCATTCCTCACCAAAACCAAAACTAACACCCCCACAGCTCATCCTCAATGTCGACGGCTGCATCGGTGTTGTTTCGTTGACCTCCTGCACGACAGCGGCGCCCTCACTTCCGAAGAAGGCGACAAATACATCAAGATCAATGGTCTCTCCGTCCTGGGTCGCAGCATCGGTTTCATCGGGCAACCAAAAGAGGCTCCGTGCACTGCTTTACAGACACCCCTGCTGATGATATCTTTATCAACATTGCAGATTTGAGTCAGCCGAGGGTTTTGGGGAAGATGCAGTGAGCGGTGCGCGTTGATTGGACTTGGACCTGAGTTTGGCATTGTAAAGTGAGTTGAACTCAAGCCGAGCCGCCACACCGTTGTAAAATGAAGACTGTCGCAATCAAGACATACGTAATCATTACGAACTCGACTTCGCAGTTTGTTGTCTCTATACTCAGTACTCATGGGTTCGGAGATTGTTTAGAACAGGTAGCACGAAGGGATCTCATACTGTTGTTTGCAATGGGTAGATTTTCTCGCGAATTTGTGCGGCGTTGTTCAACGGATCTGAGTGGAGCAATTGTATTACATGTTTGATCTTAACTCCCACGTTCGGTTTTTTCAACCACAATCACTCTGAGTCCAAGGCTCTGAAGACCTTCATTTATCGTTGTACCCAGCCTAAAAAGCTGTCTGAACGCCTTCACAATGACATCCTTTTCACTTCACAGTCTGCGTCATTCACATGTGCGGTTCTTTACTGATACTCCGTGATGTGAGTAAGCGAGTGGTGGTAACCCAAGGGTCGATGCCTCGACACATGTTAATAGTGTAATTGAAGTATAGCTCATTATTCCTTTGCATGTGTCGTGGTACCGTTGATGTTGAAACAGATCATAATCTGAAGGCAGACCGTGATGAGCTTGTGTCATACATGGTCGATTCACACTAACGTTGTTCTAGAGGTGCAGGCGGGGGCACAAGCTCAAGTATCACCTGACCTGCAAGCAAATTCAAAGGCGAGTCGCTCGTGCCCTGATTACTTATAATCTCGCGCTAAAACATTTCTGGTTGAGCTTAGAAGTGGCACTAGTAGGTATAGAAATTTGAGGCCTTGCGTGTGACTTGCGTAAGTTGCTACTCAATGCATTGCACTGACAATGACAACATCCTGACCTTGGGGCTCACTCATGGATTGGGGTATGACAGAGGCGCCTGCGGATACGACATGCACTCCCTGGTTCTTGTCTAACGAGAGCTCGGCTTAATTCGTTCGCGATCCTTCCATTCGTAGGACTCGTCGAAGCCGCGATCGAGCAAATCTAGTGGCCGTCTGTCACAGATGTGTCACACTTGTCCTCTCACTCTAGTTCGAGCGACTCCCGGCCTATGCATGTCTTGCATCCGAGGAATGTAGAGAGCCGGCTGTGAACTATCGTCTGCTTCAGGATGAGAGTTGCGCGGGCACAGCTAAGAAATGAAGGTCACTCATTGGCAACAGATATGACTATGGAGTCCCGGATCTACCACGATCCCCGATCACAAACTGTTCTGTAAGTTAGGAAACCAAGTACCGAGTGAAATCAAGAAGACTAATTTCCAAGGCTAGAAGATGCAAATGCAAACCGCAACTTCGGAAAACCTGCCGTTTCAATAATTCTCTCCTAATGCCTTCTAATGATCTAACACTAGTCATCCTAAAGCTGCCCGCCGCACTTGGGTATAGAAAATTTTGCAAGGTGCTGGTAGCTGGGATGAAACATGTTGACGATATAGCAACTCTCTTGCGTTTGTTGGTGCTATGCCCACAGTCACTACAAAGGTACGTTTTTTTTGTTGGTATACCCATTACTTGGGGTTTTAAGCTTTGACAATGCGGGAATTTAGATTGTTGTTGTACTTTCGCCCATTGATCTCACTCTTTTCATTGTCAGTTCGTATTCTATTAACGTATCAACAAGAAAGTTGCGGGGCGAGAATGGCACAACAGACAATCATGTTTTCAACGTCCACATTATGTATACCCTTTCGCTTCTCCATACGCGCAATTTTCCCGCATGCGCATGTCCCATGCCGGTGACTATCGGATCTGTCGCAACCTTATCTCAAGAGGGATCTATCTCTAGGGTGTTCGAGGCGCATACAGTTGTCAGGTATCGCTTTGAAATTTCCATCAGTCACTCAGGCTATACAATGGCGCCACACGCAGTCCACAGTTCCTGGCGGTCTTGCCATCACTCGCATGTCTGCCACGACCGTTTGTGAGCATTGCTTGCTATGGGTAGCGTAGTGCACTTCACACTTGAGGACCTCAGTTGTACTCTTGAGGTCTCGAAATATTTTCTAGCTCTCCCTGATCGATATCAAGTCTTGTTTGCATATTACACAGTTTACTGACATCATGAACAGCAATGCACACGGACCCGGATTACGAACAACCACTCATTAGTCTTTGAAATTTCGAGGCCTGCGGTACCGCTCAGGACATCAATGAATGAATGACAACTCTATTTGACCATTTACTACGCTCTGTAAGGGAAAGCGTCAACAAGGGACAGCATTATTGAGACCGGTCACCCACATGCCTACACGGAGTTGGACTGCCTTTGGATCACTCCAGTCTCGTTCGACTCTGTTCGACGTTGTTTCCCAGAACGGCTAATACTAGTCAAGGTAAGTAGCTGCATACATTGCTGCTCGACAGATGATCAGATCAACTTGAAGAACAGTCTGCCTGAAAATGCCATACAACCTCCACACAATCGGTCAGTTTCTACTGATTGATCGAACAAAATGTACAACCAGTGAACTTCCATCAACTGATCGGCTTTTCATCAGATGAGATAATGGGCTAGCAAGACCTACTAGTACTATCAAGTGGTGAATGATCCCGAAACACAGCAATGTCTTGTGATCAAAATGATGTGATGCGTGCAGACAAGCTCACCGGTGGTCTACACGTCAACAGTGCGGCATCTTCCTTTACTTTTTGGGTAATATATGCTGTTCGCCCATCTTACTTCCTCAGAAAACGTATCATGTCGTCCTCAGGCCCCACTCTTGCTCAGATTGAAGGCGAGTCTGGTTGCTTGACTTGTTGCGTTGCTGGAGTTAATACTCTTTTTAGTCGTGGCCATTGTCCTCACCGTCGTGGCTGTCATTGTCACAATCTTTCGCTTGTGTATTCGTGCGCAGCAGAAACGTCTGTGGATCGACGATGCGTGGGCGGCCCTCAGCATGATATTCAACTTCATGCTATTAATTGTTGATTGCTTGTATGCGCAAGATTACGGTGGGTGTCTCTGCAGTGTGTATGTCGCATACATCTTACTGAAGAAATACAGAAAGATACCCTCAAGGTGCAAGGGTAGCAATATATTACATGTGTGCTCGCTTTTCTTCTTATACTCGAGACGTTACAAATACCACATCAGGGTTTCCCAATTCTTTTATACAGCTGTATGGTAAGATACTGACGCTCTAGCAGTGACATGGCAAAGTGACCGAACTGACATGCACACACATAGGTCATCGAGGTTATCCATATTGTTTACCATTGTGCGACTCACAGTCCCGAGAACCTTTTTTAGGAGGGTTCTCATGTTCACTGCCATTATCTTCGGCATTGTATGGGCTCTACTTTTTTCACAAATCTGGTGGATTTGTGAAACTGAGTCCAGTTGGAAATCACAACCACATCCGCAATGCGATCTCGGCAGAAGTGTTGCAATAACACAGATGATCAGTGAGATTTCATTGGTCATAAAATACATTGGTTTTCTGACGAATTTCAGCCGACATTCTAGGGGACTTTTTCCTCGTCCTTACTCCTTTTTACTTCATTTACAAAGTCAGATTGTCAAGAGCGCAAAAAGTCAGGATACTATCTGTCTTCTCTACATCAGTGATCACCACAGTTGTTAGTCTCACCCATGCCTATTACATCTTCTCTGGTGGAGGGACAAAGGAGGGTATGGCTGCTGTGGTTGAGGTGCGGTGTCAGTGTTTAAACCTCAAGCGCTGCTGATCGCGCTTCAGGCTTCTATGTCTCTAATCGTTGCAAACTTGAGTGTCGTCGTCGCATTCATCTTCCGCTTAAAGGCAGAAGAAGATTCACCATCCACTCCGACACCCATCATAACTTTTGGATCACAGCCTAAGAAGCGCATTCGCGACCCTCTTGCTACGACTTTTACAGGTGCTGAAGGTATCCCGATCGTACTGGAGGATCTATCTGAGTCTCGTCCCCGTTCTCTGAAGACGGGCGACGATGAAATTTCTGTAAACAGGGAGGGAAAGCAGATGAATGAGTTGTATTAGAGCCCGGGAGATGTAGTCTACCATTGATGTACTCTATACGTTGACCTACGTTGATGGTCCAAACTGCTCATCAAGTACATACGGTACGCCTAACCATAATAATAATTACGCTCTTGGTATGATGTGGCGTGGGTTGACTTGTTCAATTTGGTATACTGTCACGACAAAGACTCTTCCGACGCTTCATTTCGTCCTTGTACCCAGCCTGAAAGGCTATATGAATGCCTTCACAATGACATTACACTCACTTCACGGTATGTGGTCCCGTACATAGCACATATGTGCGGTTCTTTCAATTCCATGATATGAGTGGTAAGGGTCAGCACATGCAAACGGGGATGAGAGAAATACAATATAGTTCATCGTCTCCGTCACATGTGTCATGGTACCATCTATCTATGCCAGTGTGTTGAAACAGATCATGATCTGAAGGCGGTCTAGGATGAGTTTGCGTTGTACATGACATCCAGTGTTGTTATGGCTTCGGCTCTGAACTGCAATCTAAGAGGTACAGGTGGGGCACAAGCTCGAATATGACTTGATATGCAAGTAAAAAGGCAAGTCGCCCGTGCCCTGATTCTTGTTACCTTTCACTAAAGCATTTCTGGTCGAATTCGAAAACACTTAGAAGTGGCACTGGTACGTTTCTGAGGCCTTAGTACGTGCAACCCGTGTAAGTTGCTGCTCATTACATTGCACTGACAACGATAACCTCTTGATCTTGGTGCTCACTGATGGATTGGGGTACGAAAGGTGCCTGCGAATACAACGTGCACTCCCAATATATCTTCATTATCGTTCCTCTCTGAGTCATTCCTGCCAATACACCTTGCTCATTTGTATGGGTATGATCGGCTGGTGTCTGTCAACACGAGATTCGAAAAGTAAGGTCACGACGGATGTGGTAACTGGTGCAAAACAGTCTGCAAAAGCAGACAAGAGGCAAGAGCAAAAGTTATCGAGCAACAAAGAGTTTCAAGATCACCTCATGACTGATGCGAGGTAGGACGACCACAGCTAAAAAACAATCCGCAGCACCTAACTTCATAAGAAACCTTTCCCGTCTCACCACCTGCACCTTGCGTTTCCGTCGGTCGTCCTTGGGACACTTGTGTCCCCAGCAGAGCCTGAGGTTGACCTGGTGGCGTCGAACTACCGGCCTTGTTGCCATTTGTATGTTGCATAGCTGCAGCTGCTTCTGCCGCGGCCAATTCTGCTGCAGTGGGAGGGGCGATGGCAATTCTCTGCAAATGGATGAATTTCCATGATATCAAAAAGGAGCGATGAAAGCCACTCGCATTTTTCTTGCGACCGGCAGCTACACCAATGGTGCGTACAGAGTTTCCTACAGAAAACAGGTTGAAATTCCAACGCCGGGGCTGGAGCGGTATCGATTGCGGCGCATCTGCAGATCGAGTACTGAAACGCAATGAACCGAATAAACTGCGCCAATGAAGGGAAGTCGATGAGCTCGCAGGAGGAGCTGCGTGACAAGGTGCGGTGGAGGTATCAGCGTCCCAGAAGTTCTTGCCCTGTGCATATCAATGTCAGACTTGCACGAGCTCCGGAAGGAAAACTGTACTGACATATTTTGCCAAGCCTCTGTTATTGGGCTGCTGCTCAGAGACCAGATGGGGATTGAGATCTAACGAGACGAAATGAGGAAAGGATGAGGCTCACGACTGTTTGGTGTACATGTCCCAGTCGAGCCGCACGTTCCTGGTAAATAAGTAAAATACCATAAGACAGAGAAACACAGACAACTTGCCTTGAGCTTTGCATCGGGCTTTGTATTGCTCTCATCCGCACTCTGAACGCAAACTTGCTCAAAAAAGATACTGATATCACATAGACACACTTACATGATCATTGCCTGTATGTTTAAGAGCTGCATCCATGCACCATATGTAGACTTTTGCGTCTTTTCCAGCACTGACAATGTATCTTCCATCAGGGGAAATGACAACAGCCGAGATTTCGTCGTCGTGCAAGAGTGGGTCTCCGACTGGCTGATTGGTCTTGAGATCCCAGATGCAAACTGTGTAGTTATTCACTGCGCTAACAAGATGGCTTTCATCAGGGGAAAGACAGAGGAAGGCAACGATGTTGGCATGCCCCTCGAAAATAACGAGCTCCTTCCCATCAATCGACTGCCACTTTCGGATGGTGCTATCGAGTGACGCGGAGAAAATGTGTGCACCGTCCTTGGACCAACACAACGACGTCACCCCACCTTCATGACCCTCGATCACCATGAGTAGTTCACCGTCCTTTGACCACACACGGATCACCTTGTCCTCTCCGCTGCTCGCGAATTTGTGCCCTTGTGGAGAGTACTTGAGAGCGTAAACCGTCCCATGGCTGGTCTTTATAGGTGGTGCTATTTGTCGACCAGTATTTGGGTTCCAGCGTCGTATGATGCCATCTTGCGATCCACTTGCAATCTCCTGGGCATTGGGAGACCAATCAAGGGACCAGAGAAAAGAATCATGCTCCTCCCACGGGTCACCGATCATGCTGCCCTTCTTGATGTTCCACAGCCGTAGCCTGCCATCTGCGCTTCCGTTCACGACCATCGACTCATCTGGAGACATTGCTATCAATTCCACCGCTCCTCCGTCACTAGTCCAAGGCCTCCCCACTGGTTTTCCGTCTATTGTCCACTGACGAATTGAACCATCATGCGACGCACTCAGTATATTGCAACTGGTGCCCAAACAGGTAAGGCTCCAAATGACTTTGGAGTGACCCTCGATGACGCACTCCGGCGTCAAGCTCCCTGGTGGACGTTCTGGTGCTGGTTTCTTCCACGATGTGGTTTTGGTATTGTGATTCACGAAGTATGATCGACCGAGGGGTGAAATGTGCCATTCGCATCCGAGAGCGAGTTGTGTGGGATAGTCTATGTTTCACATGAGTTCCTCGTTGCTAGTGGCACATTCTTCGCTCACCTAGTCGCACTCCTGGTAAAGGTCGGTTCCATGAAGCCATCATGACTGTGTAGTCATCATATCGTGTACTATCATTCAGCAACTTCTGCTGCTGCCATTGAGGAGGAAGCGCTTCATTCCCACCTGTTTCTCGTTGAGCAAGTCAGTAGGTATCAAAATGCGGTGACTTGCCCTCCCAAAGTGCATCCTGTTGATATTGTGCACCATAGCGTGGCGGATCCTTCTCCTTCGTCCGACGAGGTGCACTAACCACCAGTGAGCACAACATCGCTCCTCGTTCTCCATCTCTCCGTTGTGCTGATGTGCTTGACTCGGCCATGACGCTGGAAAAAAGTTATTAAATACCGCTGTAATTACCAATGCGTTGACAGAGCTAGATAATACGGAAAGTGAATTGTCGAAGGCGAGGAAAGATGGTGAAAGTGATGAAGAAACCTGCTAGATAGTTAGCTGTGCATGTCGTATTTGCAGGCGCGTGTGTTCACCGCGTGTCGACGGCAGTGCGAACGTCAGGGCAGTTCTATCCATTGCCGTATATTACGCCAAATTCTTCAGCGGGCGTCAAGATATGAAGATGGCCGTTGATAGCATGCCGGTCAATTGTGAAATAACCGACTGAATTGCTTCGAAGCTTATGTAAGGGTTTGTTGACTTTGTACCATGTTCGTCTTTTCTAACCACACGACGACCATTCTACAGTAACTTTGATCTGCAGACACTTCGTTTTAGCCATGTCAATATGACTGTCAGTGCCCAGCCTAAAGAAGCTGTATGAATGACATGTCACTGACCCTACAGCATGAAAGTCTGCACACAACGCATCCATTATTGAGGTGAGGTGAGCAAGTGGCAGCTAGTCCGATGGCGTATAATGCTCCAGCACATCCAATGATCATGTGAATGGACATGGCACATGCAGCGGAAATGATGGATGTAGTTCATTATTTCCGTTGCATGTGTTGCGGTACAATCTATGCTGGTCCGTTGAAAGTTGAAACAGGTCATAGTTGGATGAGCCCGCGTCGTACATGGACGATTTACGCCAGCGTTGACAGTCGTGCTCAAGCCTTCACTCTAGATGCAGACGGGGGCGCAGCTACGTTTAGTCTACGAGCAAAAAGATGAGTCACTCAGGCCCTGGTGTCATCTCGCGGCTAAAGCACTTCTGGTCGAACACGAAAACGCTTAGAAAGTCGCACTAGCATGTAATATCGCCCCATGACAATAAAAACCCAAGCCTCCTCATCCTGGTACTCATGGTCGGATAAAAAGGTGCCTACAAATCCAGCGTGCACACCCAACCGTCTCTTCATCACTTCCATCATCGTCTCGTCGTTCAGCTTCTCCCGCGGGCCCATCATCTCCCCATCATTCACGCGGTTTGTTGGGTTCACCTCACTTCAACACCCAATCTTCAAATGTGTCCCGACCAATGCTACGTGAGCCTTGGCGTTTGAATTTCAGCTCATCTCCCGCAAGATTTTCCAGGCAACTCATTGAGGTTGCTCCTTGTCGAGAGTGAGTCGCTCGATATCAGCAATGTTTATTCAGGAAACCATTGGGCTGAGTTTACAGAGATACTGCCTCCCTCCCAGGCAGGAGTAGCCGCAGCTATGCAACGTACAAGTGGCAACGAGGCCCACAGTTCAATGCAACGAGGTCAACCTGCAGCAGGGATGCGACGATAATCACGATGTCAAAATGATCATTCCTGTTTGTTTGGCGCTTAATGTAGATATGAGTAAGTAACTGATGAAAGAAGCTGCGGCCCATCTATGATATCGTCAATTAAGCATGATGAAGGGAATTGATGTGACATCATCAAATCAAATATTTGTGACGGTTTCAACCTGCACAATGAAGCGTAGACCAGACTCACATTCTTGCGCTTCAGCCACAAAGATAGGAAAGCATCTTTTATCAGATGCCCAACAACGCATGGCATTTGGTTTCGAATGAATGTCTAGGTGATCTGTTTGCGTGGAGCGAAGGTGTGCGTGAACCGCGATATATACTGTGCTGCTAAACACGCTATCCCGATAGAAAGATGATTTAGCGATTCCAAGAAATTGCGCCGGCCTGGGGTAGAATCTAGTGAAGTCCAAGGTGTAGTAGGATGACAATGAGTTTGACAGGGAATTGTGAACGACGTAGATACGAGAAGCGTTATAGGTGATCGGGAAGACGAGTAGGAAAAAGCGCTAGAAACTTTCTTTGAGGCGCTGGGACGTGCTTTGAGCGGGATATTCACTGTATGAAATTCTGCTATCGATAAGAGTGTACATGGGCTGTACGTATACGTTTTCGAACTGTTGGCTAGGCCAGAATGAGCATAAGGAGCATATGGTGAAGGTGAAAATGAACAGTCAAAGCAAGGAGATCGTGTAGTCTGAGCACAAGGTAAGATCATAGAACGGAATGAAAATGGATGTATCCGCGTGTCTCGGATGCGAAGAGCAACGCTCTTCGATCGGTGAGTCACGTGGACATCTTCGAGTGTCTTCGTTCTGAAGCCGCGATCGGTGCGTAAAGGATCTGATATCCTTACAAAGGAGAGGTCACAACGAAGCTGACAGTGAGTCTAGAGGAAATTGCGAGGGCTAAAAAACGGGTAACAACAGGGTCATAGATCAGTGCACTATAAAGCTCACTTCGAGCAAAAAGAATAAGAAAATTTCGAGAGGAAACCAACCAAATTGTGACGGCAAGCGAGTCATGACAGGGATTTTCAGATTCCCGAAGTTATCGGTCGTGCGCGGATGTACAAATCGTTCTTATCTATTTCGTGGTCGGAGGTCAGTGAGAACATTGAGAATATATCTTCTGCTGCAATGTATATATGACTCACAGAACCTGACGGAACTTGCAATGTGATGTTCGAGTAGACTTCATCCCAGGACAGATGCCAATTTTATAGACCGTACGTCCTCACTTCGGAGTCTCTGGTGGTTCTGGGCATGACTTAAGTAGCATTGACAGCAGAACCATAGATATTGGATGCGTATCAAGAGATTGGTAGGGCCACGCACATGGGAAGGATTTGGAAGGACGATTGTCATTTCAACAACAAACAACTTTAATGGTTTGGTTGAACACAGGTCCTTCTATAATTGCTTCCAACGATATCATCGAGTGGTTTTCTATCATCGGCTGGTATTGGAGAACTGTCTTACCCACCATGATGGTGCAGCGATTCTGGTGGTTCGTGTCGGAGTAGGGGACCCCGGGGGTAGGAGCAGTGTCAGCAGCCACATAGCCGCACTAGTACTGTAGATCATCATTCAGCGCTCAGCCATGAGTCTCACCAGATCTCACCACTTATTAGCTCATGATGCACAGTCACGCAGCCGCAGATACATAGGCCTACTCCAGCGTAACCCGCCGCTCTCGTATGGATTGTTGTTGACCATCTGGAAATAGTTTTCTTTCTTCCTGCCATAGGACATACTATGTAAGTTATTGTGCACATACCTGCGCGTATCACTTGTGAAAAAAAGTAAGTCAGAAGAGTATCTGAATTTCTGAAACAGGTGTTTCGTACTATATGAGCGCTTGACCACTGACTCCTGAGTACGTTGCTACGTCGCCGCCTCAGTTGCTGCCTTGCCGCATCAGTTGCAGGCCTAGCTATTAGTATTAACATTTCGCATCCGCAGGGTTCAGGGAATTTCCCGAGTGAACTTTCGCACACACCGCCACACAGTTGTGCGCAAACTCTTCACTGTTTCCCCCTCTGGATCCATCCGTAGTACGTATGCTCTCAGCACGCTCCAGGAATACCAGCCAAAGCAGACGTGCATTTTATGGAAATCGGCATCTTGAGGGATTACCGAAGGCACCAAGCACGCGTCCAAGAGCCCAACTGCCGCAGTTCAGATTACGAGACGATAAACTTTGCGCCGAGGTCTAATTAATATCGGTCATGGAACATGCTGTATATCACCTAGGCGGTCATTGCCTTCCGGAGCCAAGCTACCAACAAGTTCTTTATCGGATGTAAGATGGGGTTATGATGCGGAGCTCGATAGATAGAGCGATTTGCTGTGCTTAAGCGCCCGACTTAAATCCAAGTCCAACACAAGTGCGACGACGCATTGCCGTCTTTTGACACCCTGCACACTGCTACCTTCCCCGACCCTTTTGCCTAAACTCACAGTGTCGCAATGGAGGAAGGATATGTGCTCCAAGAGCGCAGACAATCAAAGAACGTGGAAGTATTTCAAGTCGATTCAAGTGGGCATCTTCCACTGGATGTTTCTTCCATGGATCTTGTGAAACGGAGACTCAAGCAACGACATATACAGATGTAAGTCTGACAGATGTGCCAGCTTTCCTACTTATCTTGTTGACCTTCATTCGTCTCTCATCATAGGATAGCTGCAAGTCCCTGAATGTCTTGCCTTCGAATGTTTTTGATTATTTTCCTAAGATTGCTGGTACCTTGGGTACGGGACTATTTCTAGGCACAGGGGGAGCCATCCACACAGCTGGGCCACTTGGTGCCTTGATTGCATTTGCCCTTGTTGGTTCCGTAGCGTATTCGTAAGTCCAGTGGCTATTTTTGCAGGTTCCACTTACTTGATTCGGCCAGGTCATTATGTTCACTCGGAGAGATGACCTCTCTCGCTCCGATATCAGGATCATTTCCCCACTTCGGTTTGTACTTCTCCTTGTGAGACTTGAAAGATGACAACTTGACGTCGCACAGCCTCCCGTTGGGTAGATCCCGCATTGGGATTTGCAGTGAGTGACCTACTTGAGTACTTACCTCTGACTGACCTTTTATATTCTCTAGGTTGGTTGGGTGCATATTTATCTTCTCACTATGTTCGAACATAGCTAATCAAGTGTCACTTGTTAGAATTATTTTTTTGTAAGGTTTTATTCCATGTCCATCGAAATTGTGCCTAGATCACGCTTGCTTCTTTAAAAGACTACTGCGTAGGCGCATACAGTTTATCACGGCCATTCAGGGATTCACGTCGCTATTTTCAGGCTCTACGTTCCTGTGGAAATATCCGGAGCACAAATACTGATCTCTATGTGGGATGTAAGTTTCCTGAACTATGTTTGACGTTCCTGTTATGTCCTAAAGATTGGAATCTTGTCTAGTCACATCATGCTGCAGCTTATACCCTAGTGGTCTGCGTCTTAATATGCGCCACCAATATATTTGGTGTGGTGTGAGTCATTGAAGCTGGTTGCACCACATGTATTTATTCCTAAATTTTAGATACTTCGGAGAAAGTGGGTCCATTATGCTTTCCAATTTATGTGCTAAAGGATGAAAAGCCGAATTTGCCCTTTCCATTTTAAAGTGTAAGTCAGCCTTCTGCCAATATTGTATAACAAACTCAACGTGTTTATCAGTAACAATGATCGCTGGTCTTATCATTGTTGGCCTCGTCATTGACCTTGGGGGAGCACCGAATCATCAGCGACTTGGTTTTCGAGTACGTGCTAGTTTGTGAATGGACTGGTGGACTGATTATCCAAAGTACTGGAAAAATCCGGGTGTCTTCGCTGGACCTGGGCTTGAACCTCGGTATCCTGCACTTGATAATTTCCTCGGAATATTGAGTGTCATTACTCAAGCCGCATTTGCTTATCAAGGAATGGAGATAGTGGCTGTGTATATCTATCTCAGTCTGGGCCAATATATGTTCACTAACAATTCGATAGTGCGGCATCTGAAACGGAAAACCCACGGAGGAACATTGCCAAAGCTATCCGCAGAGTTTTCTACCGAATTCTCATTTTCTACGTTGAGCATAATTGTATCTTGCGATGAATAGCCTCTTACAGCTCGCTAGATTCTGGGCGTTTTCATTGCAGGGCTCATTGTACCTTCAAATAACAAGGACCTGTTGATGGGAACTGGTTTCTCTGCTCAATCGCCGTTTGTGATTGCGATGCAGATTTCAGGAATAAGAGGTATGTAACTAAGGTTTTCCATAAAGTCATGTCTCATTTCCCCCTGCCATGTAGTATTACCTGCTGTGGTAAATGCAGGCTTCATAGCCAGCGCATTCTCCGCGGGCAACTCGTTCCTTTTTTGCTCTTCGCGCATCCTCTATGGTTTAGCACTTCGTAAACAAGCACCCCGGTTCCTCACTATCTGTACGAAAAAGGGCGTACCTATTGTGGCAGTGCTCTGTTCGGTATGAGTAAACGCTTGTTGAGTCCTAAGTACCACGGACGCTGATATAAGGTCAACAGAGTGCCTTCGCTTTTTTGTCTCTGATGAATATATCATCAGGTGCAGAAACTGTGTTCAGGTAAATTTCATAAGTCGTCTCGTGTTCGCAACGTGGCTCACGTCGTGTCTTAGCTGGCTCCAGCATCTCAGTGTCATGGGTGGGTTTTTCGGCTGGCTTTCGATTAATATAACTTACATTTTTTTCTGTGAGTACCGGACGTATCTATGGATCATCGATGAACTAATGAGTTGTGTAGATCGCGGACTGCAATACCAAGGCATCGACAGACGGAAACTCCATTACTGGAATCCCCTACAAGTCAGGCAGGATCACCATAACGCATAAAACAATCACTGATTTAAATCTGTAGCCGTGGCTCTCCATCTGGGGCCTGATCTGGTGTATACTATTTATTCTAATGAATGGGTATAACGTGTTTTGGGATTTTGACGCCTCTGACTTCTTGACGTCATGTAGGCCAGTCCTTCTCTACTAGGATGTCGTCTGACCAATTATCGCAGATGTGAATATCCCGCTATTCTTTGGATTGTTTCTCTTCTGGAAGATTATACGAAGTACAGTGATTTGGACACCAGATGAGATGGACTTCACTACGGTGCGCATTTGACGTCAACTTACTTGGGATTTAGACTCACCTGTAATTAATCAGGGTATTCCTAGCATTGAAGAAACTGAACGTCCTGAGATCCCTCCGAAAGGCTTCTGGCAACACGTTGCTGCGGTGCTTTTTTGATCAGAGTTACTATGTCTGTTGAACCTATAGACTATGTGGACACTTGGGAAACATCATGTAATCTAATGATTTACGATAAAACCACGACCTTTTTTGTACTGACATGGTTCGAGTCGGGTGAACTCCTGTTCCACTGCACTGCCACGTCGATGGACAATAAACTTACAACATGGATCATACTGCAAGTGGCTTGCAAATCATTGGTTCATCCGATAATCTTCATGGTTCTAAGTAGTAATGTGAGGATATTGGACACAGGAGTCTCCGTGGGCTTGAGTATAGCGTTGGTTCGTAGGCTCGGGTTGATAGCTATGACACCATCGCCGCGAAGTTATTCTACCCATCCACCGAGCTCAACAACGAACCCAACAGCAACCTTTGCGAATTCGAGAGCATGCTGTTTGTATTCCACGGTCAATGATCCACGACGTAATGTGCATCAGTGAAAAATATCGCACCTCAAATGAAAACTCTCCGTCGGCAAGGTCAATCTTGTCTCCCGAAGTGTGGATGTACGGGTTGAACGTCCTGAACGGGTCACCTTCTGCCGCAAATATGGCAGGGAATCCCGCTCGGTGCCATGACATGTGGTCTGATCCTGCACCAGCACTTACAACAGGCTCAGTCAAGAACACTGCAAGAACTGTGGTACCGCACTTACAAGAGTTTCGCACCGCCCACAACAGACGTACTGTACTCCTCTGCAAGCGCAATCGTCCAATTCGTAAGATTCGAATCAACGTCCGTCGTGATAAAGGTCACAACGGGAACTTCTCCCTTTGGTACATATGCAGTCATATCCTAGCACTCAGTTAATTCTCAGTTCACAATGGACAGATCACTCTTATGCTCACAAACTGGATCATAGCGCCCACGTCCTTCTTCAATTGCTTGTACTCAGACACGACCTCCTGACTTCCTAGTAAACCGCCTTCTTCCGCAGCATACCAGTGGAACTCGACCGGGCGTTCTGGCGCGAATCCAGATTGGACAAGAGCTCTGAACGCCTCGAGGATTGTGACCGTTCCTGAGCCGTCATCGTCTGCTCCAGGTGCAGGGAGTAATGGGAAGCGGTAATTTGCGGAGTCTTGGTGAGCGCCAACGATGATGCGAGGAAGGGCTATTGTTGGATTGGGAGAAGACCGTCCAAAGAACGGCTCAAAGCGAGCAATGACGCTGGACTGGGGGAATGTGTGAGTGAACGTCTCGACTGAGAGGCGGACACCGGGAGGGGCAGTAGAGACAATCTGCACAAGCGGATTGAATACATGAGTTTGAAAAGTTCGGTGTGATCACACTGACGTCCAGAATCTGATTGTACAACCATCGTGAACTCTGGACACCAAACTCCGAGCGATAATACCGGTTGTGGAACGAAGTCAAGTTCCCCAAGTTGCTCTTCATCTCGTCCTTGCTCAGAAGCTTAGTGACCGACGTCACCTTATCTTGATATTGTAATTTAGGCCACGCTGTTATTCGACTCTTAGTTGGGACAGAAACGAGAAGTACGAGGAGCACGGACTTGATTCAGCAGACCTGTGACATGCGTGCAAATCCTGATGATTGGTGAGGTCGATGAACCCGAGGCCCTGCTGTCGAAGGCGTAGTTTATCGCCTTCGGTCATCCATACTGCCTCAGCCCCAAAGACTTGCAACAACCGTGGCGCATCGAGTTCTGACGCGTTCTCGGGATCCAGAAGACGCATAACTTGTACAGGATCACCGGCGTGGGTAGCAAGCAGCGACTCTATGATAGCGTCACGGTCAGTTAGGGTATCAATGGCGGGTCTACCGAGTACATCCTGAGGCGACGGCTGATCGAAGACTGCAGCAGATACAAAGAGAACAGAAAGAAACACATGCAGTGCAGTTAATGGCCTCATTGTCTACAGGTGGTGAAGAGGAGAGAACTAGAAGTCTCAGGCCGTAGGGATCGATGCCGAGAATTCCAGCCTTTCACTCACACGTTTGTTGTCAACCAAGCTTCAAGAAACAATTTGGGAAGAACCCGGTCCGTCACAGCCGCGACCTTCAAAGCTTCACATGCACACCATGCAGATCGCGCCAATCACCCGTGATAGACTTGTCTCATCCATCATGAAAAATCAGGCCGCCTCCGCACATTAACGAGCATGACCCTGCGGTGTCACTTGATGTCACTGTTTTCGTCTGGAATCTAGATACGACAAATTCGCTGCGACTCCGCGGACCATCGATCATCTAGAGGTATATATTGGATTATCAGAGCACGATGGACATGGCCGAATGACTCGACGCCGTGTGAGACAGTGAGCAAACTGCATGCTGCTGACTAAGCTGCGTGAACTTGGCTGCATGGATGATGAATTGATGCTGTGACCCAGTGAAAGAACATGAAAATCATTAAGCGAATTCGAATTCCGAACTCATATGATATGCACTTTCACTGGCCACGGAGTCTAGTTGAGATCAGACATATTACCTTGTAATATCTGAATTCCGAATTCCCTGTATGTGGTTTACATAACGAAGCAATTTCAAATATTACTCTAATAACTTTAAACTGGGGAAATTTACAATTAGCTAAAGTAAATTCTGTCAATGACCTGGCAAGTACTTACCATAGGAACGTACAAAGGTGACTAGTCTCACACCGCTAAGTTCATACCATTTGGTCCACGTACGCTCACAGGCCTGGGGGTTTGTCCTAAGTCAACCAGTCAAGTCGAATGACCTCACATGAGCACACAAGAAAAGCAAATAGAGAATGTGTTATTATGATGTAGTAGTATGATCCTCGAGGACGAGTATATCGATATCAAATGAACGACCTTCCAACCACATACTAATTAATTATCCACTGAGGGTACGCTGGGTATCTAAAGGCCGACGTTGATGGGAGTGCAACCAACGTTCACAAGGCCGTTCTAAAGCACGAACATTATTAAGGAATTATAGACCGTCATAAAATCACATACGTATTCATTGTTGCTGCAGCACAGAGGCTCCTGGTTAGCCTCGCAGCCAGATCCGGTACCCACGATGGTGAGCGGGCTGCAGTTGCTGCCAATCATGGAGGCAGCATCAGCAACAATGGGGATGAAACCCGGAGTCTTGCTAAACTCGTTGTTGTAGTTCTGAACCTGCAAACCATTCGTCAGCCATTTCACCCTACTATGGAGGATACATTCACATACAGAAGTATAACTGTCACAGCACTGGATGTTGCCAGTGTTGCACTGGCCATCGGCGAGAGCGAAGGCGACGAGGGAGGCAACAGCGAAGATACGAGCGAACATTATTGAGAGGAGATGATTAAGATGGTTGGTTAAGAGGTGCTAAGAGTCTGACTGTCAAGGCTGTTCAAGGAGCGGTAAAGGAATGGAAGAAAGTCGACTTCAGAGCCCATATTTTATACGATTCAGAGCTCAGCCTGAATTTGTTTGGGGATACTTAGTTCCCGGGTACTTGATGCCGTAGTCGGGTCTGAAATTGCAGAACGTAAGACGCTGTAAGACGCCGAAACGCGTATGAGCACGTGCCTTGATTTTTGGCTTCTATCACGGGGGTTGATTAATGATAGGCGGGCCATCTTGGTCTGGACTCGACCAGGATTGATGGGAACTGCGTGCCCAGCAAATTTTACGTGCGATTGTAAAATTTCAAGGATGAGATTCTATTAGCGCCGATGATGGCGGACTCATAAGTGAAGGGTTAGCCCATGGCACATGCAATGCAACGTTCAATATGGTCAGCGACCCAGTGCTCTGCTGGTCAGTGTTGGTCGTTCGGTGAACGCAAAGGGTGCGAAAGGCGGGTGAACATCAACCTATTCGAGTCAGAGCGATAGTCCTTCAATTCGAAGGACAGTCTCAGCGATCTCGGCTGAGAAATTGTGTGGTCGACATATGCGAATATCGCGATGAATCGCCAGCGCTTGGCCCAGTAGTAATATCGCCAGAGATCATTTGTAAGTCACTCGGAAATCTACGGAAAAATAAAAACGTCGAGTACTCAGAAGCGTTCACGGAGACGGCGGTCGTGACTCGGGATCATGTTAAAATGGGAAGATGTATGATATGTCACATTCGCACCATAGATTCAGAGCTTGGATGGAACCCCACGGTGCCAGGACGATGATTAATTGCTTGTTCTCGAGAACGTCTGCATAGCGATGAAAGGATCCGGACATACTCTGTTTGATGTGGACGCTGATTCGGTACTCCACCCTGCCAGACGCGTCGGGTATTATTGTCCGAAATGATAGTAATACAATAAGACACTGGCAAGACGTTTGACTTGTCAGGACCTCACTACGACCTGCAATTATTACTGCGGAAGGGTCGTATCAGTCATATGGATTTCGCATCAAATTTTTGAACTTGGTACAATTGTGGCCTAGCTGTCGAGTACTGACAGGCAATCGACTCACAATTGACGTCGTGTCGGAATTATCAACATATTTAATGGCGCGTTGCATTGAAATCGCGACCATGCCAAGTGGGGAGGAGTTGAAGAGGAGGATGCGGCCGAGATTGATTTCGAAGTTGTAAGCAAGTTCAAGCTGTCCTCATTTCGGGATGACGTACGTCTGTACATTGATTATGCGGTACCTTGACTATGTCACACTCATTTTCAGGGATCTCAGTCCTATTGGCGTTGGCAGTGGCGTCGCTATCGACAAACAAATGGCAGATTGGCCAATATGTGTGTAAAGTAGTGCGGGTACTTAAGTACTTGTTGGGAAGAAATACAGTTTTGACAATCAGGGAGACGGTTGGGTGTCACAGTATTGACTCACTAGTTGGATCCGGAAGTCGTGTATGTAATAACTTGCCATAGGCACTCCGAGCCTCCGACTCATCCTCCCTTGATCTCGACACGGCTCCCATAATAGCATAGTCGGTCAATAAACCTTCCATTGTTGGCAGATTGGATAAAGCAACGCCAAATAACATGTTTGGAAAAACTGGAAAATCCCCATTTTCAAAGTCAGTTCCACAGCAGACGGGTGCTAGGCTACGCATGACAGCGATAACGGGGCGACAATGGTGGACGAAAAAAATGAGTTTTCTATTTCGCATGTGTTGCATTCGGAAGAAAAATGAGCGCCAATAATTTTGACAAGGGCTGTCACACGACGACGCGTTCACTTCAGCTCTCGGGCCTTGACTGCCCCATGGATGGGCTGGTCACCAGCCTGGGCGGTCGTAGCTGAGCTCAGGAGGTTGTCAGAAGCAGTGAATTCCCGACTCTTGTTCCGCTTGGATTGGATTGTATAGTGTTTATGCAGAGCCCCAAAGATAATAATTAATAATTATAATTATAATAAAGTATAACCTAGACAGCACAATTACCTGGTAAGTATTGGGAATCTTGCACCATCGTTTAGAAAAATGTGCTCATTGTCCTACATTATAACCACAATGTGCCCTGCTGGTTTTTTTCTTCCCGACCACGTTCAAAATCAACACATCCCAACATATACAGTCCTCTCACAACCAGACCTTACTGGGAATAAACGTTAAACCTTCGATTGGTGGCGGATTCGATACGCAGAACGCCAAACATGTCTGGAAACTCTGGAGAACGACCAGTTTCAAAGTCATTTCTGCAGAAGAGGCTGAGTCATGTGTCTACGCATGACAGTGACTTCGATGATGGGGCGACGTTGGTGAACGAAACAAGTGGGTTTTCTGTTTCACATGGGTCGTGTGCGGAAGAAAGATGAGCGTCAGTTCGGAGAGATAATTTAGATAACTTTGATAAGGGCTATCACACGGCCCCGCATTTAATTCAGTTCTCGGGCCTCGGCTGTTTTCTTTGGGTTTCTTCTTATCTCCCAGGGAAAGCTGTCTTCCATCTGTCACCCAAAACTTGAGCGTCATCGCAGGCAAGGTTCATGCAGGATCCGACCTCGTGCACAGCTGTAACTGTATATCGCCCCTGCCACCGTCCCTTTTACGGCCATCTTCCTGTCCAGCTTTACTCCACTTGGAGTACCCTTTCATCTTTCCATCACCACCATTTCTCGCTGCAGAAGCTAATTTGCACTAATGGCAGATTCAATTAGCAACGAGAGCAGGTCTATATCTCGGGGACGTGACTCATTTGTAAGTGGAGTCGTATTTGCCAGATCCATCTTATAATCCTTTCGTGCGTTAGCACTCCTCAGGCAGAGGCGGCATGGGTAACATTCGGCGCTCTTCCATCTCAAGTGATCTTCGTCCCGTCGATGGTCTGGATGATTCTGGTTCGAGTCGTGGGCGGGAGCAAGCAGTGCACCCTGACAGGGTATGTTGCACATCTTTCGCTCTAAGATGCTTACTTACACGGTTCTTGGTAGATGTTCTCAGTGGGTAGGGGTGGAGCGGGTAATATGCGCGCCCCCTCTCAGGAAGTGGGAAAAGACTACCCCCAGACCGTAACTATTCTTAACGAGCATGCCGCGGTTCAGGCAGGATATGAACAGCAGGTCAAGAAGCACCACGCTGAATCCAACCCGATTGTATGTCCGTCCGATGTCATGTCCCGCGGACGTTGATACGAGCCCAATACATCTTAGCATTCTTCTGGAAGAGGCGGTCTTGGCAACATATCAGGCTCCCGCTCTCGTTCTCGTGGTCCAATAGTTCATTCCACGGGACGAGGCGGAGTAGGGAACATTCAATATGGACCTGGCACCGGCGTTGACAATACGGACGAAGAGGAAAGAAAGAAGCATGCTCATGCTCAAGCGATGTATGCGTGCTGTATTCGCTTACCGTCTTGAACTTACAAACTTATGATCCCCTTATTAGACACTCAATTGGTAGAGGCGGAGCTGCAAATCTTACCAGTGTGCACTCGCCTGATGTTGAACGTGTAGTCCATCGTCACAGTGGATTTGAGTCCTCTGGGCGTGGCGGAGCTGGCAACATACGCTCCCGCTCCGCGTCGCGCGACCCAAGTGGACGGACACCTTCCCGCGATACCAAAGAGAAACATAGAATTACTGCGCTGTGGAATAAAGTATCCCACCCCTCCAGCCCCGGCTCCGGGGATCCTGGGTCCCAGGACGAATGACTCGCGCTTGAGCGTCTCCGCACCTCCCCCCATTTTCCTTCTTCCCCACCCCCTTCCCCACTTCCTTACTCTATCATGCGGAGGCGCTCGCATCTTGTTGATATTCCATCATCGCGACGGAATGCACGTTATTTCTCTTATCAGTCATCGTCTGGTTCGTCTAGGAGCATTGGCTCTCTTCCAGTTGTATTAGAAGATCATGAGTATGTGTCTTTTTTGGAACTTTAATTTTTCTCTTCAATTTGCTTTGTTGGTTTATCCTATTGGCTCTTTGCTTATTGCTCTCTCGCTTTCTGTCTGTTTGTCTGCTGTGGTCTCATACTTTATTGGAACGTTCTCATACCCATTGCCATGCTGTATATTCTCACACTCATTTGCAATGCGCGCGTCGCCTGTTCTCATCTTCATGTGTGCTGTTCCCATTATACAGCATCTTTCCCTTCTTATCATTTTGCGCGTCTTTTGATAGATATCTTTTTTCATGTGTCCTGTGCAGTAGACCATGATCCTGCCCTCATATAACTCTGTTTGTCACCGGCGCTCGTCAACCGTGCGCTTTATTTTGACCGTTCCTCTCGAGATAACCTCATCCCGGTACCGGTAATGATGGAAAACTCCTGAAAGTCCTTACCCGCCCTCCTTCCCTTTCCACCTTACAAAGCCTTGAACTCAATCTATTTTCCTGTTATGATCTTCCGCTGATGCCTGTTATTCCCCTGCTCTAGGCGCTGCATCCGATGTGATCGATGGAGGTATTTCCGCCACAGGTGGGGTAGAAGTGGGGTGTGAGCGTGACATATGGACGAGAGAGGAATAGTCAGTAACTTTTTAAGTTGTTGGAGGGTTGTGCATATATTGTATTAATGCCAGATATGTAATTTTGTTCCTCTCTATATATGTACTCGTATTCACGGAACGACCCTGCAGTCTGTGATGTATACATGTGATAATGAATTGACGTAGAGATGATTGGTTATCTGTGTGCTGCGAGAGCACGAGTGTGTCAAAGGGCTTGGCATCTCTATAATAGGCCTTTGGGGACAATGTCCCGCGATCAAGATCGCGTGAATAGCAGTGTGATTATACCTCAGGGAGTATGACAAGATATTTATGTAAATATAGTGTACTTTGACTTTGCACACGACTTTGGAATCTGGATCCATGGACAGAGATCTGTCTCATGTGCAGAGTAGAGCTATCGTCGGAAAGTCCCATATCTCAGGGATACTGCGTACTTTCCATTCCCAAGGAACTAGTCCAACCCACGGTACCCTGCCAATGATGTATGAGCTCTAGTGGCTTTTGGCGGAAATAACCGGCTCGGGTAATAGAGTACTGCCCGCACGTAATACATCAACGTCAACTCGAACCTGTATATGCTAGCCGTAAGATGATCAGGTACAGAAGACGCTGTGACATCTACTGCTTATTAGCTAATAGCCCAAAGTAGTAGCCAGCACGGGTGGGGGGTGATCGTAGGAGAATAAACGGTGTTAGAACCTAGTGTTCTGGGTTGTAAAAACGCTACCCTAGGTATAGGGCAGTAGCCCGTATTTAACTGATTCCAGACGTGGAGATAACGAAGGTTTCGGGTAAAGTGAGAATACAATTTCAAGCTCAAGCATGCACAGTCTTCGCTTTCTTATCTTTCATTTTGATGCTGTGACAGGCACGTCGCCAAAGCCCGCTCAAGGCTTGTTGGACGTAGAGTTCAACCCAACGATACGAATCATAAGCCGTCGCATCCAGGTAGAGTGAGTGAATTCAGTTGTGGTCTGACAAGCAATTTGAAGGCGTGTAATACTTTGTGTAACACCGGCATTTCGAAGGTGCAATAATTCTGATTTGGTGATAATTTCTTATCGATCCATCCTGGTATGGCCCCGGGCCGGCTCTCCAAACTGGCTGTGCTTTTTGCGGAGTTAGGATCCGGTCAGGATGGAATAATTCTCATCTTGATCCAGGCTTGGTGCCTAAATCAGCTAGAACGAATGTCTTCCTTCTATTGGGTTTGAGGAGACAGGCCACACGCAAAAAGCGCTCACCCTGAAGATGATTTTTAATCACACAGAATTACCCCAGACTTGGATCCAATCGCACCTCTCGATCCTCTCTCTACTAAAATGATGGTCAGGTCATAATTTTCCTGCCTCTTATAAGTGAGTCTCGTATCATACCAGGTGCACTCCAAATGTTGATCTCCTGCATTCAAGGATAATATAAGCAACATGAATCTCCACAGTTTGCATGCGACACATGCTCCAGTTATGGACGCATAGAGCTAGCCTATCATAGAGCGTTTTTGATTGTGAACCTCTCAGGGAAGACATACAAAACGCACCAAGGCCAACACCAGCCAAATTTACCGTCCAGTCGAAGGGCCCTAATCCTGGACGGAAGGCTCTCGGAACTATGGCGATTCCGTCGGTAGTGGAGCTCGGCCTAGAAAGATGAGCAAATGATTTGTGGAACGAAAAAAGTAAATATGCAGGGACTGACCCTGCGATAGGCCTGCACGTGAAACTCAATCATATCGACCAATTAGACTTGTGTAAAGAAAAATTAAACTTAACTAACGTGCACGCTAGGACAATCATAATAGGAAATTCAAACTCCACGTAGGCTAACCCATGTGCACGAGACAGGAATATCATATGTATATGGCAGAGAACAAATAACTTCGCCAGCTGAGAAGGAAACCTGCTTGCGATAGATCTCAGTCAAATATATATATGAACGGAGGATCACCGTATCGCACCTGAAATACTGTAAAGTCAGCATGCTCATTGTGCTTGTGATATGGAGCATGTGCGCTGTCATGGGCGACCAGTGTTCAAGTTGCCTCTTGTCCGACTCTTTCACCGTTGGAAGGCACTATGTAGTTCCTTTGATACCACCCTGCCGGCTCTAATAAATACCGTCACCATGGAGGATGCAACTGCGAAACCATAGTGTGACATCAAACCAGTCGACTCACTGAGTCACTCTCCACAAGACTACCAAAAACATGTTAGCGGCCACTGGTTCCCACTTGGGAAAACCTGAGACTGGGTATTTTCCTGGTTATTGTGTTAACCGTAAGAGGGGCGTATGAATCTTGTATGAAGCAGTATCTGCATACCATTGAAAAACAGCGCTTCACGAATAGAACGCTCTAACGCTGTGAAAATCGTGATTTTGGCAAACTATTTGCAATGCTGTTCTTCGCCGTCAGAAAGGACGCTAACAGTAATGTGACCGGACTTTCGAATTTATCTGACGTGATAAAGTAGTTCGTCAGTGTCTCAGCATGATTGCGGAACAAAAAGTCAAAGAACAGAATAGCTACTAGCCTACCGTGTCGTGCTTACGAAATTTAAACCCCTCCAAATCATATAAACCAAGAGACCGCACCATTAATCCATAGCCAGTCCAATGAGTAAGCTTTAACGAGTAGCTGTATGAGCAAGTTACAAATGACAACGACCAACTATACCTTGATCAAAATATCGAGTCCTGAGTTCAAGCCACGGTGGCATGTTGCAAGACAAAATGCACAAACCTCCACGAGCACCACGTTACTAACGCTCTCGATCACTCAACTGTCTCAGAACGGGAGACGATTGAGAATGCTTGACTCACTGTAGCAAGTTCAATTTCCTGATTGTCTCATGACAAGTTGCCAGTTGGTTACAGAAGGAGAAGGCACGAACGCGGTGCAGTTGATCAAGATGATCATCACCACGGCTGCGCCCGAAACCCGGTATCCCACGGCCACGCCTAAGCCACGCCTTCGGCTGGAGTGCGCTCAAATGTGGTTTCTGTGTTTGGGAAGTTCCGTTTGTCGAGATCACCGGAGCTTCCTGCCAAGCAGCGCAATACGTCCGAGTCTTGTAACCCAATTTTAAGTTCGAAAAATTGAACGCTGGTCAGATTTATCAACCCACGCCACAATATACTGAGCAATAGTTATTATTATAGTCAGGCTGGTATGTAATCATGAACCATCGACGTAGGTCGACGTGTAGAGCGTATCAACGATAGCTACATCTCCCGTGCTCTAACACAATTCCCGCGTCTGCTTTCCCTCTATGTCGTTGAAAGTAATTTCGTCCGTATCGCTTGTCTTCAGGGAACGGGAACCAAACTTAGATAGATCCTCCAGTACAATCGTGGTACTTTCAACACCTATTAAAGTCGTGGCGAGAGGGTCGCGAACGCGTTTCCTGGGTTGTGATCCGAAAGTCACGATGGGTGTCGGAGTGGATGGTGATTCTTCTTCTGCCTTTAAATTGAATATGAACGCGACGACGACGCTCAAGTTTGCGACAATTAGAGACATAGAAGCCTGAAACGCGATCAGCAGCGCTCGGGGTCCAAACACTACACGTACCTCAACTATAGCAGCCATAATCACCTTCAACCCGCCAGCAGAAAAGATGTAATATGCATGGGTGAGACTAACAATCGTCGTGATCGCTGATGCAGAGAAGACAGATAATACCCGGACTTTTTGTGTCCTTGACAATCTGACTTTGTAAACGAGGCAAAAGGGAGCCAAGATCAGAACAAAGTCCCCTAGAACGTCGGCTGAAATTCGTCAGAAGACCAATGTATTTTATGAACAATGTGATCTCACTAATCATCTGCGTTATGGCAACATCCTTGCCGAGATTGCACTGCGGACGTGGTTGTGTTTTCCAGCTGGACTCAGTTTCACAAATCCACCACAATTGTGAAAAAAGTAGAGCCCATACAATGCCGAAGGTAATGGCAGTGTACATGAGAACCCTCCTAACAAAGGTTCCCGGGGCTGTGAGTCGTACAATGGTAAACAGTATGGATAACCTCGATGACCTATGTGCGCATGTCAGTTCCGTCGCTTTGCTGTGGCTCTAAAACCTCAGTGCCTTACCATACAATTACGTAAAAGCATTGGGCAAATCTGAGATGATGGTTGTGAGTTCTCCCATTTATAAGAAGCTATAAGACAGGAGAACACACATGTAGTATAATGCTACCCTCGTATTTTGAGGGTATTTTTCTGCGTTCTTCAGTAAGACGCATACAACATACACAGGAAACACTCACCGAAGTCTTGCAGATACAAACAAGAGACGACTAACAGGATGAAGTTGAATGTCATACCGAGGGTTGCCCATACATCATCAATCCACAGACGTCCCTGTCGCACACGAACATACAAGCGGAAAGAAGTGATAATGATTGCCATGATTGTGATGACAATGTCTACGACTAAGAAGAAACGTCAACTACAGCAACGCAGGAAGTCAAGTAATCAGACCTGCCTTCGATCTGAGCAAGGGTGGGGCCTGAGGGCGACATCATGCATTTTCGGAGAAAGTAAGTCGGGCAAACGGCATATATAACCCAAAATAGAGGAAGATGCCGCATTAGCAAGCTGTTCACGTGTAGACCACCGGTGAGCTTCTTTGTATGCATCACGACCGCAAGACGTTGCTGTGTTTCCGGATCATTCCACTACCTGAAAGTAGTAGATCAGCCAAGTCTTGCCAGACCACTATCTCGCCTCATAAAAGGGCCGATCTGATCATTTGTCTGGCGGCAGTGTATACAGCTACTTACCATGATTAGTATTGGCCGTTCTAGAAAACGATATCGAACAGCATTGAACGAGACAGGAGTGATTCGAAGGAAGTCTAGTTCCGGGTAGGCACGTAGGTGACCAGCCTCAATAATGCCACCCCTTGTTCCTTTATTTCACCTTTCAGGTCTGGTATCGCTGTTCTTGACGTCAGCAAACTGCGTGAATTTGCATCGATCAGGGAGAGCTGGAAAACATTTCGAGACCTCAAGATCAGTACAACCGAGGTCCTCAAGTGTGAAGTGCACTACGCTACCAATAGCAAGCAATGCTTCCAAACGGTCGTGGCAGATTTGCGAGTGATGGCAAGAACTGCGGGGAACTGTGGACTGCGCATGGCGCCATCATATACACCGCAAGAAGTGAGCTATATCTGAGGCTAACCTGACCGGTTTTGAGCAGAGAAAGTTGTTCGGGATTTGCCGAGCGGATAGCCTCGTGACTCAGAAGTTCAACCTGGGCGGTAAGTATTTTGATCGTCAGTCTACACTGTATGATATATCCTGAGAGCAACATCATTCTGCAGCTCGCCTGTGTGGGTACGATCAGCGTCCTTCTAGTCACTACTGATTTCGTCTCGCGTCCTCTACGATGGGTTTTGCTTCTGCTTTTCTCCCTTTTACAATCATGCCTCGCACAACTCTTGCCACAGTGCACCTTCATACTCGCGTACCTGCCACTACCTTGCATATAAGTCTCTTTCTTATTTTACTAATACAATGATATTCGTTTTCTGTAGCATTGCTACAGCGTCCTCCTGCCTCTTCTCACACGCCTCTCCGCCCTTTCGCACCCTCCCGCACCCTCCCCGCCTTGTCTCGCACCTTTTCACACCATCTAGCACCATCCCGCGTTGCCATTGCCTTGCGCCTTCACGTGCCGTCTAGCGCCGTCCCACGATGTTGCACACCATCTCGCAGCTTCCTGAATTCTCTCCCACCTTATAAGAGAGGATTTCTGGATTTCTATACCGTATGCACTGTAATCATGGAGCATCGACGGAGGTCAACGTGTACATAGAGTGAATCAACGATAGGCCACATCTCCCGTGCTCTAACACAACTCATTAGATCGCCTGCTTTCCCTCCCAGCTATTTACAGAATTTTCGTCGTCGTTGTCTGTCTTTAGAGAACGGAGACCAGACTTAGATAAATCCTCCAGTACGATCGGGGTACTTTCAACGCCTATAAAAGTCGTGGCAAGAGGGTCACGAACGCGTTTCCTGGGCTGTGATCCAAAGGTTACGATGGGTGTCGGAGTCGATGGTGGATCTTCTCCTGCCTTTAAATTGAAAATGAACGCGACAACGACGCTCAAGTTTTCGACGATTAGAGACATAGAAGCCTGAAGCGCGATCAGCAGCGTTCGAATTCTAAACACTGACACTGCACCTCAACCATGGCAGCCATAACCTCCTTTGTCCCTCCACCAGAGAAGATGTAATAGGCATGGGTGAGACTAACAATCGTCGTGATCGCTGATGCAGAGAAGACAGAAAATACCCGGACTTTTTGCGCCCTTGACAATCTGACTTTGTAAAGGAGGGAAAAGGGAGCAAAGATAAGGAAAAGGTCCCCTAGAACGTCGGCTGAAAATTGTCAGAAGACCAGTATATTTCATGAACAATGAATCCTCACTGATCATCTGCGTTATTGCAACACTTCTGCCGAGATCGCATTGTGGATGTGGTTGTGTTCTCCAGCCAGACTCAGTTTCACAAATCCACCACACTTGTGAAAAAAGTAGGGCCCATATAGTGCCGAAGATAATGGCAGCGAACATGAGGATACTCCTAAAAAAAGTTCTCGGGACTGTGAGTCGCACAATGGTAAACAATATGGATATCCTCGATGACCTGTGTGCACGTTAGTTCCGTCACCTTGCCATGTCACTGCTGGAGCATCAGTATCTTACCATACAACTGCGTAAAAGAATTGGACATCCCTGATGTGGCATTTGTGACGTCTCTCAGGTATAAGAAGTAAAGAGAACGTACATATAGTATAATGCTACCCGTGTGCTTTGAGGATATCTTTCTGCGTTTCTTCAGTAAGATGTATGCGACATACACACTGCGGAGACGCTCACCGTAGTCTTGCAGATACAAACAATCGGTGACTAATAGCATGAAGTTGAATATCATACCGAGGGCTGCCCACGCATCGTCGATCCACAGACGCTTCTGCCGCGCACGAACATACAAGCGGAGGGATGTGACGATGATAGCTACGATGGTGAGGACAATGCCTGCGACTAAAAAGAGTATCAACTCCAGCGACACGGTAAGTCAAGTAGACAGACTCGCTTTCAATCTGAATAAGAGTGGGGCCTGAAGACGACATGATACGTTTTCTGAAAAAGTAAGACGGGCGAGCGGCATATGTAACCCAAAAAATAAAGGAAGATGCCGCATTGGCAAGCTAACGGTTGACGTATAAACCACCAGTAAGCTTGTTTGCATGGACCACGTCATTTTGACCGCAAGACATTGCTGTGTTTCGGGATCATTCACCACCTGAAAGTAGTATGTCTTGATAGCCCATTACCTCATCTGATGAAAAGCTGATCAGCTAATGGAAGTTCTCTGGTAGAGCACTTTGTTTGATCAATCAGTGGAAATCGACTTAGGTAGAGGTTGTATGGCATTTCCGAACAGACCGCCCTTCAAGTTGATCTGATCATCGGCCTAGCAGCAATGTAGACAGCCACTTACCTTGATTAGTATTAGCCGTTCTTGAAAACAACATCGAACGGGGTCGAATAAGACTGGAGTAATCCGAAGGCAGTCCAGCTCCGGTAGCCACGTGGGTGACTGGAATAACATTGTTGTCCCCACCTTACCTTAGCTACTCCTACCAATTGCCGGACAGTTCACAGAGCGCAAGTAGATAGCCAGATAGATTTGGTATTCATTGATGTCACGAGCACTGCCGCAAGCCCAAAAGTTTCAAAGATTAATGGGTAGTCGGTTGTTCGGAACCCGGGTCCGTGTGCATCGCTGTTGTTGATGTCAGCAAGAGTTTATATCGATCAGGGAGATCTGGAAATTATTTCAAGACCTTAAGATCAGTACAACCGAGGTCCTCAAGTGTGAAGTGCACTACGCTACCCATAGCGCGCGATGCCCACGGCGGTCGTGGCAGACTTGCAAGTGGTGGCAAGAACCGCGGGGAAATAGCGCCATCATGTAGCCCGAGTGACCGATAAAATTTTCAAAGGGATCCCTCTCGAGATAAAGTTGCGACGGATATCCGATAGTCACCAATATACGCATGCAGGAAATCGCACGTATGGAGAAGCATACGTGGCGTGAACGTCGAAAGCATGACTGTCTGTTGTGCCATTCCTGCCCCGCAACTTTCTTGTTGATGCGTTAATATAATGCGAACTGACAATGAAAAGAGTGAGACCAATGGGCGAAAGTACAGACGGCATAACAATCTAAATTGCTCGCATCGTTAAGTTCAAGATCCCAAGTAATGGAAATATCAACAAAAAGCGTACCTTTGCAGCATAGTGACTGTGGAGGTAGCACCAACGACCGCGAGAGAGTTGCTGTATCGTCAACATGCTTCATGTCAGCTACTAGTACCTTGCAAAATAATATCATCAGGGGACTCGTGAACCGAAGATATTGTCATATATGCCGATATATGATCATATATAGGAAAGGTTTTCTTTATATTGGAATATAAAGTCATATAAAGCCATGTATAACGTCGGAAAACCACCGCAATCAACGTAAAGCACCCTGGGTAGACTCACGAATTCTCTGATGATGCATACCCAGGTGCGACGGGCGCCTTTACAATGACTGGTGTTAGGTCATTAGCGGCCATTAGGTGAGAATTATCAAAACGGCAGGCTTTCCAAAGTTGCGGCTTGTATTTGCAGGAAACTAGTCTTCTTGGTTTCTCTCGGTACTTGGTTTCCTGACTTACAAAACAGTGTGTAACCGGGGCCCGAGCTAGGGTGGGAGGGCGAATGTGATGCGTCTATGACCGACAGTCACTAGATTTGCCCGAGTGTTACAAATGGGAGGGATCGCGAATGAATTAAGTAGAGCTCTCGTTAGGATAGTACTAGGGTCAGACCTGGTTGGGAGAGGCACGTCGAGAAGAAGCTTCTTGAGTTGATGAGCGCGTTTCACGGTTAGGCGGGAGGAGGATTGAATCATCCAAGCTCTACGAATGATGATTTCAGACAGGGCTGACTACAAGAGAGATCTAGGAAAGAAAAGAAAAAACAATGGTATATATTAAATATTCTCACATTTCGCTCTAATGACGGTTGCTGAATGTACAGGTTCTTACTGATAATTGTACAATGATATTCGTTTTCAGTAGCATTGCTACTGTACAGCATCCTCCTGCATCATCTCACACCTCTCTCCGCCCTTTCGCATCTTCCCCGCCTTGTCTCGCACCTTTTCACACCATCTAGCACCACCCCGCATTGCCATGGTCTTGTGCCTTCACATACCATCTAGCGCCATCCCACGATGTTGTTGCACACCATCTCGCAGCTTCCTTGAATTCTCTCCCACCTCATGAGAGAAGATTTCAATATTTATATACCGTATGCACCGTAATCATGAAGCATCAACGTAGGTCAATGTGTACAGAGCGAATCAACCATAGACTGCATCTCCCGGGCTCTAATACAACTCATTAGATCGTCTGCTTTCCCTCCCTGTTTACAGAAATTTCGTCGTCGTCGCTTGTCTTCAGAGAACGGGTACCAGACTCAGATAGATCCTCCAGTACGATCGGGGTACTTTCAACACCTATAAAAGTCGTGGCGAGAGGGTCGCGAACGCGTTTCCTGGGCTGTGATCCGAAAGTCACGATGGGTGCCGGAGTGGATGGTGATTCTTCTTCTGCCTTTAAATTGAAGATGAACGCGACAACGACGCTCAAGTTCGCGACGATGAGAGACATAGAAGCCTGAAGCGCGATCAGCAGCGTTCGAATTCTAAACACTGACACCGCACCTCAACCATGGCAGCCATAACCTCCTTTGTCCCTCCACCAGAGAAGATGAAATATGCATGGGTGAGACTGACAATTGTGGTGATCGCTGATGTGGAGAAGACAGATAATATCCGGACTTTTTGCGCTCTTGACAATCTGACTTTGTAAAGGAAGAAAAAGGGAGCAAGGATAAGGAAAAAGTCCCCTAGAACGTCGGCTGAAATTTGTCAGAAGACCAGTGTATTATATGAACAATAAATCCTCACTGATCATCTGCGTTATTGCGACACTTCTGCCGAGATCGCATTGCGGATGTGGTTGTGTTTTCCAGCCAGACTCAGTCTCACAAATCCACCACAATTGTGAAAAAAGTAGAGCCCATATACTGCCGAAGATAATGGCAGCGAACATGAGAACTTTCCTAAACATGGTTCTCGGGACTGTGAGTCGTACAATGGTAAACAATATGGATATCCTCGATGACCTATGCGTGTGCACGTCAGTTCTGTCACTTTGCCATGTCACTGCTAGAGCGTCATTATCTTACCATACAACTGCGTAAAAGAATTGGGCAACCCTGATGTAACATTTGTAACGCATCTCAAGTATAAGAAGAAAATAGGACGTACATATAGTATAATGCTACCCTTGAGCCTTGAGGGTATCTTTCTGCGTTTCTTCAGTAAGACGTATGCGACATACACGCTGCGGAGACGCTTACCGTAGTCTTGCAGATACAAGCAATCGACGATTACTAGTATGAAGTTGAATATCATGCCGAGGGCGGCCCACGCATCGTCGATCCACAGACGCTTCTGCCGCGCACGAACACACAAGCGGAAGGATGTGGTAATGACAGCCACGATGGTGAGGACAATGCCTGCGACTAAAAAGGGTATCAACTCCAACGACACAGTAAGTCAACCAGCCAGACTCACTTTCAATCTGAACAAGAGTGGGGCCTGAAGACGACATGATATCTTTTCTGAGGAAGTAAGACGGGCGAACGACATATATAACCCAAAAAACAAGGAAGATGCCGCATAATTGGCAAGCTGTTAACGTATAGACCACCGGTAAGCTTGTTTGCATGAGCCACATCATTTTGACCACAAGACATTGCTGTGTTTCGGGATCATCCACCACCTGAAAGTAGTATGTCTTGATAGCCCGTTATCTCATCATGATGAAAAGGCCGATCAACTGATGGGAGTTCCCTGGTGGAGCATTTCGTGCAATCAATCAGTTGAGATCGACTGCGGTAGAGGTTGCATGACATTTTCGCACAGACCGCCCTTCAAGTTGATTTGATCATCTGTCTAACAGCAATGTATACAGCTACTTACCTTGGTTAGTATCAGCCGTTCTTGAAAACAACATCGAACAGCGTCGAACGAGACTGGAGTAATCCAAAGGCAGTCCAGCTCCAGTAGCCACGTGGGTGGCCGGTCTCAATAACACTGTTGTCCCTTGTTCTCACCTTACCTTGGTTACTCCTACCAACAGTTTACGGAGCGTAAGTAGATAGCCAAATAGTTTTGGTATTTATTGATGTTACGAGCACTGCTGCAAGCCTCAAAATTTCAAAGATGAATGGATGGTTGATTGTTCGGAACCCGGGTCCGTGTGCACCGCTTTTCTTGATGTCGGCAAACTGCGTGATATCATGATACAAGCAAGAGTTTATATCGATCAGAGAGAGCTGGAAAACATTTCAAAACCTTAAGATCAGTACAACCGAGGTCCTCGAGTGTGCAGTGCACTATGCTACCCATGGCAAGCAATGCTCACGGTCGTGGCAGACTTGCGAGTGATGGTAAGAACCGCGGGGAACCGCGGATCGTGTATAACGCCATCATGTAGTCAGAGTGACTGATGGAAACCTCAAAGCTATACCTGACAACTGTTTGTGCCTCGAACACCCTAGAGATGGATCCCTCTCGAGATAAAGTCGCGACGGATATCCGATAGTCACCAATATGCGCGTACAGGAAATTGCGCATATGGAGAAGCATACATGGTATGAACATTCAAAGCATGGTTGTCCGTTATGCCATTCCCGCCCTGCAACTTTCTTGTTGATGCGTTGATAAAATACAAACTGACAATGAAAAGAGTGAAACCAATGGGCGCAGGTACAATAATCTAAATCGCCCGCATCGTCAAAGCTTAAGACCCCAAGTAATAGAAATACTATCAACCAAAAACGTACCTTTGTAGTGACTGTGGAGGTAGCACCAACAAACGCGAGACAGTTGCTATATTGTCAACATGCTTTTTGTCAGCCACTAGTACCTTGCGAAATAATGCATACCCAAGTGCGGTAGCTTTACAATGACCGGTGTTAGGTCATTAGGGGCTGTCAGGTAAGAATTATTAAAACGGCAGGCTTTCCGAAGTTGCGGCTTGTATTTGTATCTACTAGCTAGGGAATTAGTCTTCTCGGTCTCTCTCGGTACTTCATTTCCTGACTTACGAAACAGTGCGTGATCGGGGACTATAGCAGATCCAGGACTCCTTAGCCATATCCGTTGCCAACAAGTGTCCTTTATTTCTTTGCCGCGTGCCCGCGCGACTCTCACTGACCACCCTGAAGTCAGACGATGGTTCACAGCCAACCCCTGACATTCGTCAAATGCAGGGCATGCATAGGGCGGGAGTCAGTAGAGGAGTCCGAGCTAGGGTGGGAGGGTAAATGTGATGCGTCGGTGACCGACAGTCACTAGATTCGCCCGAGTGTTACGAATAGAAGGTTCGCGAACGAATTCAGCAGAAGATAGAGCTAGGGTCAGGCCTGGTTGGGAGAGGCACGTCAAGCATAAGCTTCTCGAATCGATACGCATGCTTCACGGTTATGCGGGATAAAGATCGAATCATTCAAGCACCACGAACGATGGTTCCAGACAGGGCTGACTACAAGAGGGATCTAGAAAAGAAAAGATAAACAATGATATATATTAACGATCGAATTCTTACTATTACTTTGGGAATTTTATATAACCCCATAGTACGATTAACTCCGGCCGCCGCGCGTAAATAGCTGTCACAGCAAGACATCGACTAGCACTTTCCGGATGAGGGTAAACGCAAAAACGACACCGGTACCCGTACGTCTCCTTGAACGAAGACGGACTCACCACATGAAGTTTTCAACATTGTGTCTTGTCGAGCAGGATATCGACATCTGCATTGAATCGTTTAATTGGCAGGGCACTGAACATATCCACCGGGTGACCGGGTGCAGCTACTAATGCACCCGTGTTAGGTCCTCGTTGTCTGCGTTCCGACGAGACTTGAGTGAGGACAATTAGTTGGCAGGGCACTGTGAACAGATCCACCGGGTGACCGGGCGCAGATACTAATGCACCCGTGTTCAATTTTTGTCCTCAGTCAGGGGACAAGCCTCGAGTATAGTCTAGACACAAATGGCAAGAACGATCATGATCGATCGGTAAAATGCGACTTGCGGGGCAAGTTCCGCAGAAATGTAGAGGAAATTAAACGTTATCCATTCGCAGAGCTGAGGCATAAATTTATCGACCCTAAATAGAGGAAATTAGATGGATCCATTCGACAAAGACCCTCCTCCACTGACGTGGGAGTCGGGGATGAATTAACGTCGTTGTGCCCTAACACCATTCATTCGTCTGCTTTCCATCCCTATTGCTAAAAGAAATTTCGTCGTCATCGCCTGTCTTCAGAGAACGGGGACGAGACTCAGATAGATCCTCCAGTACAATCGGAGTACTTTCAACACCCGTCAAAGCCGTAGCAAGAGGGTCGCGAACGCGCTTCCTGGGTTGTGATCCAAAAGTTATGATGGGTGTCGGAGTGGATGGTGAATCTTCTTCTGCCTTTAAATGGAAGAAGAAGGCGACGACGACGCTCAAGTTCGCAACGATTAGAGACATAGAAGCCTGAAACGCGATCAGCAGGGCTCGAGGTCTAAACACTGACATCGCACCTCAACTATAGCAGCCATAACCTCCTTTGTCCCTCCACCAGAGAAGATATAATATGCATGGGTGAGACTAACAATCGTGGTGATCGCTGATGCAGAAAAGACAGACAGTACCCGGACTTTTTGCCCCGTTGACAATCTGACCTTGTAAATGAGACAAAAGGGAGCTAAGATGAGAACAAAGTCCCCTAGAACGTCGGCTGAAATACATCAGAAGACCGATGTATCTGATGAACAAGGACTCCTCACTGATTATCTGCGCTATCGCAACACCTCTGCCAAGATCACACTGCGGATGTGGTTGTGTTTTCCAACTGGGCTCGGTTTCACAAACCCACCACACTTGTGAAAAAAGTAGAGCCCATACGATGCCGAAGGTGATGGCAGTGGATATGAGAACCCTCCTAAAAAAGGTTTCCGGGACTGTGAGTCGGACAATGGTAAACAGTATTGACAACCTCGATGACCTATATGTGTATGCACGTCAGTTCCGTCACTTTGCCAAGCCACTGCTAGAGCGTCAGCATCTTACCATACAACTGCATAAAATAATTGAGCAATCCTGATGTGATATTTGTAACGTCTCTCAAGTATAAGAAGAAAAAAGAACACACATATAGTATAATGCTACCCTTGTGCCTTGAGGGTATCTGTCTGCGTTTCTTCAGTAAGACGCATGCAACGTATACACCACGGAGATGCTCACCAAAGTCCTGCAGATACAAGCAATCGGCGACTAATAGCATGAAGTTGAATATCATGCCGAGGGCGGCCCACGCATCATCGATCCATAGACGTTTATGCCGCGCACGAATACACAAGCGAAAGGACGTGACAATGACAGCCACGATAGTGAGGACAATGTCTGCGACTAAAAAGAGTATCAACTCCAGTGTTGCAGCAAGTCAAGCAGCCAGACTCGCCTTCAATCTGAGCAAGAGTGGGGCCGGAGGAGGACATAATTCGTTGTCTGAGGAAGTATGATGGGCGAACAGCATATTATATATAGTGCTATTCGAATCAAAAAATTTAAATTAAGTTGCGTTCAGAGTCAATCAACTTGCAAGACAACTTAGTGTATTGATCGTCCTTTCTCGTAAATTAAATACATACGCGGACCCTAAAAATTTCCTAATTTGTCCACCCTCGCGCCGGCTAAACCTTCGCATGGGAGTAGCAAGTGCGATGTCTCGCAGTATCGTTATCTACTACGTAGAACACAAGTTAGCTACATATAGTATTGCGCACCCAACCTTCCCATAATCAAAGTCTTTGAATATCTCAAACATGTATCATTGTTACTGAAGATACTGCATGAAAAATACTTGAATCGCTTAAATAAATCTTTCCCAAGAAACTCGAACACACTACATATGTCATGAAAAGGTTTAGACTCTGGAGTCCATGCATGTATTAATTTATGAGAGGATGGCTGTAAGCTGTCAAGTTGACTTCGAACACTTTAAATTTTTTAGAATCGAACAGGGCTAGCAGGCCAAGTACTAAATCGCCGTTACAGTCACTTGTACTTAGTAATGCACCGCCGTCCGTCCGATCAATAACACAGGCAAGTGCTGCCGCCTGTGCTTATCTGTAAACCACCAATATTTGATTTGTTTGTATGCATTGTGTAATGCTGCGTATGAGTTCGACAGGGATTGATAGATCATGAGAGATGAGTGAGGGGGAGTTAATTCAAGTACTGAAGATACGGAAAGTAAGAACATGCTTTTATATCAAAGTGAGTAGCTATAGCGGCACAAAGGGAACTCCATCATGATAGCCGGTAGAGTAGCACTTGAAACCGGTATTCGATAGCCGGCAGTAGTGACAAAGGGAATTCTGTAGCCAGCGGAGTGACACTCTTTTACAGTTACATCATGTCGATCATGAAACACTGCATACTTGCGCTCCACAACTACGTGGCGCTTGGAGGTCAGCCAGAGTGTGTGTCCCCTATAGCTATTACTCGTCCGAAATTCTCGGTTCCCAGAAGTTGCGTCACTTCAAGGTACGCGCATTGATATTGCTCCTTCAGGCCCACTATGCAAGACCCCGAGGAGCCCATTCTTGTTGGTTCCAACGGTTATTCTTTCATTAACGCCGTCTTGCTTCCCAACACCGCACCTGCTGCTCACTCCCCTGAATATTCATGTACATTCTGATTCAGCTCAATAGGGAGTTTTACCAAGTGACTTTTGGGTTTTTCACGGTACAAAACCGCGATCCACTTGGTGCAGGATAGGTATCAACTGCGTAACACATAGTAGGTATTAAATTCTAGTTGGTTACTCGAGAATTCAGTAAGTCCATATCTCCAATGCCCTCGTTCAACAAATACACATCTCCCTTCGTGTAGTCCAAATTCCAACTTATCCAAGCTCCTGCTGTTCACACCGCTTGAATCACAAACATGCTGTCACCATCTGATCATGCTCTGGCTTCCACTCATTAACCCCTTCTGTTTCACGACAGCGGATCTCAAGACTCACGGGCACTATCACACTTCATTTTGTACTTCTGCCTACGAGAAACCTGTAACACTTGGTATGTTTTCTTTCACCTGGATGCACCTTCCTCCCAACCCGCATGACATTGTACCCTATTTCAACGATTATCTTGGATCCCACGTCTCGCTTTGGTCTGATTTTCGACAACTCCGTGGTTCGGTCGAGACATGGTACCGTGGCCTCAGCAAACCCGCGACACTTTATTCGACTTATCGTCGCACTTGTGGGCTAAAACTCAGTATATCCACAATTTGGCACGCAACTAATTAGTACAGAGTACATGTTCAAGATACCACTAATCTGGGACTGGGACGAGCTTTTCGAAATATGTAGTCAATGTTAAAGGTATTTGTGGCGAGGATGCTTTGATTGCATATCCCGCACTAAGGAACTTGGGATGAGGACGGGAAAGAAAATACATGGGGGGAGGCGCGGATACGCTTGAGCGCGAGTCATTTCATTCTTCCCGGGACTCAGGACCCCCGGGGCCGGAGCCAGAGCCGGGGTTGGAGGGGTGGGATACCTTGCTCCACAGAGCAGCAATTCCATGTTTCTCTTTGGTATCGCGGGAAGGTGTCCGTCCACTTGGGTCACGCGAGGCGGAGCGGGAGCGTATGTTACCGGCCCCGCCGCGCCCAGAGGACTCAAAATCACCGAGATGATGGACTACATGTTCAACATCAGGCGAGTGCACATTGGTAAGATTTGCAGCTCCGCCTCTGCCAGTTGAGTGTCTGATAAGGGGATTATAAGTTTGTAAGTTCAAGATCACAAGAAAATGCAGTATGCATACATCGCTTGAGCATGAGCATGCTTCTTCCTTTCCTCTTCGTCCATATTGTCGATGCTGATGGCAGCTCCATGTTGAATATTCCCTGCTCCGCCTCGTCCCGTGGAATGAACTATTGGACCACGAGAACGAGACCGGGAGCTTGATATGTTGCCAATACCGCCTCTTCCAGAAGAATGCTAAGAAGTATTGGATTAGCATCAATGTTGCAGGACATGACATCAGACGGACATACCATCAGGTTGGATTCAACGTGCTGCTTCTTGACTTGCTGTTCATGTTCTGCCTGAACTGCAGCGTTGAGGACAGTTGCAGTCTGGGGGTAGCCTTTTCCCACATCCTGAGAAGGAGAGCGAATGTTACCCGCTCCACCCCTACCCACCGAGAACATCTGTATCCGCCAAGAGCCATGTGAGTAAGCATATTAGAGCGAAAGATGTGCAACATACCCTGTCAGGGTGCACCGCTTGCTCCCGCCCACGAGTCAAGTCAGAATCATCCGGGCCATCGACAGGGCGAGGATCACTTGAGACGGAAGAGCCTCGAATGTTACCTATGCCGCCTCTACCCGAAGATTGCTAACGCACGAAAGGATCATGAGATGCATGTAGCATTGAATACCACTGCACTTACAAATAATCCACGTCCCCGAGATGCAGACCTGCTCTCGTTGCTAATTGAATCTGACATGAGCACAAATTAGCTTCTGCAGCGAGAAACGATGGTGATGAAAATATGAAAGGGAGTGGAGTATATAAAGCTAGACAAGGAAGGTGGCCATAAAAGGGGCAGTGGCAGGGGCAGTATACAGCTACAGCTGTGTACAAGGTCGGATCCTGTCGGATCCTGCACAAACTTTGCCAGCGATGACACTGGAGTTTTGAGTGACAGGAAGACAGCTTTCCCTGGGAGATAATAAACCGAAAGAGGCAGCCAAGGCACGACAATGCGTGGTCGTGTAATAGCCTTCATGAAAGTTATATTTAAATTATTTCTCCAAACTGGCGCCCATCTTTCTTCCGGGAATATAAAAACACATGTCAAACAGAAAACTCACTTGTTTCGTTCACCAACGTCGCCCTATCATCGCTGTCATGCGTCGGCACTCGGCTCAGCCTCTGCTGTGGAAATGACTTTGAAAATGGAGATTCTCCGGAGCCTCCAGACATGATTGGCGTTCTGTTTATCGATTCTGCCAGCAATCGGAGGTTTATCGACCGACTATATTACTATTACGGGAGTTATGGTTATATCGATATCAAGGGAGGATTTAGATGAGTTGGCGTGCATGCATGTAGGGTTTTATACATGACTTCCGGATCCAACTAGTGAGTTGCACTGGTGACTGTAAACATCAACGTTGCTGGACCCTCCATCGTGCGAGCAGGTGGTCCCGCGAACGTTGTGCTAGGGGTTTGTAATTAGCGCACGTGTAATGGCCCCTCGTACTTGAATCCCTGCCCAAGGGCCAAACGTCCCCCTAATTTTCAAAATGGAGCTGGCTCTGGACTCGACTTCGTTTGGATTTCCTCGTTCAGGTGTTGTGACGTAGCTCGCCGGAATTTCCCGGTTGAGCGCTAGCGCAGGTTCGTTTTTCGATCTACAAGTTCGGCATACTGCACATATCCTCACTTGTTATCCTTATCGTCCCTTGCGCTCACCCGCCACTCCCTCTACTACGATTTTGTAGAATTCCTTTTGTTGCTCGATATATATGTCCTCGTTAGCATATATAGGGTATATGATATATAGTTTTCGAATTTGAATTTGAACAATTGATTTGGCCATCTACGCTCACATAAGCTCAGGTACCGGCTATTAATTGCCTTGGTCACATGACTCACATCGCAGTGCACGGTAGCGGGTTTCCCGGCCTCCCAGCGACTCCACCTGCTTGCGTCCCACCCCGAGGTAGCGCTCAAACCAGCACAACACAATTATGTAAATAGTGTCACCGACTCTAGCAGGAGCCAGACAAAGCTGGAAAACAAGTACTTGTACCGCGTTTGGCCCATCTGTCATTCCTGCTACCTTTAGGTAGAGGTCCGACTCAGCAAACGCCGCTGCCAGACTGAGATCTGAGACCCCGAAAACGAATATGACACCGCCAAGGCACCACAACGTATGGGCATCGGACGAGTAACAGGGGAGTACCAGTCTTATTTTAGCCGATGGGGCCGATGTCCCCCGGTTAATCACTGTTCGCTTCGTGGAGGTTGTGTTTGAGGACTTCCAGAGGATAATCTCCACTAAGAGACAACTACTATTGCAAAAGTCATACAAACTAAGAGAAAGCGCCATTAATCCATAGTACGGTGAGTAGATATAACAAGTAACTGCGAGAACAAGTTGCAAATAACGACGATCTACACCTTGAAAATTGCGAGTCCTGAAAACGACATGTCACAAGACAATGCAGACCTTCCAAAGTGTCGTAACACTCCTGATCACGCGACCTCCATCCTCGTACCTGCCTCCAATTCCAGAACCTTTAGATGCGTGAGACCACATGCCCCGCGGACCCAGTCGCGTACTAAGCGGTATTTCCGTGTTTCGGTGCATCCAGGGACGTCACACTGTGGTTTCTCTTTTGGCAGAGGTGGCTGTGGCGCCAGCACAGTGCCGGAAAGGACAGAAATGGGCACGCCTAATGTGAGGCGCATCTTTCCCTGAGCGACATCCTCCTGTGACATAGTAGACGAATCCGCCAAAGGTCGTGTACTGGACACCCACCGCCAAGTAGTCGGTAGGACGACCTCCTTCTCCTCTTGCTCGACCTCACGTTCACCTTCGGATGCACTGGCCTCTGCGGTGGAGAGAGCGCTGCGCTTGGCTTTAGACTTTGACTGCTTTTTGAGGAGGCGGTTGATAGTTTCTGCCTGCAGGGAGTGGAGTTGTATATAGCAGGGGATGACAAATAGAATGCCGGATATTCATTTGATGGTACGTGAAGTCATGAAAAATGTTCAGTGCCCTCCTACATGTAGTAAATATAACCGACGAACCTTCTCGTCCTCGAGCTTTTTCTCCGTGAGATTGCGACGTTTTCGTGCCGTCTCTTCGCGTCGAAGTGCGAGCTCGCTCTCTGTAAGTTGTTTCTTTTTTCGAGAGGATTCGCCAGTGGCTGTCAATGAAAGTTAGCGTTCAGCAGCTAGAAAAACGAAATTTGTAAAAATGGCAACATATGGGGATACGAACAACAATTCGTCAGAGAAATAACGAGGTTTGGGAACTCGAAGAGAGAATGAAGAAATAGACAACAAGGGAACACACATAGAGATACATGCGAAGAGCCTACAACACTTGCGAGAACCGCCTGGCGGGAAGTCATCGGGCGCGTGGAACCCACCGCCTCCCCTTCGTCATCTTCATCTTCTGACTCTACGTCGATATCTGCGCGTCATAAGCCCAACAATCAGTCACGCGCGCGAGGAGGGACTACGCAGAACACACCACCAGAACGCCCACGTGATCCAGTATCTTCAGTGCTAGGCACGCTCGGTAGCTTGAGTTTGATCTTAAGACGGGGCTGCTTAGGCGGAGACGGAGGAGGAGAAACCTCCTCAGACTCGGGAGCGTCCTGAGCACATAGAATCAGTATGCTAATAGCCAGAAGTAGATGATATCGACACACCTCTTGTTCAGGTTCAGGTTCTTCTTCCTCGTCCTCAGGCTCTAGTTTCTCCTCCTCCCCTTCATTATCATCGTTTTCGTCTTGGAGCTTCTGATCGACCTCCATTTCCGCGTCAGAGCCTGAATCTGACATTTGCATATCTGCTTGTAATAGTTAGCGGGCAGACACGGTATATTTAGTCGAGGTGTGGGAGCGAGAAAGCGGCAGAAAGACGGTCGTGAATAACGAACCTGAACCGTTGTATTCGTCGTCATCATCGTTGGACACGCTTCTGACGACTCTCCTCATGTTGCATTGATCCAAAGAAAATTGAAACCCAGATATCCTTACACAGGACATCCACAAGCATCAGTGACACAGTTCAGTCTGCATTTATTAATACACTATCCATTATGCTCAACTCTTTCCATTCGCCTAGGAGTGTCGCTTAGAGGAACTCGTGAGTCGTGAGCACAGCGATAACTTGATTGTAAGTCTCGATCGAAGAACATTCTGATCATACAGGTGCACGCGTACGGCAGCTTCACCTGCTCCACTGTAACCGAATCCCGGAATTCGTCTACATACTTCGCGGACCGAGTGATAACTCAAATTGTGGTCACTGGTTCGGAATGCGATGATGTCTGATGCTAAAACAGTCTACTGCATCATGTATCATGCATTATGGTCGGGTCCAACTTGCTCGCTTCCCACTTACATGCACCGCCTCCTGGTTTTATACGTACTCTCCAGCATATAATGACGTTGGTGCTGCATATTCAACAAAAAAAAAAACGCTTGTTATCAATAGGTTTGCAAACGATGTGAACAATGTGTCCTGAGTTCACATAAGTCAGATTTGTATTTTACTTCTTTCCTCAATTGAATGAAACGCCAGTAGTGTCGCTGCATACAAACCATTATTAAAGGTAGAAAATACGATTTCCCACAGTGCCGCACCTCGCTTGAACCTCAAGGCCTCACAGGATCAACCGAAGATACTGCAGGACAGGACTAACCATACTAGTGACTAGATCTATGATCATGATGAGGTTTACGCCGTCCATGATTGTGCCAACGTGGCAGGGCACTAGCTGCGTATAGAAGGTTGCGCAGTTTAGGTGATGCTTTCGACCGTTCTTCGATCACTGCATGCGGTTTAAGCGGTAGCGCTAATCTCTTCCGCACACTCGGGTGTTTTGCAAATTTAGTTGGTGGGTGTGGGGGCTTCATAGTACTATTTAACTTAGGCGCGATCAGCTGTGCTTAAACCTGCTCACTCCTACTGACCCTTCGATTCAACGCAACGCCGCAGACCTCCATTTGCACTAATAGTAGGCTCATCACCATGGGTAACCGCTCGTCATCACCTCAAAGGCCTCAAACTGTGAGGCATTTAAACATTATCTCGGTCGTTAGATTCAATCACTGACCTTGCCATTAGGATACCCCTGGTACAAATGAAGCGCAGCTGTAAGTGCAAATTTCATTATAAACTGCAGTTATAAAATTACGAGGCACAGACTCAGAGAGGCCTCCGATGCGAACCCATCTGTCATTCCGTCTACATCCATCAGGAAACAATCAGATTATCCTTCGACATCTGGTGGCTTGGGCGATATCTGGAAGTGCTCAATGATCATCGATTCGACAACCTCTACTGAAGTACATATGATGTTCCCCTGCGAATCCCGCCGACTAATATATGTTGGACAGGTTGCTGTCAAATCTATCAGGACAACGGACATACACAATGAAGATGCTATCCAAAAAGCGAAGAAGGTATGGTAGCATTTATTTCGTAATGTGCAGTGCATTGAATGCCCACTCGCAGAGACTTCGCCGCGAAGTAGCTGTGTGGATCAAATTGAAGCATGCGCATGTTCTCACTCTTCATGGCACGGTCTCCGGTTTTGGACCATTGCCTGCCCTTGTTTCTACATGGATGCACAACGGGGCACTTGATGGTTACCTGAAGCGCACGAGCCTCACCATGAAACAGAAACTAAAGCTGGTGAGATTTATCATGCCAAATATGAGTCCTTACTCAATAGATTCCCTTGTTTAGTTGAAACAGGTGGTGGATGGCTTGAGGTATCGTATGTGATCGCCGTTCCGAGTACGCGTTTCCTTTCTAACAACCTCTCTAGTTCATGAACAGGGAATAATTCACGGAGACTTGACCAGCGTATGTACTCTTCGATGCTTTGGAGTCTTTACTAACTCTATAATTAAAGACAAATGTTGTGATCGACAGCGATGGCAATGCATTTTTGGCAGGTTTTGGTCTCTCGATGGTTGTCGCAGAGAGTGACAGATCGTACTACCACTCGAATTCGAGAGGCGCTGTCCGGTGGTCAGCGCCCGAATTGATCGACTTACCGGAACCAGAAAGCGTTCTGGATGGCAGTGACAGCGTTGTCAACTTACCGAAACCGAACAGTCAGAGCGATGTATTTTCACTCGGTTGCATCATGCTACATGTGAGTCGCGTACGCTGAACCCTTTCGAGTTTCACCTGAATTTTGCATTGTACAGGTCTTTTCGGATAGACCTCCCTTCTGGTGGATTAGCAATGTTCAACGTATATTCATTGCTCAGTCCAGACGCGTAGAGCCATATCGGGTCGAACCTGCTGTGACCATTAGCCACCAGCATTTGGATTTCATGCGGAAATGTTGGTCAGCCAAGCCTGAGGATCGTCCTTCCACCGGGGATGCTGCTTCCTTTGTGGAATATGAACTAGCCAGTTTATCTATTTATTTTATACCTCATCTGACTTCTTTACCAGGGACGTGCAAGCAGCGCTGTGACTATACTACAGCCGGTTACCCCTGATACATATGAAGCACCGTCGTAAGTGCAAATTTTCTCATACACTGCGGATATGAAAACACGAGGCACAGACTCAGAGTGGCCTTCGATATGAACCCGTTTGCCGTTCCGTTTACATCCATCAAGAAGCAATCAGATCATCCCACGTCATCTGGTGGCTTGGGCGATGTCTGGAAGTGCTCAATGACTACGGGTCCAGCCACTCTAGCGACCTCTACTGAGGTACATATGATGTTGCTCTGCGAATATTACCGACTAATATCTGTTGGACAGGTTGCTGTCAAAACTATCAGGGTTACGGACATACTCGATAAAGAAGCAGTCCAAAAAGCGAAGAAGGTATGCTAACATTTATTCTGTAACGCGAAGGGCATTGAATGCCCGCTCTCAGAGACTTCGTCGCGAAGTAGCTGTGTGGATCAGATTGAGGCATGCGCATGTACTCACTCTTCACGGCACGGTCTCCGATTTTGGACCATTGCCTGCTCTTGTTTCTACATGGATGGATAACGGAGCACTTGATGGTTACTTGAAGCGCACGAGCCTCACCCTCACCATGGAACGGAAACTAAAGCTGGTGAGATTTATCATGCCAAATACAAGTCCTCGCTCAATGGATGCCCTTATTTAGTTGAAACAGGTGGTGGATGGCTTGAGATATCGTATGGGATCGCCGTTCCGAATACACGTTTTCTCTGACAACCTCTCTAGTTCATGAACAGGGCATAATTCACGGGGACCTGACCAGCGTATGTACTCTTCGATGCTTTGGAATCTTTACTAACTCTATAATCGAAGACAAATGTTCTGATCGACAGCGATGGCAATGCATTTTTGGCAGATTTCGGTCTCTCGATGGTTGTCGCAGAGAGTGACAAATCATACTACAGTTCCTATTCAAATGACGCTATCCGGTGGTTAGCGCCCGAATTGATCGGCTCATTGGACCAAGAAAGCATTCTGGATGACAGTGACGGCGATAGCGACTTACTGAGACCGAACAGTCAGAGCGATATATTTTCGCTCGGTTGCATCATGCTACATGTGAGTTGGGTATACTAGACCCTGTTCGAGTTTCACCCGAATCTTGCATTGTACAGGTCTTCTCGGGTAGACTTCCCTTTTGGTGGCTTAGAAATATTCAACAGGTACTCAGAGCTCGGTTCAAGCACGTAGAGCCATATCGGGTCGAACCTACTGTGACCGTTAGCCACCAGCATTTGGATTTCATGCGGAAATGTTGGTCAGCCAAGCCTGAGGATCGTCCTTCCACCGAGGATGCTGCTTCCTTTGTAGAATACGAACTGGCCAGTTTATCTATTTGCTTTATACCTCATCTGACTTCTTTACCAGGGACGTTCAAGCGGCGCTGTGACTATACTACGGCCGGTTAATTCTGTAGACAACACTGCCGCCTCCGCAGATTCCGCAACGTGAGCTTTCAACTGAGGATCAGATCATGAAGAAATGGTCTCTCATACCATGACAGCCCCCCGTCGACGATACCAGTCGTACCAGAGCCAGGACCGAGTATCACTATGCAGCCGTATGTCTAATCACCATGACATGATGGATAACACTGAACATGCGGGCTACAGAGATGCATTGCTTCAAAGATCACCGCAAGTTCGGCCAGTTCCAGTATCCGATATCACTGTTCTGCAGCCGTATGTCTAATCACCATATCATGATGGATAGCACTGAACATGCAGGCTACAGAGATGCATCAATTGGGATACCTGCCCCGCAAGTCGAGGTGCAGTTCGATCTTCCTATACCATCCAAGACAGTGGATGAAAATCTTGCACCGTAAATTTTTCACATGGCTCTGGGTTATAGGTCGCTTCCTCACGAGATAACAGTGGGGCCGTGACTATACTACAGTCGGTTACCCCTGGTACAAATGAAGCGCAGCCGTAAGTGCAAATTTCCACATGAACTGCAGATATCAAAATACGAGGCACAGACTCAGAGAGGCCTCCGATGCGAACCCATTCGCTATTCCGTCTACATCTATCAAGAGGCAATCAGATTATCCTACGTCATCTAGTGGTTTGGGCGATATCTGGAAGTGCTCAATGATCATTGATCCGGAATCCTCTACTGAGGTACATATGATGTGTTACCCTGCGAATCTCGCCGACTAATATCTGTTGGACAGGTTGCTGTCAAATCTATCAGGACAACGGACATACACAATGAAGATGCTATCCAAAAAGCGAAGAAGGTATGGTAGCATTTATTTCGTAATGTGCAGTGCATTGAATGCCCACTGGCAGAGACTTTGCCGCGAGGTAGCCGCATGGATTGAACTGAGGCATGCGCATGTTCTCGCTCTTCACGGCACGGTCTCCGGTTTTGGACCGTTGCCTGCCCTTGTTTCTACATGGATGCACGACGAGGCACTCGATGCTTACCTGGAGCGCACGAGCCTCACCCTCACCATGGTACAGAAATTACAGCTGGTGAGATATATTATGCCAAATATGAGTCCTTACTCAATAGATTCCCTTGTTTAGTTGAAACAGGTGGTAGATGGCTTGATATATCGTATGGGATTGCCACTCCGAATACACGTTTTCTCTCTAACAACCTCTCTAGTTCATGAACGGGAAGTAATTCACGGGGACCTGACCAGCGTATGTACTTTTCAATGCTTTAGAGTCCTCACTAACCCTCTAATTGAAGACAAATGTTATGATCGACCGGGATGGCAATGCATTTTTGACAAATTTCGGTCTTTCGGTGGTTCTTGCAGAGAGTGACAGATCGTACTACCGCTCGTATTCGAGTAGCGCTGTTCGCTGGTTAGCGCCCGAATTGATCAGCTCACCGGAACCAGAAAGCATTCCGGATGACAGTGACAGCAATGTCGACTTCCCGAAACCAAACAGTCAGAGCGATGTATTTTCACTGGGTTGCATCATGCTACATGTGAGTCGCGTATTGTAGACCCTGTTCGAGTTTCACCTGAATTTTGTATCGTACAGGTCTTTTCGGGTAGACTTCCCTTCTGGTGGCTTGGAGATGTTCGACTGGTATTCGGAGCTCGGTTGGACTGCGTAGAGCCATATCAGCTCGAACACAATGTAATCATTAGCTACCAGCATTTGGATTTCATGGGAAATGTTGGTCAGCCAAGCCTGAGGATCGTCCTTCCACGGAGGATGCTACTTCTTTTGTGGAATATGAACTAGTCAGTTTATTTTCATTTTTATTTTTTGCCTCATCTAACTTCTTTACCAGGGACGTGCGACTCGATTTAGACGTGTGCGCTAGTTAATTGCAAACAATCTGATACTTCGCTCATTTATCTCATTAGACCTTTTTCGCGCCTGAACAGCAAAGCAACAACACTAGCTATGTGCGTCCGGTTTTATCCTTCCTGAGCTCTTACCAGGCCTGACACTGAGACAGGGCAATGACCTTCCGGGGTGATAACACGAACCATACGCCTCGTCGCTCAGCAGACGCATCATCTCCGCTTGGTTGGCGCAATTTGTTCGTTTCCCGCGCTCCAGCACTCGACCTACAAATGAGTCCCTATCAATTCACCTCCCGCCCCGGCGTTTGAATCTCGGCTTATTTCCTGTGAGAATGTCCAGGCGTCCCGTGTATGCTGATCCTTGCCGCGATGAAGATGTGAGTCGCTTGTCATCACCCCTTTGTGATGTCACTCAAATTATCTTGCAGAGATATGGCATTACCCCTGAGTCCGACGCGGAAGCAGCTGCAGCTATGCAACGTACGAATGTCAACAATGCCGGCAGCTCAACGCAGCAAGTACAAGGTGTAGCGGGGGCACAAGGGTCCCAAGGACAAAGTGCTCAGGGGCAAAGTTCTGATTCCGCAACAGGAGAACCTCTAATAGAATGCTGTGGATTTTATCTTGCTCGTCGTCGACCTGCACCGAACTAGTCCTTCCATCGGTTTATCATGGAGACCATTGTGGTTCTTCTGCAAAATCATTCCTCGACGCGTATGAGTCAACCCAAGCACTTGAGGATGGAAGAGCGGATGTAGTGGAGGATTTGAGTGTACATCGGATAGGCTGAAGGACGAGGGTAGTGAGTGAGTGTGGGTTGGTAACGCCGTTGTATGTGAGTGACAATAGGCCTGGAGCGGCTGATGGTTTCAATGGGCTTCAAAATGTGTGTAGAATATTGCTGTCATTATCAGAATCAGTGAATACTGCCTTGCTATCAAACACGCCGGTCCGTTATAGACGAACTGTGAGATATTGCGTAACGGATGGTGTCACATGTACCATCTCGTGAACCTCGTGACTGTACAAAGTCTACAGATGTGTGACGCGAAAACAGGAGGTGAATGAAAGTGAAGAGGGCTTCAAAATGGCCTGCTGTCTTCTTCTTAGTGATCTGCTGTGTGTCACTGAGGTTGGCGATAGTATTCCATTCGTCTAGCTCGGAGTGTCGCTTAGATGAACTCGTGAGTCGTGAACACAGCGATAATTCGAATCCTCGATTGTACATCTTGATCGAAGAACACTCTGATCATGCAGGTGGCAGCTTGACCTGCTCCACTGTATTCACTGTAAGTGAATCCTGGAATTCATCTACTTCGCGGACCGAGTGATAACTCAAATTGTGGTCACTGGTTCGGAATGCGATGGTGTATGATGTACAACAGTTCACTGCATCATGCATCGTGGTCGGGTCCAACTTGCTCGCTTCCCACTTACATGCACCGCCTCCTGGTTGTATACGTACTCTCCAGCACATAATGACGTCCATGCTGCATACCAAAAAAATGCTGCATGTACATGTTACAACTAGTAAATGATGTGTCCTGAGTTTACTAAAGTCAGACTTGTAATTCTACTTCTTTCGTCAAGATAACAGCCATCTGCATGACTTATAGATCCTCGAATCCTCGATGTCAACACGCCGTCCTCCAAGGCTCCATCTTGATTGAGAATATCATTAGCGCACGTCTCGAGCCCAGTGAGATACTTCAAAGACATAATTGCTCGTAGCCGGTGATAAATCTGCGCAAGTCGAGAGAAGGGCAGAATAGTAGGCAGAAAATACTCAACCGTGATGTGCCCGCAATAGGAACATGGATGCTTAGGATATACATCGAGCCACAGATGATGTCAATCAGCATGTTCTCGCCGCTGTCTCGGCTAACAGCTACCATATTGCATGATCCGTACAACACTTGATACAGTCCCAAACTCGTGAACCACCTCAACAGACCATTCAAGAAACCTTCATGTACCGCCAAAATACTTGAGTTCAACTCCAAATACCGTCGACGTGGTGATACATGGTCCGGCATTAAGTTCTGGCTAAAGACAAACAGATCAGTGGGATTGCTGCAATCACGAGAGTGGAAACATACGCAGGCGATGCTGTAAAATGATTTCAAGAATTGTATTGATGAACTTCCTCTCAGCGCTTTCAAAACCTAGCATCGCCTTCCAAGTAGAGGAGCTTCCTTGATACGTGTGGACGGCATTGCTCACGGCTTCCCAAACAGCAGCTGCATGTGGAGATGCCATGTACTGCTCTAACGCGGTATTTAAAGGCCCGTGGATAGACGTCCGCCAGAGCCGAGAGTGACGTTTCTGGTCGAAAAGGTAGAAAGAGCACTCGAAAATAATGATAGCAGCTAAATAATTGATAATAAGTAAGTTCATTGCAACATGGCGTGAAGATTCACCAGAACTGAGCTGAAAAATTCGCTCAAATGGTGATATACTGGTAGAGGCCTAACATATTTTCAACATGGAATTGTGTGCGACCTGGGTCAATTGAACATACCCTAGAGAGTATCTTAGACTGCATCTCTGTACGTTGACCACCGTGAAGCTGAAGTCATGATGGAACGTTGAAAATTAGCCACCTGTGCTGTTCAATGCACTCACACGCTTCAATGAGTAACAACTTCGGTCAGCATGATGACTCGAGGTTTACAGACGGTGAAGAAACTCACACCCTATGAATAGATCGGCACAATCTCATCGGTGAGCAAGGCTCGAGGATCAAACACTTACAGCCTGTTACAGGATGCACCACTTCAGCGATTAGAAAATACCGAGTTCGACAGAGGACAACACACTGACTTCCTGTTGGATGGGCAATGTCATTGATGAGTAATGCTTGAGCTCGAATGAAGGTGAAGTGACTCACTGACTGTCAACAGAACAGTGATATCGTCAGTAGCAAGGCTAGAGCTTGACGGTAGATGAACACTCACGAGCTGTCAACAGTGATTGGCAATTTCGTCGGTTAGTAATGATCGAGCTCAACAGAGGATCAATGTTCTCACATGCTATGAACGGATCGACGATGTCATCAGTCAATATGACTCAAGGTTAATCACACCACTCACAACCTATCAATGGATCAACAATGATCTTGGTGAGCATGGCGCGAGGTCGACAGAGAGTGAACACACTCACACCCTGACAACAGGCCAGTAATTGTTTCAGTGAGATGGTGGGAAGTCGACAAAGGATAGATACTCACAACCTGTCAACGGATCAGCAACTTCTTCAGTATGACTTAAGGTTAGTAGAAGATGGATATCCTTACGTCCTGCCAATGGATCAACAATTTCATTCAAGTTGGTCAGGGAGGCTCGAACTCGATGAACGATCCATGCACTCACTCTCTGCCAATGAATGTACAATGGCTTGAGTCAGCAAAGCTCGGGCTCGATGGGAAATCAGCACACTCACTCGCTGTCAACAGATCAACCATTGCATTAGTGGATATGACTCGAGACTGAAATACACTCACAATCTGGCAAATTGTCAATCAGCAAGGCTCGAGCTCAATGTACGATGAACAAACTCACGGTCTGTCGGCATGTCGGCAGGCTCATTGGTGAGTTGAAGGCTCGATGTCGACAAAGGATGACCACACTCACATCCTGATAAGAGAATTACAATCAGCATGGCTCGAGGTCAAAGGGGGGTCAACACGCTCACACTCTGAACAACGTGCAATGACTTCGATCAGCATGACTCGAGTTTGAATGAGGACCAATACACTCACAGTCTGTGACCAGTGAACAACGACTTTGATTAGTATGACTTGGAGGAATTCTATCAACATATTCACCTCCTGGCAACAGAACAGCAGTGACTTCGATCAACATTCGAGCTCGAAGGGTCAACACACTCACACGCTGCGAACAGTAGAGAATGACTTTTATCAGCATGGGTCGAGCTCGAAGGAGGATCGAACTCACTCTCTATAAACAGCAAAAAATTGAGTCTGGACAACATGACTTAAGCTCAAATATTAACACACGCACATCCTGCGAACAGTGGGCAATGACCTCAATCAGCATAGCTTGAGCATGAAGGAGGATCAACATACTTACAGCCTGAGAGAAGAATAGTAAGCGATGAGTTCAATCAGCATTGCTCAAGCTCAAAGGAGGTGCACACTCACATTCTGTCAGTATATGGGTAATTTCTTCGTCAGCAAGGCTCGAACTCAACGAGGAACAACACACTCACACCCTGTGAGCAGATTAACAATGATTTAAATCAAGCTCGAGGGGGAGTCAACACACTCACTCTCTGTCAACAGCGGGGAATGAGTATGGCTCGAGCTCGAAAAACAAGAAGGATCAACACTCACATCCTGTAAACAACCAGAAATGGCTTCAATCAGCATGGCTCAAGCCTAAAAGAGGATCGACCTCACGGTCTGTAAACAGTGAGGAATGAGTTCAGTCAATACGACCCCAGCCAAAAGGAGGCCCAGTCACGCACACTCTGTGAACAGTGGGCAATAACTTCGATCAGCATGAGTCGAGCTCGAAAGAGTATCAACACACTCACATTCTGTGAATAAATCAACATTGTCTTAGATCAGTATGGCTCAAGCTCGAATGAGTTCAATGAGTATAGCTTGAGCTTGAGGGGGGAGGGTTTCTGCATACTCACAATCTGTGGATGGTGGTGGGTAACGAATTCAGTTAGTACGGCTCGAGTTCGAAGGAAGACCAACACACTCACATACTGTGGACGCACACTCTGTGAATAGTGGGCAATGACCCTGATCAGCATAGCTCAAGCTCGAAGGAGGATCAACACACTCACCCCCTGTGAACAGGTCAACGATCAACATAGCTTGAGCTTATATAAACGAGGAACTCACAACCTGTGAACAGTAGTAGGCAATGAGATAGATCGGCATGGATCGAGCTTGAAGCTGGAAAGATTGACACACTTACAAACTGTGAACAATTGGCAATGAATTCGATCAGCATTTGCTCGAGCTCGAAGGTGGTTCAACACACTCACAATCTTTACAGTGGGTAATCGCTTCGATTAGCATAGCTTGAGTTCGGAGGATCAACACACTCACATACTGTGAAGAATGGGCAATGAGTTCAGGCTTCAATCAACATTTCTCGAGTTTGTAGGCAGTTCAGCACACTCACGTTCTGGGCACGATGGATAATGGCTTCGATCAGCATGGCTCGAGTTTGAAGAAGGATAAATATCCTCACATCCTGTGAACAGTGGGAAATAAGTTCGATCAGCATGACTCGAGCTTGAAGGAGGATCATCACACTCACATACTGTGAAACAATAAGCAATGGGTTTGATCAGCACTACTCGAGCTCGAAGTAATTCAACATACTCACGCTCTATGCACAGTGGGTAATGTCATCGATTAGCATGACTTGAGTTTGAAGAAGGATAAATATCCTCACATGCTATAGACAATGGGCAACCAGTTCGATCAGCATGACTTGAGTTTGAATGAAGACAAATATCCTCACATGCTATAAACAGGCAATTGGTTTGATTAGCATAGCTCGAGAGAAAAAAGATCAATACACTCACACCCTGTGAACGAATATGCGATGTGTTGAATCAGCATACAAGAGAGCATCAATAAACGTACAGTCTGCAAGCATTGCCCATCATGAATGAGAGCAATTTTTGAACATTGCAATAATCTCACCCAAACATGTGGAAACCAGGCACCCAAGCTGCTTATTATCGCCTCATGATCCCTAGATATGCTGGATGAGATCTCGTGGGTAGAGCCTACAAGTCCCGCAAGTGTGCTGGACAGTTTTGGTCGTTAACGTCTGCAATATTCAAATGAAATTCTGGATAGTTGCCTTTCGACTGCATATTTCATGCAGAGCTCCAAGTTGGTCTGTTGAGACGAGACAAGCAATTGCTTAAGCACTTCATCATCACCCAGAGCTCCAGCCGTGCAGTCGATGAGTGGCCCACAATTGGCATCATCGCTGTTCATGTCTAATGTCGGGTGTAGATCAACGATCATCATCTATAATCCAACGATCAACGGCTTACTAGGAAGGCACACATGACATTTTGGAGGGTGTGGGATGTCTTTGGAGTTGTATAGAAACTTTAACTGCGGCCCGTTCGCAAATGACTCCTCGGCACGCTTCGGGGCCAGTTCTTTGGCGCCCTCCCTCGATTCGCCGGTCTTTCTGAGCTGCGCGTATTCAACGTCGTACAGGGCATCGAACTTGGTAAACACTACTATCACTGGGACTAAGGATTGTGAACCAGTTGATCAACAATCAAATGCAAAAGCTCACCGCTTCCGGTGTCACACTGAGAAAAAAATTTGATTTCCCCTTGGGTAAAAGCCCTGCTTGCCTCATCCATTGGGATACAATACCTATGTTAAAGAAGTGAGCCAGCGCATGTCGCCAACTTGACCAATTACCATATGGCATGGATTCGATCCTTCAGATTGGTTTTCTTAGAACGGCCCCTGATAAACGCCTCCACCTTGTCGAATTCGGAGTTCCCGCCTGCCTCAAAACCGCAAGAATCGTGAAAGACGAATCCTGGACTGTGTCGAAACACCATTTCATTCTCGATGTCGTGCATTCCACACTGAGAATATGTCAGATCATGTTGCCGACTAAACGCATACATATTACAAACAGTACGCCTTACATTTCTAGATGGGATTAAAACGGAGGCACTGATCTGATGAATCAGTCTTGAGTCAGTCGTCACTACCAGGCTGCTATTATCATGCTCCACACCTTTTTCCCGGAGCTGTTATATATTTCTGGTTTCTTCCGGGTGTTGCAAACCCGCTGAAGGATGGTGGTTTTTCCTGCATTCGCTCTTCCTATAATGAGGACTCGGAAGTGACTGAACCTATCTCTTATATCTGAAGAATCCATGGAGGAGGGTGAATGAGACCGGGGAACGTTCAGCGCAGGTACGTAAACTCTGTGAGTGTCTGAGTCAGTTTTATAGAAGGAAGAGACGACTGTCTTCCTTCTATTGGTCTGCCAATGGGAAACTATCAAAGATTCAGTCTGGGGTGATGCCATATACAGATAGCTGTGCGTTACCCATGAGGCGTACATGAGTGAGACCTCATGTTGCTTTAGAATCTTAGATATCGTTTCAAATATTATTCATCAGAGCCTATTCGGCTCACAGTACATCAGCATCTAGAAACACGTTCTAAACTGCAGGAGGCCTAGGTTGATGTGTTGGTATTCGATCACTTCCTGATTATTCGCTTCCTATCGTACGTGTCGGTGATGGGTCCAACGATGAATTCAACGTTCATGGCAGACCTGCAGCATGTAGGATATAATGACGCCCTCGCCGGTGACTCGGAGTAGCCTGGGGACTCGTTAATTTGAACCAAACCTTGTACATATTGCCATTTTCATTTCCGAGTCATAAGCCAAATAGTCAAAACATTTACAAAGAATCGTGCACCATGAAGCAAACACGAGGATTAGATTCCAGCATCGCTTTTCCGATTTCGATTCAGTCCAGCTTCTATATACATCACACAAGTATACCGCACTGCAGGGATGCAGCTGACTAACTTAGCCTGCCATGCTCCACATAAATCTAGAGTCAGAAGGGGATGATTCCCCCAACTCGAGTCCGAATGGCCAACCTTTTCCACACATTACCCGTTTACCGTCCTCTCCAAATATCTGGTACTCAGCTCTCGCCTTTGCTGGATGGCCTATCCAACTAAGTGATATATCTATAGGTATCTCTGTTGATTTCAGCAAGTCGGGCAAGAATGTAGGGTCCGCTGAAGTACGGATCGGCAGGTTGCGGTACGCGATTGAACGCGAAGTAGGAAAGATTTTGCGACGAACATTTTCTCCACCCATGTAATAAGGGCTTGACCCCCTAGATAAATTTGCCTGTCTGAATCGTGTTTTCCCCCAGAGAGCTTGCTCTTGCAGATTCGTTTTCCTTAGATCTACGTCACAAGAGCTGGTGGTTTGGAGCGAAGGCTGGGCATGAAGACATCAATTTCGATACCAACGACATCATCCGTGTCGAGAGACAAGGTCAAGCATCGATCGTTTCGCTCTCACATTGATTGGTCACTCACGGACTCGACACCACATGCACAGAATACATCAAGTTTCATAAGAAAATCAAAATCACCGTTGAGCTTTTCGGGAATACATCAACATCGACCGAAGTAAGAACCCATGTCTTGCTTTGGAACTCGTCTAAGCTGCACATAGCGAGCGGAACAGACAGCGACTTCTTCTGGTGAACACCCGGAGCTTCAGTCTACCACTGGCGAGATCATTCGGATTTGTCCTCGGTGAGTTAGGATAATCACATCACGCCATTCTTCGGTTGACACCAGAGGCTCTCAAGGTTTCGAATTCTGGTGATAGGAAAGGTATCAAATCCTCGCTCATCTCACGCCTGTGATGACAACATGTTTTTAATAGACCGGCGTCGGCAAGTCTACGCTGATTAATCAGGCATTCGGAGTGGAAGAAGCGGTAGGCTGCTCATGACACTAAAACACTTGCGATTTACTGATTCTGTTTGCATAGCTCACTTCGCATGATAAGCCGGGCGAGGCTAATATTGATACCGAATTCATCTCAAAACAGAACGACAATTTTGTTCTCCATGATAGCAAAGGTTTTGAACCGGGGGAAGAAGATAACGTCCAAATAGTCCTAAATTTCATCCAACGTCGGATATCTGAGCCTGCTTTGAAAGATCAGTTGCATGCTGTTTGGTACGGCCTCCATCTTGATGAGTCTATGACACGCTGACGACGTACACGAAAGGCTTTGCTTTGAAATACCCCGTGCAGGCGGGCGTTTATTGGAAACTGGTATGGAGGCCTTCCTCACATTGAAGCGCAACGGAAAGTTAGGAAATAGTACGTTTGTTAAAGATTATCACTGCGCAGGTAGCAACTCACCCTTTAGTTTAAGTACCTGTTGTCGCCGTTTTTACCAAGTACGATATGCTCATTGAACGCATGGAACGTACTTTGGATGGCCCATCTCTCAAAAGGTTGAGCGATGACGCCATCAAGAAACTCGTCAATAAAAAAGCAGATGCTGAACTCAAGAATATCTGCATCCAACCCTTACAGAAGTTCGCCGGGCGTCATGTCCCCTGCGCTGCGATATCTAGTGGGTACTAATGGTTTGACCGATTTATGCGTGCTTCTGAAATATACTACCACATCCAAAGAAGATCATAAGGAAACCCTTGTACCTTTGATCCAGGTGACTGAAAACCTCGTCCGTCAGCACTTTGCCTTCGAGGCCTCGGTGATGACCTCTATAGCCCAAAGAGTGGATCCTGGACTCAAAATGAATGCATCAATTGAGTAAGCATTACTTGCCTTGTTCTTATCTTATGATTTATGTATCATCAGGGTTGGCAAGAGAAGTTTGTCTTAATTCGTGTTAGCGATCCCTGAGCGCAACTGAACTTTCATGTGCTACAGGATATTGGAATGCACTGGCATCAAGCACAGCGTTCAAGAACCATACGATACGGGAATGTCTGCATGTGCTTCACGACGACATCGTTGCAGTCTGGAACTTTCATGACCCTCATCGTGTAATGGATATTTTCTCTGCTATCGTCGCATTTATTCTGACTTGATTTACGCCTAGTACTTGTATAGCCCAGAGTTCAGGACATTGATGGTGAACATGGTTGACAAAATAGACGCTGAACCTACAGCGGATCCCAACAAGACCATGTGGGTCGATCTCTTACGCGACGGATAAATTCTTATTTCATTGGGTGTTCACAGTACTGTAGGGCTCTCTATTGTGGGTGCTATCACGTGCATCATATCTGCCTCGGCAGCACCTGCGGCTCCCATTGTGGTGCCGATCGCGGCAAGTGTTGTACTCGCTGTATGGGCTCGTGATGTGTACCAGACGTCGTACGTACCGCTATTCGTCCTTGAGCGAAAGAATATCAATACCTCCTCAGCCATGCAGTGCTTCAGCGCTTTATGTCGTACATCATCGACTTAACACTTGTGTTGCAGACACTGCATCTTGTGTCTGAAAGCCAGCCACTCTCTCGTAGGGCTATCAAGCTCGCTCTCGCTTCCTACTATGCCTCACCGATCAGCGGAGAAGTCCATACCAAGATTCAGATGTATAATAGGCAATTGACACTCCTGGAACGCGTTGACCGCGATACATTGGATAAAATCATCGAACTCATGCAGCTCTACAGCATCGGTGCAGAAAAATTATCTGCACTTCGTGCACAAATTTCGCTTGTGGATGTGTCATCAGATGAACCATGGGAAGTCGAGAAGGCGGCGTAACACTTGATTCCTCTTTTGCGTATGTTATGCAGCATTGACGAGTATTGTCTGAGTACATACTTCTGGAGTAGTCATGGGATTGCAGTGATGTTGTAAACTTGTAGTAATCGTAATTTCGGCTGACCTAACTCATAATTACATGGCAATATGGAAGATGTGAGTCGCTTGTCATCACTACAGGGCCTTTTGTGATGTCACTCAAATCATCTTGCAGAGATATGGTATTGTCCCTGAGTCCGACGCGGAAGCAGCTGCAGCTATGCAATGCACGAACAGCAATAATGCTGACAGCTCAACGCAGCAAGTACAAGCTGTAGCGGGAGCACAAGGCTCCCAAGGACAAAGTGCTCAGGGGCAAAGTTCTGATTCCGAAACAGGAGAACCTCTAATAGAATGCTGTGGATTTTATCTTGCTCGTCGTCGGCCTGCACCGAACTAGTCCTTCCATCGGTTTATCATGGAGGCCATCGTGGTTCTTTTGCGAAATCATTTCTCGACGCGTATGAGTCAACCCAAGCACTTGAGGACGGAAGAGCAGATGTAGTGGAGGATTTGAGTGTGCGTCGGATAGGCTGAAGGGCGAAGGTAGTGAGTGAGTGTGGGTTGGTGACGCCGTCGTATGTGAGCCTAGCGCAGGTGATAGTTTGAATGAGCTTCAGATATGTGTAGAATAGTATCACTATCGTTATCAAAATCAGTGAATACTGCCTTACTGTCAAACACGCCGGTCCGTTATAGACGAACTGTGAGCGAGTTTGAATTGCGTAACAGATATCACACATATGTACCATCTCGTGAAGCTTGTGACTGTACAAAGTCTATAGATGTGTGACGCGAAAACAGGAGGTGAATGTCGGAAATTTCCTAAGTGGGTTGCAATCACGTGCATTTGAGACTCGGTATCAACCGTATTGATACCGAGTTGAGATATTTGTACCTACATTCCATTATTCATACCTAGTAGGAACATTTATACCGAAGTTGCCATATTGATAGCGACATTGCATAATTCTTGGTGAGTCACATTATTGATACCGCGTTGACATAATCTTCTGCAGCATTGATTCCACATCACAAAAATTGCTCAGGTGTGACATTGCCTGATATAGACGGGAGGGTGGCTGAACGTATGACTAAACTAATCCGCGTGATGTCATCAACACCTCGACGCGACATTGGAACACAGGCGCATATATCAGAATGATGTCTATCCCCTCACCATACTATCACCAAGACAATAAGTAGATACCTCTTGTATCTAGATTACATATTCCAGACACTAGTATATACAAATGATGTCAAGTAGATACTTAATCCATTTTTTTTGCGCAAGACAAAAAGACACTGAAAATTTAATGAATTGTGCTGTGCAATCATGATCGATCAAATGAGAACATCAAACGAGAACTTCATTAAACTACAATACATCAAAGTGCCCCATAACCTTCCTCTGCAAGTACATCCTCATCCAGCTCCTCTCCTTCATCTGCTATGACTCTATCCTCATCATCATCATCTTCTTCATCACTCTTGTCAACATCATCCAAGTCATCCTCAACATCTTCCCATTCCTCTTCCTCTTCAGCTGTGTCAGTTGCATCATCACCTTCTTCGGCTTCCACTTCTTCAGCTCCATGTTGCTCAAGTTGGAGAATGTCGTCCCAGTCTCTGGTAGCTTTGTGGCCAATTCCACCACCATGGAACCACATGAATATATCTCAATCAACAAATCTATATGTTATGTAGATACTATGTCAGTCTATGTAGCAAGAATAAATTAAATTAAATGCGCACATATTAACATAGTGAAATTGGCATTCAGACTCAAGATCTTGAGGATCTGTGTGATGGTGAAAACTTGGAATTAAATGAATCCCACAAATGACAGAGTCTGGATCCAAAAATCTGTATGCATCAGGGCTGTCTTGATCGAAAAATTTGAGGTGCTGGAGTTGTTTTACAGTCCAACCTGCAGGTGAACTATCCCTTCTGAACCATCGGACAAACAGGAAGTCCATCCAAATTGGTTCAGAATACATCCTCGTGTCGTCCTCATGGTATTCCACATTGATATGAAAGATGCCGATGACATGGGCATACCAGTATGGGTGAGTCTTCTCATCTTCGTGGGAGAGTACCATTATGTTGGCATGAGTGCAGGGATTGATGGTGTCCTGTTCGCGTCATAGATCGTATGTTGTATAGTTGATGCATAAAATGCTGTGGTGGTATATTTTGTTGTCAGTAAACAGCACTGAGGTATGATCAGCATTGGAGAAGTCATGCTCATCTCTGTCATATGTGATATTGTGAAGCCAAGCAAGAACATGGTCCTTGAGTTGCGGAATGAACTCCTGATAAAATTAATGAAAGTGTGAAAATGAAAATCTAAAAAAAGCTTACCTCAATAGCCAGATTGGACAAGTCTCCAACCTCTCTGCGCTCAATTAACCAGGAGGTGATGTCGTCATTTGCCCAAGCATATTTGGCAATGGAGTAGTGATTGGATGGAGACAATTGTGTGTGCTGTGGTCTCAGATTCCGCTGTGCTGCAAGTGCAGTGATCACCTTCTCAATGAGGCATTCTTGCACTTCTTGAGAAGTCATGCTGGTGAGAGTTTGATCCTTCTTCTTTCCTGTTTGAGGGCACTGGTGCTTTGATCGACGATGCTTGAGTTCTCCCTGTTGGATATTAGTTATTAAATGAATGACATCATGAAAAGAACACTTATCGGTTGTGTGGAATAACTATCAGTAGTACCAACACGCCGGATAGTATTAGGGTAGTCGGCAAGTGCGTGATATTTGTAAGTATAAAGATTTAATGTCTTTACCTTCGGGTTTGATGTAGCCTTGCTGATCTGCAATGTGTTTGCTGATCCCACTTGTTTTGAGGCTAATGCAGACAGATGGCGTCCATGAGCAGCATATTCATGGGGAAGTTCTGTAGTGTGATAATATGCACAAGTGGTGCACTGAAACTTGCGAACCGATTGACTGAGGATGACTGTTGCTGAGTCAAAAAATGCAAGAGTGTCATCCATATGTATGCAGAGTTTTGCATAAGCATGCCAGGTAGCCAGGTCAAAGAGGAGGTCAAGAATGATCGTATTATGATTGGGGGGAAGAAGTCCTTCGAATATGGGTATAGCACACTAGAAATGAAAGGCACATCAGTGCATCATTAAATTCTGATGGGATCAATCTTACCTGTAGTAGATCCTTGAAGTCATGGGCTGCGAGATGCTTCATTGCAGAAGCATTCTTGTGGAACCGTCTGATTGTTCCCCTACCAAAAGTAGGAACTTGACGGTACCTGTATGTAGTCATATAAGCGTTGTAATATTGCAAAAAGCACTATGACATACCTGAAATTAAGCTCTTGAACCACTGAACCACCTGCGGCAAATAGAATGCACATTAAGTGTGTGAAAATTGCTTTCCACACACCGAGCTCAAACTCATGAAGTAAGTCTACTACAAACATCAAGAAAAAATTGAATATATATTTGAGAAACTGTGTTGAAAATGCATTCTGAAATGAAGTGATCAGATATAAATCTAAGATTAATGTGCAGATTATTTACCCGAGTTGGAACTAGCGACTCGCCTTGCAGGGTCTTCTTGATCCGTTGTCCATTGATGCTGACACTGTGCTGAAACATAAGCCTGTGGGCTTTTTCAACTTTGCAATGACGTCGTTCATCATCAACACACTGCGTTGCCTGGCGGTTCTCCAGATCAATCTTCATGCCCATCTTGGGGATGTCTTCTTTCTTGATCAGGCAGTAGGGGCAAGGGCATTCACCAAGGAACTTGATGCAAGCCAGCAGAATCCTGTATTAATAAATATCAAATGAGAAATGATCATTAAAATTAAGATTAAAACACATACTTTTCTGGATAGTCTGCTGAGTAAGTAAAGAAGCAGGGGAAAATGTGTCAAGTGATCCCATCCCCACATCAAATGATGATGCCATTTTTGTAGGTGTCCATAAATTTTTCATCCAGTAGAAGCACCCATATGGCTTGCATAAGTTTGTGTTTACAGTGAGTATAGATGTCACTGGATGATGCCTCATCAAAAAGATGGCCATAATGGTCTTGGAAGTCATCAGGAAGCTTAATAGATCAAAATTAGCATAATGAAATTAATAGAACGCAAATGAAATGGAACATACATTTGGAATATATGCAACATGATGGCATGCAGATGCTGTTGGCTTGCCTCGTGTGTACTTGGACTGATTGCCAAAGCACAGATAGAAGGGCCAGAGTGATGCATCACCAAAACTTGCCAGGTGAGTGCTGTCAGACCACATCATTAGTGAGGTGACAACTCACTCAAGGTTATTGCCTGGATCTTGGGGAAGTGCATTAATTTCTGTGTGGGCTTCTAGAAAGGCCAGTGAGGAATATGCCTTGCTATAGACTTTGATGGTGTGATCATCAGAAGTCTTCCATTGCTGATGGAAGGGTGTTAGATGAAAGGTGGACATAATAGTGTCCTCAAAGACGGATGTAATGACGTCAGTGAGAGAGCGGTGATGAATGCCAGTAATATCCAACTCTGGTGCATCTTCTTCTGATGTGAACTTAACCTTTTCTTTGGGGAGGCAGATTTTTACTGAAGAGCTGCACCAGCCATTTTCCACACAAAATGGATTGGATTGGTCCTTGAGGTACTCCTTCATGAGCCTTTTCTCCTGTACATCATCGAAAATCTGCATGTCTTCTCTGTTGTATTGATCGTGATTGAGAAACTCCCTAGTGAGGCATTTCATTTCAGCGCTCAACTTTGAGTTTGTGCTGGAATATTGCCAACACATCAGAAGCCCTGCGGTTGGGCTGCTAAATGGGGAGAATATATCCTCTGGTTGGATTTCTTGGGAGGGAAGCCCAGGAACAATCTGAGATTGCGACAATTGAGAATTGCCCCAAGTTTTGAAGGTTGGGGCATCAGCGATTGCATCCAGGCCTTCATTTGCAGTGGGTATGAGGGTGGGTTTTTGCGCATAGATGTGGAAAAGACCCAGTGAATCCAGGGGAGTCTGGTAAGGGATGAGTATGGGCTGGTGGTTAAGGAGTTCATTGATGAGTTGGTTGGGAGGACTATCTGGAGGAGGAGGAGGTAAATGTGGGAGATTGGTGGGTCCAGCTGGCAGATAGTCTGCATAATGAGTGGGCATGTGGATTTGTCGGCCAGAATGAGCAGAAATGATGGTGGGATCATCAGGGATTGGTGAGATTGGTGTGCCAGTGTCAGTAGAAGCTCCAGCAGTATTTTCATCCTATTAGTTGTAAAATTAGACATATTGATCATTTCAATAAAAAATGACTTACTTTGTGCATGTGATCATGATCAACCCAATGATCATTGTTGATATCCATCTGGTTTTCAGGACTTATTTGATGAGCATTGTGGCTCATTTCTCCACCTTCTGGTGAGGAAGATGCATTGGGAGCCATGACATGTCTTCTTTTCTTCTTCTAGCGCATTTGCTTCTCCAGATGGCGCTGCTGTTTATAGATGTCAGCATCAAGACTCTTACTGGCATCACACTGAGCCTCATGATTGCTCAGGCCTTTCTGAGTGGTGAAAGCCTTTGAACACCCAAGGCAGGTGAGGCCATCCATGGGATGCACACTCAGGTCCAACATGAATACAAACTTTAGATTATATATTGCATCATACTTAATAACAAATTCAAGGACTTAGCGGTTATAGGTAGTAGTGACCCTATTTCCTGCAACTCTTCTCTAAATCAACACAACTCCTTGCCTAAGTCCTTGCCTGCACCATCACGCGTGGCCCTGCTATCAGCACCTGGATGGTATGTTAACATCCTCAAGCAATTATAGACACACCTATACCAGTCTGGATGAAGCCATCAGTGCTTCTGGTGCCATATAGAGTGGTTGGCAGTGTGTGATCATGATCGTGGACTTGGATATGAAGAAGAGATAACTTCAACTTAGAGGTTGGGTGGATACAAGGTGGTCACATGATTTTGGAGATTGAAATTTGCCTTTGTTGATCAGGTTCTGATCACACACTTCTACTGATATCACTGCATCACATCTTAAGCATGCCACACAAATGTTGTTCCAGATCCCCCTCAGCTTCAGAGAGTGACACCAGCAGTGACTCTTCAATTTCCTCGATGGAGTGCATAGAACCTCGCCCTAAGAAGTTGTCTAAAAGATGTGGGCGCAAACCTGATAAAGACAATCGAAAGGTCAAGTAAGTCCAATATTCAAATTCATTTGCACCAAGATCCCTAATATAATCTATGACCAGGAAAACCAAGATCTCGAAAGAGAAGGAGGACTCAGAATTTGAAGTCCAAGAAGAGTTTCTTGCAGCAGCACATGCCATGGCATGTTGTGTTGATTTATTCTGCAACATTGAGAAACTCTTAAGGGTAGGTCTACTCCTACAGCATGAGCAGGCTGCAGAGAATGGAGAATTAGAAGAGTCAGAGGCTGAGTGCGAATCCTGTCAGAAAAGGCTTGCGAGTCTGTAAGTCCATTTTTTTAATTTTGCAAAGTCTATACTAAGATTTTTTTCTTAGTTCAACCAATACCCTCGATCAGTACAAGTGCAACTATCAGCAGTTGCTTCAACTGGCTCTGGGACTCCAATCACTTATTACTGATTGCCCGAAGTCCAAGGATCTCACTCAGATCGCACACAAGGTGAGTATATGCTGCTTATATGCACATATATTGTGTACTAACATACTAATTAGATGAATGCTGTCATTAGTGGGACATGTTCCGACGATGCAACTCGTTTGAAGGTCCAAATTGGACACTACACAGTGCCTGAACCTTTGAAGGAAGGTCTGAAGCCTACCATCTACAATGGGGGCTCACTGTCCAGGGTGCACATGGGCATCAGCCACCCTGTGCTTGCTTCTTTCCTATGTCCTATTTCCACACTCATGGATTTCAAATGAGATCCCATTCTGTAAGTACTCAATTTGTCATTTCCAATCATCTAATGTTCTCTAACATAGGGCCTGGAAATGGATGGAGATTGGATGGATTTGTATGACCACGATCAACTTTCCAGTGTTCCTGTAGGCTGGAAAGCCTCCTGGAAGTAGGTACAATGAGGACATCATGAATGAGGGCCTATTCCAGGGTTATTTCCTCGAGCATATAAGTTTTGAAATTCATTATATGTGTCTATCTTATTAACATTTTGATTTACCAGATAATGCGTCATATTTTTACAGGTCCTTCCACTGCTTTAGGTGACGACTCGCATGCTACATGATCGTGCAATGTGTCCCTGCATGATATGTCTACTGTCGAGGTGGAACATATAGCATACACTTGTGTTCAGGTAAGTTTTTGTTTATTTAATGGATTGTATCTAACTAATTGTTTTAACATAGGCACACTTTGCAATCAGTAATAAAAACAAATGGGCCAAAGCTGATGGTAAATTCAATTACCAGGCCTTTTACTACAACATTATCAACTTTATTTGTGAGTGCAAGGATTGAGATTGGGCGCAGGAACTTCTTAAATGGTGGAACAAGTAAGTTTTTCTCTGTTCTGTTAATTTAGCTAACTATCTACTTCTATCAAGGGCATTATTCAACAATGATAATGGATGCGAGGGTGGAACAGCCATAACTGACAACAATGTGTCCAGGTCATCTTCAGGTCCAGTCAATGGTCTTGCCAAGATGCGAGCACAAATGGCCAACCATACTAATGCTGCCAGATGACCTGTAACACCAGATCCTAACCCGATCCCAACTCCACCTCAAAGTTCTGCCACTCCTGGACCCATTCCCACTCCTGGATGTGTTCCCACACCCACTCCCAGACCTGTACCCTTGCAGAAGGCCCCCATCCTGCCAAAGTCGCCTGTGGGCAGTGAACTGACACCGAACGATGACCTGTCAAACAACAATGGCTTGGACGATGTCAGTGCCATCAAAAAGGGGAAGAAGAAAATGCCAAATGGCCGGGCTCAGGGTAGGACTACGCACTGCATTATACAGGAATCTGATGACAAGGATGAGGAACCAGCCAAGCCAACCAAAGGTTGACCCTGGGCCAAACATGTGTTGCACCGCAGGAAGTAAAAGTCAGTATGTGCTCATTTTGTCTTATGCTTATGATGTCACTCATATGTTCCATGATCAATTTTTCATTTCTGGTCTAGGAGCTTCCTTCTGATCATGGAAGAAGACTCTTACTATCATTCTGGACTCAATCGTGTTTATCAAATCAGACTTTGCCTCATCATTGCATCATTGGCCATTATTCTTGCACTGGGACTTTCACTGTCGTGCTTCTGTTGTTTCTGATATTGCTTTCCATATTCTCTCAGTCATTCTCTCATTCAGACATGTCCTGCTAGTATGCCAGTTTCCTTACATTGCATTCCTTTAGAATAACCTGTATTCTCTTAATGATACTTAATATCAGGCTTTATCTTGCTATCTCTGTGTGATTTACAATGTCTGAATTATCAAATTGAGATATCAATCTATTTACCCTGAATACATTGTACTCAGCCTGTCCATTGGACTTTTCAGGTTCCAAGTCTGCTCAGACATACTTAACCTTAACCCTGACATTGCTGACAGCGCAGACAGCGCAGACATACCTATATATGGCAATGTCACGCTTATGCAATTTTTGTGATGCAGCATGTGCTGTGGTGCTGTCTGATTGAGTCAACACTGCCTCCTGTGACACAACCCTTACAACAATTCCATCAATGATGGCCCCAAGAAGGTATCTTTTCCATCTTGCTCACCTATCAGTACTAATAATCTTAATGTCTATTAAATCTTTTGCTCAAGTCTACACAGATTCATGATATGCCTGTAGATCAGTATCGCCTGTGTTCATTTTGTGGCAGTTCCTACCATCAACAAGGTTTCTGGACACATGAAAATGCATGCCAGAAGCGATCAGAGCAGTGAAGGGAGGATATTGAGCTTGCTCGAGAGATTTGCCAAGGTACATCACAACAACAGTTTTGGTTGATGTCACTAATCAACCAACTCACAGAAAGAGAAAATAACGTGTCTGAGTCTGTGTTTGTTGGCAAATGACTGTCATCTAGCCCAGTTCTTTGTAGGTCACATGTGGCTTACATATCTTGCAGCCTTTAAATTGACTACCATTGATTCAAGCTGCTGCCTACCATTGTTCACAGGATAATGGTGCTGTTGATTTCAATGGCCTTGCAGACTATCCTGATGATTACAATATCAGTCAGATGAATGGTACATTTCTTTTCTCTACTTTTCCCATCTACTCAGCTTGCAACCTTTGTTTCAGAATCTCCACCACCTGAATCTTGGATGTCACCACCTCAGCCATTTGAGGAGGATGACATCCGAGTGGAGTATCATCCCAGTAGTCAGCACCCTATGCAGGTTCATCATTTCGAGGAATATGGACGTGGTCCTGGTGCCCCCACAGCAGTCCTGCCAGTTGAACCTGAGCCATGGCATCCATTCTGAACTGGGATCAACTTCAAAGTTGTGGAACTCACCCTTGAAGCAGTGCTGACTCACCAGCAGATGGATTGCCTTCTCAACCTCATCCATCGCAGCAAGTATGAACAAGTCACGCTTCGGAACCATAAAGACATATGAGATATGTGGGATGCTGCTTCATATAAATTAACACCTGTTTGTATTCAATTGTTTTGAGTGTGAACCAATCTAAGTCTTTTTTTTCCCTCCACAATAATAGTTTGTAAGGGAAGAGGTGGTAGTGCCTTTCCAGGGTAATGATCAGACATTTCAACTATTCCATCACTCAATATGGGACTGGGCAGTGGATCTCCTTCAAGATCCCCAAGTTGGTCCACAATTTGTCTTTGACGCTGAATGACTTTCAAAGTTTGACAGTGACAAATTTGTTTGGTTCATTCATGAGCCTTGGACCGCCAATGCATTCTGGGAGTATCAAGTATGCAACACTATTGTTTTACAAGTCTGTGTCATGTATTAAATTTAGTACTATAATAGTCAAAAATACCCTCAGATGCCAAGCCTCTCACCTTCATTCTTTATGCAGATAAGGCTAAATTATTGTTGTTTGGCCAGGCAAAAGGCTATCCTGTCGTTGCACAGTGCACTAATCTTCCTGTTGCGATTCATAATGGAGATGGCTTGGGTGGTGGGCAAGTAGTGGGATGGTTACCAATTGTTAATTCTGCACTCCACTTGATGACTGCAAACATTGTTAACTAACAGCACTTTGACAGGTGAAGGAGGACAAGAAGCACTCCAGAAAGCTGGCATTTGTGAACTTCAAAAATGCGGTATGGCATCAATCAGTTCTGAAAATGCTCACCTGCCTTGCACCACTGTCGAAGATTGGATCCGCTGTTAAATGCTGGGATGACCTTGTTTGTATCTTCTATCCAATCATACTCATACTCTCTGCAGACTATGAAGAACAGTTAGTGTCAATTTTAGTCTAATTAATGAACCCTCAGTAATATCCCTGATACCCTTACAGGTCTGTGATGGCATTGATTCAGGGTCTGATGGGAAAATTCCCTTGCCCTATATGTCTCATACCTTGTGATGAGCTTTTCAAGACATCTAATGTCTATCCTCTTTGCATATCTGCAGATGTGAAGGCATTATGTGCTCAGGCCTGAGAGTCTGCAACATTGGAAGCGAGAGAACAAATATTGAGCTCTGAGAGCCTTCATGATGTTGATGTAAGTCTTTCCTTTGGTTCTGACTCAAATTTTAAAATTTGTGATTAGAATTCTTTTGATATCATGGAGCATACTGATGTTCATCAGGCTCTCTCATATGACAAACTCCACTTTAATGATGGGGGCCTTTTCAGTGACCACCAGTGGACCAAACTACAGAAGTGGATCGAACGTTCAGGTTGACAAGCTGCTGTGCTGATTGATAGCTTGTGTGTAATTTTTGTCTATTTTACAGAGATTCAGACACTAATTTAGATTTCCAGCTTTGACTTGTTTCCACAATGGCGAAATCTCAATCATTTCAGCCAGGTTACATCAATATCTTTTTCTGATGGAACAAAGTATGAAGATATATTGAAGGCAGGTTATATATTACTCTAGACTATTTTTCATTAGATCAATTAATGTGAATCTAGCTTATTGTCTTTGCAGCTCATAATGTATTTGATCACGATCAAGATCTGGAGGCTTATCTTCTGCTCCATTGTGTTCACAGCTACATGGAATTCAACATGTATGCTTCATTTGAGGTCCATACTGAAGACACTATCAATGATGGCCGAAAAGCTCTGGCAAATCTGACTGAACTGATGGATGTATGTTTCATTGTATACTATATTCTCAACCAATGACATTGAAATTTTGCGAGTCAGAAATACATTCAAGACACATTAGACTTAAGTGACAAGTCATGGAATCTCCCAAAGAAGCATCTTTCTGCACATCTCTTTAACGATATTGAGGCAAAAGGTGTCACCCAAAACTATAGCACAAAACCAAACAAAAAAATGCATGACCCACTGAAGGATGCTTATCAGGATTGTACAAACTTCAAGAACTTTGCTGAACAGGTAATATGATGCTGCATATCAATATGTGTCAATTGATGGAGTGCTGATGGAATTCGAAGATTCTCCGATATAATCATGACAGCCTTATAGCAGAATACATTTGTGGGAAGTTGCATTCTCTTGACATGCAAAATCTCAGCCTACCTGAGTCAGATCTGCCTGATCCAGAGGCCAATGAGATTGAACAAATAGATGGGCTACATTTCAGCCTTGGCTCACAGCAGGCAACACAGTCATTTGCAGATGTTGAAGCAAGTAAAACAGGCAATCTGGCCTTTATTCAATTTTGGATCAAGCTGAATGATTTTTTAAACCATGCATTCAATGCCAACAACATACCATTTCCCAATGGGAGATGAATCCAACTTGCCACTGATGACATGGTGCATCAGTGCTGGCAAATTATTACTAATATCACATTAATCTGAACCATTGACAGATCACTGAGTACTGATTTGTCAAAGTCAACTATGAATCACTAGTTGACTGGTGGGTATCCACTGACTATCTCTGATGCAGTCCAATGTTTCATGGATCACCTCGATATGATTTCATTATCCTGCAGACAGAAGCTCGTGTCATCTTTGCACAATTGTTGTTGGTCTTCACCTGCATGGTCGGGGATGTTCAATATCCTATCATGCTAACTCTCCTGTATGATCAACCTGTTGGCCCTCATCCACGGAAGGATAAAGATTTCGACTTCTGGTGAGTTAAGGCAAAGCCTAGAGTCTCCACAGAATTCTTTTCAGTGCAATCCATCATCTGCGGTTGTGTACTGGTTGAGGACAGTAGCAGACCTAACAAGGCTCTGGTCATTGACACTCTTGATACAGATATGTTCCTTTGCATGAAGGAAATCCATACTGATACTGCAGCTGGTTAGTAGGTTACTTGTGGTTGACTTATTTAGCTTGTTCATGACTCCGTCAAATAATGCGCTTCATAATACACTCAATGGACAGAACAGCAAGCTCGAACTCCAGAGGAAGAGGTGACAGCTGGAATACTTTTCAGCTGTCAATGTGGCCCAGCACTGCCGCAATGAGGCTGACTGCTGACCGTTGCTGATCCTTTATCTTGCACCAGTTCATGTACCACTGTGTACCATCACCTGCTCCAACACCAGGCAAGAAGGTTCGTGCATTTTCAACTTAATGTTCCAACTAATGTACCTTGAATCATTTGGTACCTCACTAGACTCGCCAACCAAGCCATCTGACAATGATACCCTTCCTACTTTCATCGACAACTGTGGGCATTCACTCCCAGGCCAAGACCTACTCACCCCTCATTAACACTTACATCAAGGATTCCACCCAGTGTGAATACCTCTTTGACACCACAGAGACTATTCCTTGCTCAAGCACAAGGCTGACTGGGCACTCAAGTGGATATCTGATCAGTGTTCCACCTTCGGTGATTGCTTGGTCACATTCACTGCTGTCAAAGGCATCTTCTTCTCTGGCTCCTTCATGTCCATCTTCTGGCTGAAGAAACACAGTCTGATACCTGGTCTCACACTCTCCAACAAGCTCATCAGCTGTGGTGAGGATATGCACACTGACTTTTGCTTGCTTGCTCTTTAGCCACCTCGAGCATCGCCTGCACCCTGTTCCTGACTGGTTCGTCATGACCACTATCTCGCTATTCTTACACTGACTGTCTTTCCAGATGCTCTCCCTGTTGGTGTCATTGGCATGAATGCCAAGCTTGTGTGTCAGCACATTGAGTTTGTTGTAGACCACTTGCTGGTATTGCTAGGCAATGAGAAGGTGTACAATGCCACCAACTCCTTTGACTTCATGGACATGATCTCACTGCAGGGGAAGACCAACTTCTTCGAAAAGTATGTCTTGTATACACAGCTCAAGCCTCTGCCATCACCTCTATTTTTCACCCATCAAATGCAATATGTGCACTCTCTTTTGCTGATCTTTTAAACCCCTTCTTGTGCTTCTACTTTCCTTCATTGACCTGTATTGGAGTCATACATGGCCTCTGGCCCTCCTGGATCAATGCCTGCACAACATCCTGCAGGTGAACCCTCTCCCCTGTCGTCAGATCCATCTTGGGAAGGGGACATGATATTTGTCATTGCATATCTCATTCCATTGCCTCAACTTAATTCCTTGGCTCCTCATCCAGGTTTAACATTTACATTTATGACTATTACAATAAGCACAGATTCTGTAAAACAGCTTGTGAGCTGCTGGTAGAGACTGACATACTACCGGACTCTGCTCCTCCCATCAATGCACGTCAGGGTCTACTTTTCGAGTACGTCCTACTTGACTTATTCCTTAAGCGCTTGGTAACTCAATATGTGGCACTCCAGATGGTGGAGTGTTTTTTGGGTACTTTTCACAGCAAAAAACAATGGAACAGGAATGGATGATGCAATTGTCTATACACAGGTATGTGGGATGCAATGTTCTTAGCATTGTACCAACTGTGACCTCTGAACAGCATCAAATGCAGTGACAGCACCTCAGACAGCAGAGTCAGACTGATACTCAAAGGCAGGCATCTGAATCAACCACTAGGTGTCAAGCAAAATGTTATGAGTAGGTGCTGCCTCCTCGAATGTTTCTCTGGAAGAGGACTTCTAGATGTGTCATTGCCCTCTCTTGTTTGCATATATCATAATTCTCCCACATGCACTATATCACGCGCCCATTATGTAATAAGCTGACATAATATTTTTGCCAAGGTTCCAATTGGTCCAATTGCTTCTGACGCGGGTTCAACCAGGTTGACTCATCTGATGTTTCACTGCAACCATTACATTGATGGCTAACTGGCAAGACTCAATTCAATGATGTTTCAAGGATCATGGAATGACAGTTTCTGCTTTTCAATTTGCCAGTCCTGGAAGCCATTGATTCAGCAGCAGTAGACAAATCTATGACTCATGTTGCCGTGTTCAGGAGTAATGACAGGTACGTTGCATCATTTTCTCTGCCTCCTGTCAAGCCATGAGGCTAATTCATTTGATTGTTGGTGCTATACTGCACTATATTGCACCACATAGGCAATGTCAAGCTACCTCATGTACCACTTTGTATTTCATTTTGTCCCAACATTGCCCGACTGTCAATACCACCTATTGTGTTTCTCTATGACCACCGAGTCTCTCAACTTATTACTGCAGGTATCTATCTCATTATGCTGCAGCGGGCTCCCCATCCCATTGTTCCATCTGACAGGTCTGAATTGGACTCTCCATCTGTTGCAGTGGATATCTCATCAACCACCAGTTGGTCATCAGTCTCCAACAGCCGCAGGCAACAGCAGCATGGGGACATTGAGGTATTGTAATCACATTATGCCTGCAACTACCTAATATACTGATTGACATGTCTCAAGATTGTTCAGTGCTTGCAATTAGAAAATCAGACACTTAAGAATGATAACCATACTTTGGGCGAGAAGAACAAGACTTTATCATCTAATCAATGCCGGCATTCAAGCACCCAAGTTCTGGACAAGCTGAAAGTTTTTGATGTTGAGCTCTTGACCTTTTCCCACAAGTATGGAGTTGTTGCAGAGATGTTCCCACCTGAGCATTGTATCCTCAAACTCACTGTGCCAAATCCTCCACCTGCCATCCTATCTGGGAGTTGCTATGCCAGCAAGAGTGCAGAAGAGCTCTGTCTCGTAACCGAGCTATACTCACTTCTCCCAGACCATCTTCATCAGTTTGTACCTACTTCGCATTTTCAATCATTGGTATGTCAGTCTATGTTGTGTGACCTAGCATTGATTACTACTATGTACTGCAGCTGGAACAACAACTTCAAGGTGGTCGCTTGAGTGAAATCAGCAAGTTAAGGGTGATGGCAGGTCAAATTTTTGGTCTCAATCCATCATACTTTGACACCGGCTTTACGAATCGAGATACAATCCCCGAGATCCAGAAGATGCTTGGTATGACTGGTAGTCGTTCATCATCAAAGTTCCCACCTGTCCTTTTTACAAGGCAAGAAAGGGACCCCACGATGTCCACAGTTTTTGGAAATTGGGAGCCACTTGCAAAGGTACTTATTTATTGATCACTACCTGAATCTGCCCTTACACTATTTGGTCCAAATTCACCTAGGCAATTAGGATTATAATGTTTGGAAAAAATTCGTTAGATATTGCTGGGTGGCCTCATGCCAAGTGTAATGCTTGACAATGGGGCATAACTTCATGCACCCCTGGTCTTCTTGCCTGGGGTTGGGTCGCAGTAAGTTCTTCTTTCACTATAATCAATTCTCAGTATCTAACATTTCTTTAGTTAATCTTCATTCTGTCCCCGGACACTTCATTCACCAAAGATGGAGTTGGTGTGAAATCCTGCCTACCATATGCAGCGATGTTTACAGCCTACAAGCAGCTGTGAGTGATGCTGTGGGAAGAGCCTCGTATCCTCTCAATCCACCAAAAAATTGATCACCATGTCTGGCAGTCAACATCATCTTCTAATGTAGTGACTTCAGATGTCAAAGGCGAGGATTTGACACCTGATCTAATGTGCTTAGCCCTGGCCAATGCAGGACACAAAGACTCGGATTCAGACTCTCTGACTCACTATGTGAAGACCTCATATACTTTGTACCTAGTTAGCTAATATTTGACAATATAAATACAACAAAATTAGAGCATCTACTGAGTACATGAGTAGGCCTGAGTAGTTTCAAGGACATGAACTACCAACTGTCTAACTAGGTGACCTATCCTACCTTCCAACTAGGCCATCTGTCTCAGAGTAAAAAAATGGCTTCAATCTGGTGGCTCAAATTCTCATCTAATTGCACATACAAGCTTCAAGTAGATGGATAACCAAATTTAAATTATCTATCAATATGCGATCTACATCACATGGCAATTATATCGACTGCATCCAGCATTGCATTCCCCCTCCTTCACCCACCCCCTAGCACTCTTGTAACTCTTGTAAACCATGGTTCATCATCCAGAAAATATCCCTGTCAATGTGTGGAATGCTTGGCCTGACCACCTTAAGCAAGCTGTCTGTGCTAACACCAGAAATAATCAGCCAAATAGGCCTGATCCAAATATTGATCCTGCACTCACCAGTGGTCTAGCACCAGTGCCGCACCATGCTCATGATGTGTATCATGATGGGCCCACATCCCCTCATCCATACCAAAGAGGAAACACCAACAAGTAAGTGCATATATGTAGGTGCATATATGCATCCAGAACTCACCATAAGGCATGTTAAGTCCTGTAGCAAGTGCTACTACAAGTACCAGACCACGGGAATCTCATAGAAGTGACTGGGGAGGTACCAGAGCTTCTCACAGGTACTGGAGTATGTCTTCGTCATGTTCCCACTCACCTCATAATCATCATGGATGGAGCCGAAGGCATAGGTCTCCCAGTCATCATCACAATGACTCATCCCCATCTACAAGTCAAGAAAGGTCAGCATCCAGGGATCGATGGCACTCAGGACGTCCCTCTTTGACTCTCACATGTCATACAACACCAGCTTCCACTAATGATGGTGCAGAGCATGAAATGGGAAATAATCATACCTCTGCATGTGGTCATTCAACTGTGCCAAGGGGGGTAAGTCAGCTAGGAGACAAAGAGCAAGGGCTGTTGCAGAACCTGACAGAGCAAGTCATGTTGAACTGCATGTTGGTGAATATGATGGTGATGTGGAGGATGTGACTCAAAGTTGGAGTAAACTATCTGCAATCGGCAAAGAGGCACAAAGCAAGCTAAAAGCAAGTGCTTAAGTTTGAGTAGCATCAAATATAGCGCAAACTCAACAATCTTACCTAGCATTTGATCACCATGAAATTCTGTCACATTTGCAATGTTTCTGAAGGGAAAAGCTGGCCAGCATCAGCAGATGAAGAATGCATCAATGAAATGACAGGTGAACGTTACCTCATGCCGGAGTTCACCAAAATGGTAAATGACGACCACAACCGCATGATCTTTGCTAAGGTCACAAGTTTGGTCTGGCAAGACCTTCAGGTAAGTCATATGCAACATGATATGTAATTGCCACTTCACCCTTTGCAGAACATGGCCAACAGCGACTGCCTTGTGAATTGCAAGGTAAAATGGAATAAGCAATCACTTTTCACATTTGCAAAGGAGATGTACCATGGATTCAAAGAAGACTGGCAGGCCCAGAACAATGCCAAGAAGAAAGCTGCCAAAGGTGTGAACCAGCAAAACAATAGACATGCTCAATGTCACAAAGAAGTAAGTGTTAAAGCTACTTTTCATCAATATGAAGACTTACTATGATGAATTAGAAAGCAGATCAGCTTATGACAGCATGTCAGGCTTACATCAAGAAATTCAGTGTTGATCTGGTGGACCTTGTGCATGCAGATCATATGTCAGATGAAGCATCTGGACCAGATGATGATGAGTTGGAGGATGGTTGGAAGCGAAGGATGGCAGAGAAAATGGGAATGCCTGCCAACTCACAAGTTGAAAACTTGTCATTCCTGGAGGTTACAAGAAGCCCCTGGAGATCTGACAAAGTAAGTGTTATGCGGTTTTCCAATATGAGTAAAAGCTTACAGAAATCATTAGCTCAGTCAGATCTTTCATACCCTGCATGATCTTTGGTGAGCATCACTGACCTCCAAGCAAAAGAAGTGCTTCCACATGATCTGAGCCACTGGCACAGATCATCAATCACAGCGTATCCCTGATTTTACTCCCTATACCTTCGGCATCAACATAGAATGGCTTGAGGCCAACAAAGATAGACTAGAGTATCAAGACTTACTCAAGGAATGGGGTGCATGGGAGGATCCAGAAGGTTTTGGTTTGAAAAAAAGGGAGCATCAGGACAATCAAGGCACTCCAAACAATGAAGTTGATGAGGACAATGCTAGAAAGATGGAAGGATGATTACATGGATGGTGTTTTCTTGAGGACCAGACCCACTTCGCAAACTAAACAGTAGGATGCTAAGTAGAGAAGAGTTGTCAATCATTGTATGATAGAGAACATTTTGGACATATCCGGTCAAGTGTTGTTGTTATCCACAACTCTGGATTACTGGTCTTGATGATTCCACAAGCGATCTGGCTTGTAATTTGATCGAATGGAAGAATGGTAGGGGGAGCTCCATCTTTGCCTGGGCTCCAGTATTCATTTAGTTTAAAACACATAACGTCGAGCTCGGGACTTGACAAAATGAGTAGGAGGGATAGAACCACAAACAAGACACATACAACTTGCTCCATGGATCATCTTCAATGGGCACCAGTGGTAACTCTATCATCCACCTGAGTTCAGTGAGAAGCCGAGTTCCATTTGCTATCCCCAACTGTATGTGACTGAAGATGTTGATTACTTCACCATACCATGACTTATCCATGTACAGTGGCTCAAAAAACTGTCTGCATGTTTTGACATTTGTCACTATCTATGATATTGTGTGAGAACAAACAAATGCCTCAAGGACATGGTTATACCACATTGTAGTATGGCTTCAGGGCTTTCATTTGAGCCCTACACCGTGGGAATCGGTGGAGATATGGTGGAGATACAAGGCTCACAAAATGGTGACTCATGCGGACAGTTTTTTGACTCAAGTATTTTACAATAATAACCAGGTATTCTAGTATTTTGTATGACCTCCCTTGGCTTTAATTACTGCCTCTATCCTTCTAGGCATACTCTCAATTAATTTCTGGCAATCCTCAGCTGTGATCTTCCCCCATTCCACTGCTACTCTCTCCCAAAGCTCCCATACTCCTTTAGGGGGGTTTTCATAGGCTTGAAGCTTTTTCTTGAGTGTTCCCCAGAGATGTTCGATGACATTGACATCAGGAGACTGTGCTGGCCAGTCAAGAACATTGATGTTATGTTCTTTAAACTATTCCTTAGCTCTTTTGGATGTGTGCTTGGGATCATTATCCTGTTGGAAAATGATATCTTCTTCATCAATCCCTGATTCTGCCAAGCTAGGCAGCAAGTGGTCATTTAAAATGTCCACATACTGCTCAGCATTCATCTTCCCCTCAACCTCAGCAAGCATTCCCACACCATTCCATCCCATACAGCCCCATACCATTAAAGAACCTCCTCCAAACTTGACAGTCCCATTAACCTCTCTGTCTGTTAGGCCATCTCCCTTCTTTTTCCATACATATACCTTCCCATCTGACCCAATCCTATTGATTTTGGTCTCATCTGACCATATAACATGCTTCAAGTCCTCTACAGTCCAGTGTTGATGAGCTAAGGCAAAGGCTAGTCTTCTCTGCCTATGTTTGATGGAGAGAAGAGGCTTTTTCTTCTTTGTTACTGCCTTGAGATGAGCTGCCTTGAGAACATTCCTCACAGTTTGTGAAGAGACAGGGGTATTGATGGTGGAATTGATATAATGGGTGGCTTGGACAACATTATCAGCCTTTCCTGTAGTGATATGTTGGATAATAGCCCTTTTGTCAGTAGAGGTAAGCTTGGATGGACATCCTCCACAAGAGTTTTCCTTGTCTGGGTGGCTTTCTTTGATAAACTTGGCCACAGTGGACTTGCATACTCCAGTTCTAGAGGAAATTTGGCAAGCAGAGAGGCCAGCATAAGACAGAGAGAGGATATTATCTCTTTGAGCAGAGGAGATGCTTTCATGGTGATTATGGCTATGATACATGAGATATTCTGGTTTATATAGTTAGATATAGTCATAAAATAACATAATGACACCACTTCATAATTTATATAATAATGGCATGATTTTTGTGGTGTCATAAATAATGATTTATATAGTTTTAATATACACTCAAAAAACTGTCCACATGAGTCATTATTTTATAAGCCTTATGTCTCCACCATATCTCCACCGATTCCCACGGTGTAGGGTTCAAATGAAAGCCCTGAAGCCATACTACAATGTGGTACAAGCATGTCCTTGAGGCATTTGTTTGTTCTCACACAATATCATAGATAGTGAAAAATGTCAAAACATGCGGACAGTTTTTTGAGCCACTGTAGATAGCTTGGGATGTACTGGCCACCTTCAGCAGATGTTGTACCCTTACAAATGGTGCAATTGCACCAAACAAGGTGTTGGCTTGAGAGCATGCTTGGATTTATGGTCTAAATAGTTTGAACTTGCATTAGATGACAGGTATCAAACAAAAAAAATGTGCAACTCACCGACATGTTGCAGGATCATGGAGATGGCAGTAAGAAAGAGGGAGGTGCTTAAAGCGACTTGGGCCGCGAGCAATGAGCTTAAGTCCTTTTGCCTTGTGGTAAGTCATCTGGTCAGCTTGGTGCATACCTGACCTAAAGTTGGTTAGTGGTTCCCTTAAGTTATCACACCAAGCAGAACAGGGGCAAGGTGGTCTATTTGCAGTAGATAGCAGCTACATGAGGCTACATGATGCTGAAACGAGGCAGCATACTTGACAATCCAGAGAGCCTGCATACTGACAAGTGATCAATAAAGAAGAAACCCAGCATAGTTGTAGTGTGTGACTAAGTCTTTGTACACGTGATTACTTCACCTAATCAGACCTACTCACACTAGCATTAACCAAGGGCTAAATGTAGTGACTACTGATAATCACCATGCTCCTCCAGTTGCCCCCAATTCACTGACACTTGCTCTGGCTACACCACCTGCCGTTCCAGCACTAGCCATCACCCCTGCTGCTAAGACCACTGTCATCCCTGCTGCTGAGACCACCATCACCCTGGGTCCTATAACAATACTCCCTGCTGTTCCAGTTTTTCTCACAGCTGATGAATCCCCTCCAGTTCCTGATGGACCTAATAACATGGAGATGCTGCCAACAGCAGCTTCGTCCTCTAGTCGATGGGGCTGGGGAAGGGGAAAGAGGGGTGGGCTAGTGGCTATGTCTTTGTCAGCAGAGCAGTGAGAAACACAATCTCAGAAAAAGAACTAGAACTGTGTAGTTAGATTGGTGCTCATCATAATATGATTTCATTGATTTCAATGATGTCCAAATTCATGTCCAAATTGACTTCAAACTGAAAGATATTTATTGCAATGAAGTTAGGTCATTGGAACAAGCCTTGGGATCTAGATTGCAAGCTACAATGAAATCAGCTTCAATTGTTGCAGCCGACAGCTAATATTGCTAACTGGGTTGAAACTTTTGTTGAAAGGCACAATTGCAACCAGATTGTAACATAAATTGTATTGTAATACTCTTTCATTGTGACACATTGAGACCTGGGCTTGTCATTGGATCCTTGCAACACGCTATAAGGCCATGAATCCCGAATAGGAAATTTCCAACAAATGAAAGTGAAGAGGGCCTGCTGTGTGTGACTGAGGTTGGCAATAGTACTTCATTCATCTAGCTCAGAGTGTCGCTTAGAGTGTTGGAAATCTTGGAAATTCATTTCAACCAATCACAATGCTTTGTAATAGTCCCAATATAACACATGATTGGCAAGTCATTGTGATAGAAGCCACAGTTTGGAATAGGCATTGCAATGATGATGTAATCATTACATTTGCACATGTAATGCTCATTGCATTTCCATTTCTAGTATGTTTTCAATGATTTTTGTCATCATTACAATTATTTTTTAATATAATTGTGATCTTTGTTGCGTACATTATAATGGGTTTGCATTGCGCATTATGTTGGTCATTCCCATAGTGTGTTCTGTCAATTATAATGGATTTACATTGTATGTTTTAGTTATTGTAATATCTGTGTCATATATTACATCGAATGCAATACTAGTACATGGTGATTGTTTAGCAAATAAAGAGTAGATTTTATGGTCATGGTAGGTAGTTTACAATACAGCAGTCAAACTGTAATCACTCTAATAATCTAAAAAAAAGTAAAATGCACTGAATACTATTGGGTCCAGGTTTTAATCCCTACTAGTGTCAATGGTGTCCAGTAATGCAAGTAGCTGACAAGATCAGGTGGTTCGTCAAGTAACAGTGAAAATAGATGCAAGAATAAGTGACACAGAGAGAACAGGAGGGACACAGAATGAATCCAAGCACCAAGGGAGCTGTAAGGACATTGAATAAGTTGCGAGGGAGCTAGAAGGACATGGAATGAGCAGCAAGAGAGTTGGAAGGCCATGGAATGAGTAATGAGGGAGCTAGAAGGGCATGGCATGAGCAGTGAGGGAGCTGGAAGGCTGTGGTCCAGGAGTGAGCAGAGGGAGCCAGTCCAGGGACATGGAATGAGCAGAGGGCTGGAAGGACATAATGAGGGAGTGGTGGGGGAACTGGATATGGGGACCTATTAAACTTGTAATAAGTCATGTTCATCACAAATGAGAGACTGCAAACAAACATTTTCAGCAGTGTATATGTCTTTGACTGATTTGCTGATCTCTGGCCCAATACCAAACAACTGAATCCCACTGGACAAGCAACCTGACCATCTCCAGGAATCAAAGTCAGAACATGGTGTAAGGACTGAAGAAAGGGAAGTCCATGCTGCTATGCTGTTGCCAGGTGTACTATTTGCCCTGCCAGCTGGGTATTAATAGGGGTTATAACACGAAGATTATTGCAAGACTCACATTGCTATTTAAATTATGCCCAGCAAAAGTAGCAGTCAGGGAGGCAGAAGCATGCCGTCTGACTTGGATTCAGAATGGCTACAATGTAATAAGTATTGGTTGACCTCACTTTAAACTTTAATACTCAATAGACTGTTACAGTAATATTAATAACTGGCTCTGTCAAATTGTCTGAATTGTGTATAGGATTGATGTGGATAGCAATATCCAGCAAGCTATTGCCTGCCTGCAGCTGATGTTTCTGAGGGGGTGCAGGAGACAATTTCAATAATGTAGTTCTGAATCAAAAGAGAACCAAGACACATTCTAATATTTGTTGCAATGCTGACATAATCACCACATGAACCCTGTCACAATGAAGCCTGTAGTCTTGTCAAGCGGCAGACACAAGTTCATGACAGGACAATTAAGTAAAACAAGCATTGATAATATGTAGATCATAACTGTAACTAACTACTGTAATAATAATCAGGAGAAAATAGAAGGATTGAATCAGAAGACTCAGAGTTGGCATAATTGAGACCTATCTCACTGTAACATTCTTTGAATAGCCACATTGTTGGGGAATGCTATCATCCCCTTCCTGTACCACCTTGGACTTTTTGGCCCTACCAGACTTAGACTTGGATTTCATCTCAACAGCCTGAATATTAGTCTCTTTGATCACAACCACCTCTGTCTCCTTAACTGGTCCAGAGTCAGAGACTTGAAGTGTGCTGATTGAGGATGAGTTGCTTGATACAGTGAGAGTTCATGTTACAGTAGTAGTAGATGAAAGAGTAGGAGGTCCAGGAGCCCTGTCTGATGATTCATGTATGGTTATTGTGCCTGCAGCCTTGGTGAGGACATCAATATTAGCATCAAGATTTTTGTCAGTGTCTTTGTCATCAGACGCTGGCTGATCCTTGTCTACTTCTGCCACCAATCCAAGTCAAGCTAGATGCATCTCTTCTTGAAGATTGTTAACAGAGTCCCTGGTATTGAGATTGTGAGAGGAGCAAGAAGTTCGCTCAAAAACAAAAGTATTGATATGCTTGATGATGCCCTGTAGGCAAGGCTTCTCCCAGTCACAGACCAGAAGTTCTTTGAAGAATGCATATAGCATGCTGTAGTTGATTCTTGAGGTCTTCCCCTTGCCTTCTTGTGGGAATTCCTGGTCAGGGGATAATAAAAAGATGTTCTATTATTGATAGAAGCACGTTTGAGACCAGATCAGTCAAGACTGCAGTGAATAAAGTCTTGGACTTGCTGTGACAATAGCCCAAGCCACAACCCCAGGTGTCACTGCCATAACACCCCACTTAACTGCATTGGGTGGAGCACTGCCCTGTCATCTGCTCTCATTAGATAGTGATGTCCTGCCCTTAAGGCAGCAACTCAGTGTCTATTACAAATAATAGCATAGATTAGATGTTAAATTTGAATGAAGTAAATGGTGGCATACCTTAGCAATAGGTTGCCAGTTGCCAAATAGTGTTTTATGAGTGTGGTCAACAATGCTCCCCAGAAATAGTAGAGGAGGCAAAAGGGGATATGACTCACCAGCTGTGCCAGTTATGCCAAGTAGCTGGCAAATCTTGGGTTCCACATCACAAGCGTGCGAGATTGCAAAGTAATGCTGGGGAAGTCTGAAAATCTGACCAGCAGAACTCTGGAGCTTGTTAAGCTTGGAGGTGTGGCCAGCACAGACTGCCTTAGAAAACTGTAGATAGTGGTATTCAGTACATTGTAGCATGTTGATTATGAAGAGAAATCTATTACCACATTCAAAAAATGATTCATTGGCACCAGGTGGTACAGGTGCTAAGGAAGCATGTTGTACAATTCTGCCAGACATGCAAGCTCCTGCGAACCTGCAGTGGCATACTGAGTGGTGGTATTGAATGGTGGTGGAGGGTTGGGAAGTGTCATTTTAAGCAGGGCCACCAGTGGTGGGAACATATTAACCATAAGACCAAAGCATTTTGTGCAGACCTTGAGTTCCCCTTCGAAAGCCACAATATCTTCCAAAACTGCACTGTCCTTCTTATGGCAACCCTTGTTGGCCGATAGTACCTTGTTTTGCTCCTCCACAGTGTGGAGCCATTCTTTCAGTGCCTGGTTTTCAAGCTGTGTGTTCTTGACCTCCTGCAGACATTGATAATGTCATATGCCATTCCGGACTCTCAATTCTAAATCCACTTCTCTGGATATCTGGATCCGAGATCCAGATCTCAAATGATCTGATCTATCTTTATCTCCCTTCCAGAATCCAAACCCTATATCAGCGCCCAACTCCATTTAGACTGCCCCTGTCTCCGGACTCTGGTTAACCATGTTTTCCTTTTGATTATTGATCCATTACATACATTTCATTTCCGGTGTTCATTATTTGTGATCCGTCCTACTTACTAATAGACTTTGCATATGCTTCATACATAGCCCTTATGTTTGCTGACTGATTCCTATATGATACCTACAGTATATAAACCTCCTGTAACTCTCGGAAATACTCCAGTTCAAATATCATCTTAGTTCCTGCTCATTCCTGTGTCCTCTGGACTCAAGATAAGTCTCTTGTCATATTCCAAGTCTTAGGATTGCATCCCAGACTATATTTCCAACTCTACCTTAAGAGTAGTCCATCCTCTGTTAGTTTCTAGTCCGGACTTCATCCGGATTAGTCTTATCCGCTTGCCTAGGTAATATCCTGTCCGTTGGATTTATCTCACGTCTCAGATCTGGACGTCCATTATCTGCCCCAGTCAAATCCCGGAAACTCCGGACGACTGTTCTAGCCCCCGGAAATTAAGGGCACATACTTGGGAAAGGGGCACAGCGTACGAGCTGAGGCCAAGCCCTTGTGATCCAACCCCCTTGAGCATGCAACCTTAACAAGCCCCCGGAAATTAAGGGCACATACTCAGGAAAGGGGCACAGCATATGAGCTGAGGCCAAGCCCTTGTGATCCGACCCCCTCGAGCATGTGACCTTAACAGATAATGCCTCTGTTAGTGCTATGAACAGGGATTATTTAGTTCAAACTTACCTCTGCTTCATGATTAGAACAGCATGATCCTGGTTGAGTTGCGGCCTGATGTTGAGCAGGATTTGAGATCAACCCTTGAATGATGTTATGTGATGTGGTCCTCTCATCAGATGATGAAGAATTGTCAGGACTTGTCAGCATAGTGATTTTGAGCTGCTTGATTTGACATGATAACAAGTCTAAGGAGAATTGATGAGATTAGTGATGCCCAATGCTGAAGTGGTGCTTGTACCAATAGGACCACACCAATTCCAATTTATATGTGACAGTTCAGATGATAGTTAGTACACATGGCACTTGGTATCAGGTTGTGAAGGACACATTATGAATGCATGACTATCATTACGCAATGACATGAACTGTAGGTGGTGATAAGGAGGTGTAATAAATGCCTGGATGTCGAAACACTTACTCTTCCAATGTGTGATTGACTATATTTGGAACCTTGATGAGCCACTGAGACATAACAAGAGATATGTATTAATGAACTGCAAATAGTGCATGTAAAATTGACAGACCTTGGGGGACATCAGATGAGTGGCTGTAGACTCAGACCCTGAGAATGGGCTCATACTTGAGGTTAAATGAGGACACTGCAATATTACTCTTCATCCACAATGCTGAGGTGTGTTGGCCTTGGCATGTCAGCAACTTCAATATGACAAATGAGGTTGCCAGAACCTGTTGTGGTATGTCCTTGCCTTGAGTAGACATTTGAGTGTGATATGTGAAAGAATGCAATTGACTTTACTGTACCTTCATTGGCAGTTTCATCACAACAAATGAGTTTGTGAGAACCTGTTGCAGTACACCCTTGCTTTGAGTAGACATTTGAATGTGCAGTGTGGCCTAGCACCATCAAGACCATATGGCATAAGTTCTGGATTGTGGCAGAAGTCAGTCATGAAGTGTATCACAATGCCGGCAAGGAACATTAGACAGTTTGAGCAGCTCACATGGGATGTGAGAAACAGCTTCACTGGAAAACTCGTGCACACCAGCAAGGTTGAGGAGGTTGCACTTGAGCAATCTCAACCTGGTAATCAGAGGCAAGGCTAGGTATGGTACAGATAAATTTGACAAATTTGAGAAGTGCATTTGTCATGTTGAGATGTGAACCAGGGAGGACAGGGAATGGAACTGAGTGTTCAGTTCTTTGTCCATGGAGGCATCTCTTTGCTTGGCTTGGATAGTACCAACCAACCAAAGTAACTTGCATGTGAGTTTCCTAGCGATAAACTCCCATGTTGCTTCAACCTCATTGATTTTGCTCAGGTTATGCTGGGTGGGCTCTGGACCCAGATTTTGAAGCACTCAGAAGGGTGCTCTTGAACCTTCATTATGCTTCTGCCAAATCTTGAAAAGCTTGACAACAAAGAATTGGGCAATGGCACTGAAATCATTGTGGGTGGTAGGAAAGCCTGAAGATTCCACCAAGTCTCGATGGTGAGCTCTTCTGGGGGGTCAACAGCCAGTGGGTCTTCACATATGATTCCTCCCATGTTCGCAGAGTCCATGAAGAGAAGGAAGTCGGAAAACTGCTCTGTTTTGAGGTACATATGTTTGAAGAGTTTGTGTGATGTCACTGCTGTGATTATGTAGGTGGCATATGCTTGAGGATGTGAAAGAATGCAATGGACTTGACTGTACCTTCATTGGCAGTTTTATCATGGCAAATGAGTTTGTTAGAACCTGTTGTGGTATGCCCTTGCCTCAACTAGACATTTGAGCGTGATGTGAAAGAATTCAATTAACAACTATACCTTCATTGGCAGTTTCAACATGACAAATGAGTTTGTCAGAACCTGTTGCAGTATGCCCTTGCCTTGAGTAGTAGACATTTGAGTGTGATGTGAAATAATTTGATTGACTTTACTCTACCTTCATTGGCAGTGTCAACATGACAAACATGAGTTTATCAGGTCCTGTTGTGGTATGTCCTTGCCTCAAGTAGACATCTGAGTGTGATGTGTAAAATAATTTGATTGACTTGCCTGGAGACCAGTGAGTGCAGGGGGTGGAGTAATATGTATATTAATTACCTGTGGATTACTGTGACAATTGGTGGGGTCAGGACCATCAGGCAACAAGGAGCTTATGACCAGATTTGTATTTGGGATGGAGGAAGCTGTAATAAGCATGCACTTGAAGCTGGGGATCCAGAAATGCACCTGGTCCTGGACCTGACTCACAATCTGCAACTTGATGGTCTTGCCTTTGAGTTCAATAGTGCGGATCTTGAAGTCAACACCAATAGTACTCATATAACTCTCAGTGTATTACATGTCATCTGTGAAATGGAGAAGACAAGCCTGAACCATTAATTTTGTCAATGAAGGGAGACGAGACCAAGATGTGTCAGGACAAGGTGAATTGGCATTGAAGTTACAGGTTTAAATCCAAGTGTCAATGAGATATTGCATTGTGAATCAGACTACTAATATAATACCTAATAATAATAATGAGATGGAGTATTAGTGCCCAGCTGCAAGGTGCATGTGCTTCATGTGCAGAAATATGTTGCTGTCTACTGTATCCATAATGAGAAAGTCACTGGCTGTACTAGGATTGGGAGTGAGAGCAACTCCTCGAATGATTGATTCTGCTAGTATGAACTCACTAGTGGTTTCTCTTGGTTGTGATCTAACATGCCAAAAATTTAGGTGTTCGTCCTTCTTGAGACATCTCCCAGTTGGTGCATTGTATGGACACACAAGGGCAATGGGGTAGGATGTGTCATTAATGATGCATGTAAAGAGGAAGATGAGTCATGCAAAAAAGACACCAGCTGTGGTGTTGACAATGACAGTCATATTGGGGAAGATTATGGAAACTTGGGCTGCAATGGAGATAGTCTGTGGTCTGATGGAAGTTGACTAGCGACTCATAGTTTACCTTGAGGAATTGAAATTCTGTTATCTTCATGGGATTAGTCACATGTGAGCAGCAACTTTCAAATTGGACTTACTTTGTCCAATGGTAACATGTTCACCAGCTGTGTAATAGCGGGCAAAGTGTTTGAAAACACATTGAGTTTTGTGTGGAACCGTCTAAAGGAGGGGTTGTTGATATACTGTTCCTCAATTGCCTTGAGAGATATCTGTGGAAGCTTGATGGGATATTAGTATCCTGGTCATCCTCATCTTCGGCCATCTGAGTGTTGTAAGCATCTAGATCATCTACTCAACCACAGATAAACTCAGAAACAAGAGACCAATGGTCTGCATGTAAAATCTGTATGTAACCTACTAGATTAAACCTAGAAGCAATGATATCAAAATAGGACAATGAACCTGTGGTGTGACATTTTTAAAATCAGTCCATTGTTCATAGGAGTCCTTCAGGGGGCCATGGCACTTCTTGTTCAGTTTCATATTGTAATTGTGAGTCACTCCCTTGGCCTCAATGTCATCAAATAGGTGGACAGCTAGATGGTTCTTTGGGAATGACCAATTCTTGTCTGGTCATATAGCTTGAGACTTCCGAATATATTTCTAACAAATGAATCAATAATTTGAAGGGTGATCAGGAAAGTCACATAACCTACACTTACTAACTTGGAGAAATTTTGAAGAGCTTCTTGTCCTGCAGCAATCATTGTTGTGGTGTGTACCTCTAGTGCTGCATATAGGTCCACCTTGAGGTATGTGCGAATGCATTGAAGGGGAAGGTAAGCAACTTTGCTTTTGTTGGTGTTTGGAAGAATGTCATGAGCTGCAAAAGTAATCAACTGATTCACAACAGTACATGGCCATATTATTAGTATATTACATTGACTTGCCACTTAGATAGATCAGTTACCTTGAAAATGTCTTCATACTTACTTCCATCAGTGAATGTTATAGCCATCACGGTGTCATATCCGCATATCCGGATCTCAGATCCAACCCTTATCTCATCTCAGATCCACATCTTATCTCTGATCCTATCCACATCTTATCTCCCTCCAACATCTCGTCATTCAATCTGTCCACTCATCCAGTCCAGTCCACAACTCATCCGAATCCACAACCAGTGCTCATCTCCTTTCAGTAACCCCCTAACTCCGGTATTTTGGCTATCTGTATATCCATCCTGCTCCCTGATCTGCTACCTATGTTTCATTTCCATTTCATGATTTGTGATCCATTTCTACTTACCAATAGACTATCCACATGCTTTGTACATAGCCTTGGACTCTGCTGATTGATCATTCTGTTAGATACCTATAGTATATAACCTCCTGTAACTTTCTGTAGTACCTCAGTTCAAATATCATCTTAGTTCTACTCATTCCCATCCTCCGGACTTGAGTTTCTCTACTCTCATCACCCTCCAAGACTTAGGATTGATTCCTATAGTCTATCCATATCCACCTCTGTCTCTGACAGTCTATTACCATTAGTTTCTAGTCTGGACTCGTCCAGATTAGCCCTATGATACCTATCCCACATCTGGAAGTCATCCGGATCCATTACGATACTTGTCCAACCTTCCGGATCCGTTAGTCTTGCCTTCCTGAAATAAGGGGCAATACTCGGGTAAGGGGCACAGCACATGAGCTGAGGCTGAAGCCCTTTGGATCCAGTTATCCCTTGAGTATGACCTTAACAGTGAGCAACATCACACACCTGGAACATCAGAAGTTAAACAACATATAATAAAGGTAAAATAGAAACCAACTGCTCCTTGTAGTCCATGGACAGTATCAACACCAGGCTATAAAAGAGCCTTGTGACATTGTCCCAACAGTTTGTCCATTGGCCACTTTTGAAGGTAGTACAATCAATGCAAGTACTTTCTTGATGGACGCATGCCACACAGCTGCTTTGAAGTTAGCAAACTGTTGTGTACCTTTGTATTTTGGGTTATCTTTGACCTATGAGGTGGTTTGCTCTATATGTAAATTTGTGAAAGAAAGCCATGAAACATACCAGTGGGAGCCATCCAACCACCTGTCCCCCACCCATCCCATTCCATTTCTGATAGCAACCAGAAGATTCACCAAGCAAGTGATCACAGGATATCCTTTCTTGCTACTGAATGACAACAGCTTTGACTTGCCAGCATACAATATAAATGCTAATGGTTTCACATCTGGAGGTATCTGAGACTATATAGTAACATTGTAAGACATCAGTAGCACATCACAGTACAACATGGAATACACACCTGGCATTCCAAGAATGCATCTGCAGTCCATGGTTCATCAATGAACCTAATGAATGTTTGTCTGTCAAATTTTGATAACTGTTGGGCATCAAAAACACAATGAGGGCCAATGACAGGGTGTTGCAGAATATCCACCACCCAATCCCAAAGGGGGTGAAAGTAAACCATATATTCTAGGTCTGTGCCATCAAGTGGTACTGTAATAGTATCACTTTCAAACTGGAGGAATCAGATGGTGTGTGAGAGCAATATAGACATTACTTACCAGTGTCAAGCAGTGGGACACCACTTCCCAAGTATTCCGAACATCAGCATAGTTTTTGAGTGTGAAGTCTTCAGTCCTACTGTGTTGAACCAACTGGATAAGGTGTGTGGTTTGTTCATAGGTGAGTGCAGCTTCATGTGCCAATTCTGCAACCTCGAAGTCAAGTCAACATCTAAATGGGAGCCAAGGCTGGCATTCTGAGCAGGGTGGCTTGTAATGGTGGTGTCACATGAAATCAGAGAATGCTTCAACATGTTGTGATGATCATACCAGTGCTAGGTGCATATGATCAATAGCACAGTTCTTCTCACCTTCAGAAAAGGAGATAAAGCATGGATCATTAAATCCATATATATCAACCCATCCGCTCTTACTCCGGTCCAGTCCTAGAAATCCGCCCTCCCATGTCCTATCCATGTCCACCTATCTCCACTGGTGCATTATTTTTCCCAAATGTCATTGCTAAACAAGCTGCAGGTCTTATTACACAACTACTCACATTCTGCAGCGCATGATGTTTTATTACCTATAGACTCATTGTGTGCTCACTAACTACACTACAATTCTTGCCTATGCATTCCGGACATTCACACGCTATGATATAAACAACTGAAGTACATACAATTGAGTAGTTCCCTTTCCCCTGGACTCAGCTCTATAGGAGAGTTGTTCTTGCGTTATTTTTGTAGACCTTGCACTATCCATCTATTTTGCTCCTTCTTGACAATCCTGCACAATTTGACCACTCTGAAGTTCCATACCACTAGGATCTTACCCTTAAAGCTCTTGCAAGAATACCCAACCCGTGACAGGTAGTTTAGCCCTGTTCTTCACTCACACTATATCCCTTGCAACTGGCTGCTCCATAGAGTGCGGTTGATTTTGTGTGTGTTACATCTGCTGCACCGGCATCTGACATCCAATACATTCACATGTATCTTCTAATGGTTCATCTCACTCCTGTGATATTGACATTGGTTGATTTTTGCCTGCGCTCATGGTCAATTCTTTGGTATAGGAATTCAGAGGTATACATATGGCCTGTGTTCAAGTTTCTTAGGCTGATATAGGTTATAACTCCTTCACTCACTTACTTCCCTCACACATAATTGAAGGAAGTGCTTCAATAGCAGTCCTCTTGGGCTGATCAATTAAACTTGTGCCTCTTAGGATAAGTAGTGCTAGTTGCTAACCACCTAGTACCAATTACTTCTTCACAACTGGAGCCCACTGCAAGGGGGCCATTTGAAGCTGGAAGGCAGATCGCTTAGGTCAAATGAAACCCAAGAGCTTTGCACACTCACAGACATCTTGCAAGAAGACTTTTTCTACCTGGTACTTCAGAACATTGAAGAAGAAACCAAAGTGGGACCATCCAACTTGCATACCTGTTCCTCTTCAGAAGCCTCTGTTATCTGGAACCTCACTTCCAACTCACCCCTAACAGAACCAGAGTCCGAGGGGGAAGATACTCACTTCCCTGGATCATTCAACCATTCACTACCCCAAGTCCCATTCATTACTTTAGACACTCCATCCACCGAATCATCACTTACCCCTTTGAACCATACCCATGACCCATCAGCTGAAAGGCAAAACCTGTTCACACCCACACCTTTCTTACCCATAACTGCTTCCTTCCCATGTAGACATTTAGCCACACTCCCACCTACTTTACCTGACCCCGCATGCCATACCCCTTCAGCCCCACAAGGCCCTGCGCCATCTCAAACCCCTATCACACAACCCACAGCCATGACTACCCCATATAAAATGCCTCTCCAAGGAACTGATGTGGCACCCAAATTCGATGGAATGCCCACACAGCTACTCCTGTTCTTTGAGGACATTGAACAACTGGCTGACTATGCTAATCTAGATCAGGAAAAGCGCATCAAGGCAGCACTTCGACCATCAGTGAATTGGAAACTTGGGCATGCAGGCCTGCAGCCAAAGGGAATGATTGGAATAAGTTTGTTGACGCTATAAAGGCTATGTATCCAGGATGCAACAATGACCACTGCTACACTTGTACTGACCTAGAGAACCTCTGCATGGAACAAGCCCACATCCTGATATGCTCCAAGGAAGAGTTAGGGCAATACTACTGCAACTTCCTCAAAGTCTTGCAATACCTAATTGACAAACAACGGTTAGCAGAACTAGAATGTGGTAGATTTTTCCTCCAAGGGGTCCACTCAACAGTCAATGCAGCTATCAGGCAAAGGCTTGAAATAAAACTTGTTGCTCACCACCCTGATGACCCATACACATTAGATCAGGTATACGAGGCCACAGCTTTCTTATTACCTAGCATTGCATCCACCATGGTACCCATCCAACAGCCAGTGCAGTCCTCTGCAACTATGACCCAAGCAACCACACCTTCTACACCTGCCCTGCAACCTAATGCAGGGATCATGGTAAAGAAGGAATACAGCCAACTGTGGTATAACAGTTGTTACTTTTGCAGAGGAGACCATTTTTAGAAGACTTGTGCAACGCGTGATGAATACACAAGGGAAGGTAAGATAAGCATCACCTCTGATAACAAGATCATTATGCCCGATGGTTGTGGTATTCCCGGAAGGCAAGGAGAAGGAAACTTCAAGCAGCGCATCAACAAATTCTTGTATAATGGGCCCGCAACGGGTGCCAATGCTATGGTTCTCAGTAACATGTACTGTTGTGCTGAACCAACCATCCAAGCAGCACTTGATATTGAGCCTTGCGCATTCATGCACACGTGCACTGACATCCAGGAAGATGTGAGTGAAGATGACAAAGAATTGACATGCCTTGAACAAGAAGCTACCAGAGCCTGCAAAGCAGACAAAGGTAAAAATACATGGTTTGAGGGCATCAATGTACCACCATGTCCCAAGCCAGGTCCATCATCAAGAACTGCTGACACGGTAGAAGAAGTAGTTTCCCCACAGGTAAAGGCATCTGGGTCAAAGGCCGCTAGTTCCCCTAATAAGGGCACGGTGGTTGTGACACCTGTGGGTTCTTCAACTGCACCTGGTGCAGCCTCCTCATCTTCAAACCCCATGACCTCTTCTTCATCCTATGAACCACTGGCCGCCAACCAACCCTCAATGCAGTTCAGATACTCCTTCCTGCTGGAAGACAAGGATGTGGACAAGCACATAGTTGACCGCATGCTAGACTCTACCATCAGCATACCTATGCGCAAATTAATAGCAGTATCCACCGACGTCTGCAAGGTATTCAAGGAAATGACCACAACCAAGCACATTACAGTAGGGACTACCTCAGTCAACAAACTAGGTAGTGCACCAGGAATGCAAGAATTTCTGAAAAAGTACAATGGCTGCCTGCAAAGGAATGACAATGGACACATTGTGGCTGAACACTTCGAATCCTTGAGATGTATCAGAGTGGTGACACTTCATGGCTGGGTCCTCTCCTGCATCCTTGACCAAGGCGCAGAGTGCATCGTAATGCCACAATCTGTTTGGCGCATGCTGGGCAGTATTCCACTAAGATCTGACCACAAGCTAACCATGGAGTCTGTTAATACTTCAACCAATGAGACACTAGGAGTAATAGAGAATCTCCTGCTAGACTTTGGCGCGGGAGAAATGCTATTCCAAGTTCAGGTTGTTCCGACTGCTAACTTTGACATCTTGCTAGGGTGCCCATTCTTTACACTCACCAGCTGCTGTACAGAAGATCTTCCTAACGGAGACCAGGATATCATGCTAATGGACCCAAACTCAGGGAAGGTAATACACATCCCTACCACGCATTGGGTAAAGAAATATCCAGGTTGCGAAGCCAGCACACACACTCCCTCAGGTGCATGCAAGAAGGGTTTTTGATGATCAATGATTTGCACAATACATGAGGAGACAAACAGACAAATTCCTACCCGCTGCTCTCTCTTATTTCTTGCCCTACTACATTACTTTTTGGTTCTAATTTTCATCTCATGCCAACCACGCAATACCTGCTCTTACAGAGCAAACATGCCTCATTTTCCTTTTCACCCGCACAGTTCTCAGCACACTATAATCATCTCATATCTACATGCTCAATCATTGACCATACATCTGTCGACACATTTAACAGTGTATATTCATTCAACAAAACCCAACATACACTGGTTTATAAGCCAGTAGCAAAGAAGGTCCACATGGTTCAAATCACCATGCTGCCTGAGTATAGAATCATGAGAAGATTACCCGACAACCCATTGGCCGGCATGCCCCAATTGCCAACCCACCCACCTGACTTCATCCCAGGTGCCCACTTCACCCAAGAAAGAGCGAATGAATTGGATTTAGACCCCACTAACTGGTTATGGCCAGAAGAGCTTAAGCTTATACACTGGCTTGTCTGGACACACGAATTAGTGTTCATGTGGGACATGACTGAGCGCAGTCGTCTCAATGAAACCTATTTCCCTCCTTACAAAATTCCTACCATCCTGCACACTCCCTGGTCTCAATGCAATATCCCTATACCACCAGCAACCCTCAGAGAAGTTATCTGCATCATCAAAGAGAAGATCCAGTCTGGTGTTTATGAACTGTCAACTGCAGCCTACCATTCATGGTGAAGGTTCAACAACTCTGCTGGCTTGCAGAGCAAAAGAAAGAAAGAAGGCTCTACCTCTGGGGTGAGAGGAAGGCCTACTGACTCTCTAAGTGTTGGTTGAAGTGTGCCAAGCAATGTGTTCAACCCTTAAGGGAAGCAAAGAAAGCAAGTATCTACAAAGTGACACCAGGTCAACTCTGGTGAAGCACACTGAAAGCATGCATGCGGGAATGTTGAGCATGTAGGAGTGCGAAGCGTGGGAATAGAGCGCATGTGGTGTGCAGATGTGTAAAGACTAAAGGATGGTGTGAGGATGTGTGCTGAGACTGCTGAATGGTGACTGATAGTGATAATGGACTGTGGACTAGGGCGATGACTCTGATGGATGCTAACTCATGATAATTCTGACTGCTAGACGCTACTAGACATGATGGTGGTTCCCCTACTCTGTGGTGGTGGTAGGTGTATAAAAATTCCTAGGCAACAGGTAAGCTGTGCCTAGGCATGCTCCCAGGGCTCAGAAGTGAATAGGGAGCGCTGTATGTATGTAAAATGATGTAAGTAAAAGGGTCCATGATGAAATAATGTATGGTACGATGCTAAATATGAGAATAAATGGGAAAGGACTCACTAGGGGACTGGTTGGATGATGGATGGATGCTCCCAGATGCTGTGCAACATAAGGCGACCAAGTGCAGGAAGAGCGCGCTAAGCGTGTGTGCAGGAATGCGCCACATAGTGTGGGAAAGCATCGCACCTCTGGTGTGTTTCATGGGAAAGTCATAGCTAGTGAGTTGCACACTATACCAGTCGTCGTGAGTTGTGATGTGGGCAATCTAAGCCTGGAGGAATCT